GATTCAGTGTTCGAAAGGTTAATAATTGTGATAATTTCCGCAAACACTTTGCATAAAATTTTAGAGTAATAAGAGATTTTATTTATGACCAAAATGTAGCGTAATCACGATAGTTTTCAATAATCCTCTAAATGATATCAATCAATCCGTAGTCAAACATGATATAATTCCATATTAGTTTGTTTATTAGATATATCACACACAGTGTGAAACAGTATTATTACTAACTGGATGACGCAGTTTCGAACACACATTTTAGTATTGCTCATAATCATATCAATCAATTATAATCACACAACTTCGAAACTTGAGTTTTATAGTTTTCTTTATTCTTTTCTGTTTGTCGTCGTGGGTGTAGTAGAATTTTCCAGATATCCAAATGGACATGTGTTGAATCATTCCTATTAAATGTATTTGCAGTTGATTCGATAAACAAAGCTTCCGTTATCAATCTCTCCCTCTACTCAGCTATTATATTACATTTTTGAACTGTCATCTTATTCCATCCATCCCATTGTATGGTTCTGTGTAATTGCATGTAGTGAGCGCTACAGCTGAACTTTTCTCTAGATTTCTTATCTTATTCGGGTCGAGTAATCTAGATTTTGCTGCTAGGTTTTTACGCTCGGCTAGTCTGATCGACTAACCCTACTCTACTACTTTGAATTGAAAATCATTCGAACAGGGCAGTAATAGTAATAATTTGCTTTATTCCCAAACAGTACTTGTGATACAGAATGAAATTCTCAACATTTTACTAAAGTATTGCATCCAGTTAGCACATTATCAATAAATAAAATTCTACATAGATTACGGAAATATCAGTTCATTATGACAACAACATATTGGTATGTCGGTAGCAAAGCGAAAATTGCTAGCATATTTACTGGCGTAAGCAGAAGAAAGAAACAAAGCAACACATAACACAGAAAAAAGAGAGAAAAGGAAAATAAAGAAAGAAAACGTTGCACCTATAAATGATATGAGTTGGAAAGACAAGATCCAATTGTACTACTGACTATTTAATAAGTTATAGGTATCACGCTCAATGCTTTCTTTATCGCACAGAACACGAGCTAAGTAGGGTATGATTGAGTTTTTGTACTTACTAGTTCGAGCATATAATTTTCTATATAGGCTTCTGGTCTGCCTGCCTGATAAGATACAAGGAGAGAGTTGTGGGTGAAAAGGGTGATGTGAGTTAGATAAAATGGATTTAGCCCATTTTTCGCATGAGTCCATGTGCCTGTCAACCAGAATATTAACAAGCTGGTTAAGTGGCACGTTGCTAAATGGTTTTGTTCAATTAGCTTTACTGTCAGCATCCTTTAACCGGCAAAGCCTGTTTATAATTGAGTTTATAGGGTGGTTCGAATGTCAGGCACTTTTATTCCTGCCTGCATTATTAAGAATTCTCCACCGTGAGGTCGTTTCCGAAGTTCATTCATTGTATTTAGTTTTTAAACATAAACACATCTATAATTGTATATATTGTTGGATTTATATGTTCAAGTTGCTCCAAGTCAGTGAGTTTATGGTTAAGATATCATTTTAGTTAAATGTACTGAACTATATTGCATGTTGTCTTATTGTATAGTTGTCGTCGCTTTTTGCCCTTTTTTCTGTGAACTGTTTCCTTTGTTGATGTTGTTCTCATTGTTTGTCCGTTATTTTCTGATTTTGAGGGGAGCAACCCAAAAAGTTGCTTCTCTCTAAACTTTTACTTAATGTAATCATTCTTTTCTCAGGCGTGAGGCTAGCAACCCCACCCTGTAAACAAAAATTGCTACAGAAACTTCAGTATGTTGAACCTCCTTGCACCAAAAGAAAAAGTCTGTGTAGGAACATGGAACGTCCGAACTATGTACGAGACTGGAAAAGCTGCCCAGATCGCCAACGAGATGAAAAGATACGGAATACAAGTGCTGGGAATATGTGAGAGCAGATGGAATGGGAGTGGACTCACCAAATTGTCAACAGGTGAGTCAGTGATCTACTCCGGTCACCCAGAAGATAACCACACGCACACCGAGGGCGTGGCTATCATGATGTCACCAACGGCAACGAAAGCCCTGATACAATGGGAGGCGATTTCGTCCAGGATAATGACCGCCAGGTTCAACTCCAAAGGAAGGAAAGTGTCAATCATACAATGTTATGCACCCACAAACAACGCAGACCTCGAGAAGAAAGAAGAATTCTACAGGCAACTACAGGCAACAATGGACAATACTCCAGCTGGCGACATGAAAATACTAATGGGAGACATGAACGCCAAACTGGGACCAGACAATACGGGAAGGGAACTCATCATGGGTAGAGAAGCTCTAGGAGAAATGAATGAAAACGGAGAACTCTTCGCCGACTTCTGCGCCTTCAACGAACTGGTGATTGGTGGCAGTGTATACAAGCACAAAGATATCCACAAGGCTACATGGGTGTCACCAGACGGGCAAACCAAAAACCAAATCGACTTCATCTCAATCTCAAGGAAGTGGAGGCGCAGCCTACTGGACACAAAAGCAAGAAGAGGAGCAGACGTTGGCTCAGACCACTATCTCGTACAAGGGACAATCCAAATCAAATTAAAAGCTTTCAAAGAAGGAGGAGCTGCAGATAGACCACAAGCCAAGTTCAACACTCAAAAGCTGAAGGACCAGGCTACAAAGGACATCTTCATTGCAAGCATAAAGGACAAAGCCGAGACACAAATCAACACTAGCGAAGAGGTCGGCGTTGAAAAGCACTGGAACAACTTGAAAACGGTGTGGAGCCAAACCTGCATAGAAATTCTAGGCAGAAAAAAGAGACAGGACAAACAGTGGCTCACTACGGACACTTGGAAACTAATAGAAGAGAGAAGGACAGTGAAGCAAAAGATTATCCAGTGCACGGACGAGCAACAAAAACAGGAGCTGAATGCAAGCTACAATACACTGAACAAAAGAGTGAAGAAAAGTGCCAGGGAAGACAAAAGAAAATATTATGAAACCATGGCAAACGAAGCAGAACAAGCTGCAGGCAAAGGAGACCTCGCCACACTCTACCAAACAACTAGGAACCTTTCGGGCAAACGTTCGACACAGATTAAGCCAATAAAGGACGACAATGGAAAGTCAATCACCAAAGAGGTGGAACAGAGAAAGCACTGGGTTGAACACTTCAAAAGACTTCTAAATCGTCCGCCACCTACAACACGTCCAGCAATACCAACAACGGAAGCAGAACTACCAGTGAACACTGACCCCCCGACGAAATCAGAAGTCCTGAATGCAATCAAGATGCTTAAAACTGGGAAAACACCGGGACCAGATGGAATCCCAGCAGAGGCTTTGAAAATAGACCCAGAGACAACAGCGGACTTGATGACACCACTACTGGAGAAGGTGTGGAAAGAGGGCAAAGTACCCGAGGATTGGAAGAACAGTTACTTATTCAAACTTCCAAAGAAAGGAGACTTAAGTCAATGTAAAAACTGGCGTGGAATTATGCTTCTGTCCATTCCAAGCAAGATACTAAGTCGCATCATCCTGGAGAGAATCAAACAAGCCCTAGATGAAAAACTTCGTCCGGAACAGGCTGGATTCAGGAGAAACAAATCATGTATTGATCAAATCGCCACTCTACGGATCATCATTGAACAAAGCTTGGAATGGCAGTCACCTCTCTATCTCAACTTCATCGACTTTGAAAAGGCCTTCGACAGCGTCGATCGAGAGGTCATTTGGAAACTACTTCGCTACTACGGGGTCCCATCGACAATTATACACCTCATCCAACAGTTATACGACAATGCTGCATGCCAAGTAATCCACAACGGGAAACTTACGGAAGCCTTCGAAGTGAGGACGGGAGTGAGGCAAGGCTGTCTACTATCACCAATGATCTTCCTGATTGCAATTGATTGGATAATGCGACAGACAACGGCAACCAACGAGGGAACAGGCATAAAATGGACTGACACAAAAGACTTGGAGGATCTGGATTTCGCCGATGATATATGTCTGATTTCCCATAAACTGGAAGATATGCAAGTGAAAAGTAACAAGTTGGCAGAAGAAGCATCAAAGATAGGACTTCACGTGAACATAGATAAAACAGAGATGATGAAGATTCCTTGCCAACATCAACAGCAACAACAGACCACAATAAGCATAAATGGGAAGAACCTGAAAGAAACAACCTCCTTCACCTACCTGGGAAGCATCGTCTCAACTACAGGCGGAACTGACGAGGACATCAAAGCCAGAATCGGAAAAGCAAGACAAGCTTTCATTACTCTCAAATCTGTGTGGAGGTCAACAGCACTCAGCATCAAAAATAAGATCCGGATTTTCAACTCCAATGTGAAGTCAGTGCTACTATACGGATCAGAGACTTGGCGAGTCATAAAGAGCATCTCAAACAAACTTCAAACCTTCATTAACAACTGTCTCCGCTCAATACTCAAGATCAGATGGCCAGAAAAGATCAGCAACAGGGATCTCTGGGAGCGAACCAATCAGGAACCGATTGTGAAACAAATAGGCAGAAAGAAATGGAGATGGATTGGCCATACGCTGAGGAAACCATCAAGTGACATCACTAGACAAGCCCTCGAATGGAACCCGAAAGGGAGGCGGCGAGTTGGTCGTCCAAGGGTGACTTGGAGGAGGTCATGTGAAGAGGAGATGAAAGCATGTGGGCAGACCTGGAGCAGGGTGAAAAAGTTGTCAGAAAACCGAAGTCAATGGAGGTGCGCAGCTGAAGCCCTATGTTCCTCTAGGAACTAAAGGATATAATGATGATGATGATGATTTAGTTACTACGGATGATTTAGATTCCTTATTGTTGGTAGTGTCATTATTCTGTGCCTGTCTCACATGCATGTTGTCATTAATATTATTACTATTATCATTATCCCCAATATGGAATTACTTACTAGCATAGTGCCCACGTTTTATACATTTATAAGCTTGAAACAAGCCAACTCTTAGCGAACCAATAATTATTATACTAAAGTTTCCTCTATATAGATGTGCATAATTACAAAATATTTTTTACAATATGAATTCGAATTTGTATTTCATTTTAAACCACAGTATCATAAATAAAGCCAGTTGAATGAACGCCTCTTATATCACAATCTAACTGGCATTAATTATCATTCGAAGTGACATCATCATTCCAGATTCTCTTGATATTATCCAATGACCTGTGTAAGTTGAAGGAAAGTCAAAATCAAAAAAAAATAAATTATTTTAAGACTAATGAAAATTATAGTCTACACAACAACAAGAGAATATACATAATCAATTTGTATATTTTTTAACAGGTCAACCTAAAGACCACAGCGTGTGGACGCACTAGTAGTGACTTTGAGCGTCTATCATTCGTTGGACTACAGAACCTGTCGTTATTAAACCGTCAGTATGAACGCTTTGTCCTGATTTCATTTTTAAGTACTGTTTGGGCAGTGGGTCAACGGCACGTTAGGTTTAAAGTTAGTATTAAAATTGAGGTTAGGGTTAGGTTGCTTTTGCGGTTAGGATGTCCTATTATTATATATGTATTATTCTTGTAATTAAATAAACGGAATGGCAGTGTTTCGTTGTCCATATATTTATTATATTATTATTATTATTATTGTATCCTTTAGTTCCTAGAGGAACATAGGGCTTCAGCTGCGCACCTCCATTGCCTTCGGTTTTCTGACAACTTTTTCACCCCGCTCAAGGTCTGTCCACATGCTTTCATCTCCTCCCAACATGACCTCCTCCAAGTCAACCTCACACTGACGACCAACTCGCCGCCTCCCTTTCGGGTTCCACTCGAGCGATGGCTTGTCTAGTCATGTCACTTGATGGTTTCCTCAGAGTATGCCCAGCCTATCCATCTCCATTTACTTCTGCCTATTTGTTTCACAATCGGTTCCTGCCGGGTTGGTTCGCTCATTACCAGAGATCCCTGTTGCTGATCTTTTCTGGCCAGCCATCTGATCTTGAGTATTGAGCGAAGACACAGCTGTTGATAAAGGCGTGTAGTTTGTTTGAGATGCTCTCTATGATGCGCTGGCCAAGTCTCTGATTCATATAGTAAGTAGTACTGACTTTACATTGGAGTTGAAAACCCAGATCTTATTTTTGATGCTGAGTGCTGTTGACCTCCACACGGATTTGAGAGTACTGAAAGCTTGTCTTGCTTTTCCGATTCTGGCTATGATATCCTCGTCAGTTCCGCCTGTAGTTGAAAAGATGCTTTCCAGGTAGGTGAAGGAGGCTGTTTCTTTCAGGTTCCTCCCATTTATGCCCATATAGATGATACTTTTTTGAAAGTTACAAAACTTGCAAACTGATACCCTTCGTTGTAATTAGAAAGTATTTTTCAGTTATTTTGGGGTAAAATATCATCTTTAATGAGCTTCACTCTGAGTATTTTTATGCTCATTTTTTTTCGTAAATAAAACACCTTTTAATGCATAATATATGCCAGCTTAAGTAATCTAACGAAAGGTATGCGTTCAAGGCTGTTGGAGCATTCAAATCCTGTAGTCACTATTCTTTATGTTTGTCTGCTGACATTTCCGATTCGTTTTACCATGGTAAATACATTGTTATTGTTCCCTTGAGTTCCGAGGGGAACATAGATCTGGTTTCAACAACGCATCCGCACTTTCATCTCCTTTCTGCCATCCTCTTCATCTGCTTAGCTCTAGGATTGCCACAATCTCTCATCTCCCCCTCGTCACACTATCTTCTCTATGTCATCCTCGCACTAACAACCCACTCGTTGCTTCCATTGAGATTCCAGTCGAAAGACGTCCTGCATTGCACGCAATGTCATTCGACGGCCTCCTCAATGTATGTTCGATCAATTCATTTCCATTTTTCCCACATGTTCGTTGAGCGATCGGCTCTCGCCTGTGGTTGGTTTTTTCCCATAGTTTCCAAGTACTTATTCTCTCTGAACATTTGATTTTCAGTATGGGGTGAAAGCCGCTGTTGACAAAAGTCTTCTGTGACCTGTTGGAAATCCTTTTTGCACGACAAGTTTCTGACCCATATAGAAGGACCAACTTCACATTTGTGTTGACAAGAATTCAAACCTTGTTCCTTATGTTAAGTGTAGAAGATTTCTAAATTGTTTTAAGGTTGATGAAGGCGTATCTTGACTTTTGGATTCTTCTTGGCTTTAACACGTCTTCATCCATTCCGACTGCTTGTGTTTGAAACCGTGCTTCCTGGCTGAATAAGTAACCTGGAAGTAACCTCTGTCAAAACTCCACCCGTTGATGGTGATTGGTGCTGGTTGTTGTTGTTGCTGTTGCTGTTGGTAGTGGTTGGTTATCTTTATTACCTAGGTCTTTTCTATGTTCACCTGGAGTTCTGTCTTCATTGGCTGCTTTTCGGCTGTAAGTCTTCGAGTTTGTGTGACATTAGACGTGTATCATCTGCAAACATATATATATATATAAGTTACATTTCTGATGATATTAGATGGTTGGAGGCAAACGGCCACAGGAAGCCTTGCTTGACCTAGCTTTCGTGCTAGTTGGCACTCACCAGTTAGCAAGGGGTATCTGCAACCTTGAAGGAACTAATGTCCCTTCTGAGATTTGAACACGCGTCACCCAGTGCCATCTGCACTCATAGATGTTACCACTGAGCTAGCTATTCAGGTTAGCTCACGATTGACCTCCTGTAGGACTGAAGTGGATATTTCGATTGAACACTAGTAACCAGTGTGACGCGTCTAGTCCCCTTTATTCGGTGCAGACTGAAATCTTTCAGTCAGGTTTGGAATGTGGCCACTATTGTAAGTAGCTCAACATCACGGTGCACATTGTTTTGATTATATTAGATTGAGATCAATCGCGAGCTGGCCTGAATAGCTAGCTCAGTGGTAACGTCTCTGACTTCAGCACTCACTGGGTGACTGGGTTTCGAATCTGAGATGGGACATGAGTTCCTTCAAGGTTGCAGATACGCCTTGCTAACTGGTGAGTGCCAACTAGCACGAAGGCTAGGTCAAGCAAGGCTTCCTGTGGCCGTTTGCCTCCAAACATCTAATATCATCAAATCAATGTACACCATGATGGCGAGCTACCTAGAATGGTGGCCGCATTTCAAACCTGATTGATAGAATTCAGTCTGCACCATATAAAGGGGACTAGACGCGTCACACTAGTTACTAGTGTCCAATCAAAAGTTACATTTCTGTTTATCTGCAAGAATTATTCAGCTGTGAATCCAAAATATCACACAGATTATAGAGAAAAAGAATAATTGGAGCGAATTGTTGTTCCCATTGAATTTTTCTTCAAGCTATGCAGTTAATAAGTCCATTAATTTGAGCATACGATAGTTGGTGGAGACAAGTTTGAATTATATCAGAGGCGTTTCACTACGTCTTCTATCGGTACCTGAAGCCGTAGCAATCAATACTAGAAGACCTAATCTCATTATCTAGAAAAAATATGTTCAGTTGCTTCTCTTACCTTGGCCTACAATGGCTTCAATAAATCCTCCATTAAAACTAAGAGTTTAAATTTCTATCCCCTCCTATTTTTTTATTTTTTCCTTCGTTTCATTATGGGTAAATTTTTGTTTAGATAAAGTCTCACAGTGTTATACAATAATGTTTACTGATGACGTTTCGAGTACAATTTATTGCTCATAATCATATCAAGGTAATCACACGACTTCCTAACTTCATTTATACAGTTCCATTGTTTTTCACTTGATGTTCACTTGATTTGATTGGCAGTAGTATTTTCCATATTTCAGGTATGAGTGATGAATCATTCCTATTGCATGTGTTTGGTGTAGACTCGATGAACAAGGATTCAGTAATCAACCTCTCTCTCTCCACCTATCTAGATTACTTTTTAGAATTCTAACCCTGTCCCACCATGCTATTGTGTGGTTGTGTGTTAATGCATGCATTGCAATAGCTGAGCTTTCTTCCAAATTACTTATCCTCTCGGGGTCAGCCATTCTTACCTTAGCTAAATTCTTATATTCTGACCGTCTGACTACCCCTGACCTACTAGTTTGACCTATGTAGTTGACCTCACTGACAGTCATTGCAGGGTATTTTGTAAATTATATTATTTTGTCTAATTGGATCAGCTGGGTCCTTTAACCTACAGAGCTTGTCCCTGAGTGAGTTTGTAGGTTTAAATACCACTCTAATTCCTGCTTTATTTAGAATCCTACGTAGGATTTCAGATGTCCCCTCTTTACATGGTATAACTGTAGATGACTTATATTCTCTCTTACTTATGTTATTTTTAATAGTTTCATAATTATTTCTATTTCGCTTTTGACGTTTTCCGATCTTCCTAATAAATTTTATAGGATAGTCAGTTATTTAACACCAACGCCTCTTCTATCTGTTTTATTTCATCATTTAGGTCTTTTCGTGTGCTACTTAGCGCTATTGCTCGGTTAGTTAGACAGTTAACTATAAGCCTGCCTTCACAGACAGTTAACGAATGAGATCAATTAAAGCCTAAATATTTATTAGAATGCTTTGGTTTTCTGTACACACTAGTGTGTAGTTCACCTTCTTCTATTCGTTTTATTTTACAATCTAACTTAGCTAATTTTCCTTGTTCATTTTCCGCTTCAAATGTGAATTTTATTCCCTCCACTAGCGAGTTTATTTGTGTCAAGAAGCTGGAGATATGTTCTGTTTTTAACACTGTGTGTAAAAGTGTCATCCACATATCTCCTGAAAGGATAAGTAATTTGGAAGAAAGCTCAGCTATTGCAATGCATGCATTAACACACAACCACACAATAGCATGGTGGGACAGGGTTAGAATTCTAAAAAGTAATCTAGATAGGTGGAGAGAGAGAGGTTGATTACTGAATCCTTGTTCATCGAGTCTACACCAAACACATGCAATAGGAATGATTCATCACTCATACCTGAAATATGGAAAATACTACTGCCAATCAAATCAAGTGAACATCAAGTGAAAAACAATGGAACTGTATAAATGAAGTTAGGAAGTCGTGTGATTACCTTGATATGATTATGAGCAATAAATTGTACTCGAAACGTCATCAGTAAACATTACTGTATAACAACACTGTGAGACTTTCTCAAAACAAAAATTTACCCATAATGGAATTATACTCTACCACAGTGCACAAGTTTTATTCTCATTGCCTTTGTTTCATTGACAAACTTTTTATTCTCGAATTTTTACTATTTTACGTCGTCTCTTATTATGTCTATAACCCTTGGTTTATGTATTAGCTTTTCAAACCTATAATTCTATTAACACAAACCTGTTCATTCCACTTCATTACATTCTTTTATCACTAGAGTTAATCGCTCACCAGTAGTATTTCTAAGTTTACATCACACCGCCACTGTTATTATTTTATCATCATCATCATCAATATTATTCTTATTTACCATCCCAGGGACTTACGTCTAGTCTATTCCTATTTGTATATCTCTGTAGTATGCATATTGTCTGACACACAATTGATTACACTCACCCTTGAAACTTGTACGTTTCTTGACGCTGTCGGGGGCCTTTTCGAAGTCAATGAAATTAAGCTACATGTTTGACTGACATTCTATGCCTTGACTGTTCTATGACGATGCTTAGAGGTGCAATTTGATCAGCACACGATTTACCTTTCTTAAATCCAGCTTCTTCTGGTAGGTGAAGCAAAGTTCTGCATCCTGTGCATCTTTTATTCGCTCCAAGATGAGGCTTCTTAGTATTTTACTCGGTGTGGACAAGAACATTATTCTATGCCAGTTTTTTGACACATTGATAAGGTAGTCAGCCTTTCTTCCAATCAGTGGGTACCTCTGCTCCCTGTTAAACCTTTTGCAATAATGATGTCGATTTATCCACTGCGGTCTATGGGCCCGTTTTCACTACTTCATGGCGTGGGGCGGGGGGGGGTGGAGGAATTCCGGCTAGTCTTGCCGCAATCTCTGACTTAAGTATCTTGACTGCACTCAAGATTTTTGCTTTTTTTAGGGGATTAGTGTCCACTGGAAGACAGTTGCGTGCGTGATGTTGGTGGTATTTCTGTACAATTTACAGGTGATGGACTATTCGGGAGTCTTTTGAAGTAATCAGCCCTTGGTAATTAGTTTCCCTTGATCATCTTTTATTAGCTTTATCTGAATGGATCCCATCCTGGATATAGATATGGCTATATGACATAATCTTCTGAAGTCTCTTTTACCTGGACCAAGCCTGTTCTGTTTCAGTTGGCAGTGTATCGCATAATTGTGATAGAATATATACCGTAATTTAATCGATGTTTGAAGTGACATGGTTCCCCTGTCAAATATATCACAACTGTTGATGACTTGTATGTGCACGTTAGTCAGTCGATGGTTGATCAGTGATTCGAGTATGTGGTTTCAAAGTTATCCATCAAAAATTATTAGTTGCTCATAGAATGCAATCAGTATACATGTAACAACAGAAGACAAGGGCCAGGCAACAGATCGTTTTATTATGAAAATCAACACGTATTTATACATATTCCACATACATTATTATAGCTTATGCAAGTAGACAAGCGCAGTCATCTGATTGGTTGTTTATCAGAAGTTCGGCAGACAAACGCAGGCTTCTTATTGGTTGTTTAGGGATTCTTCGACAAATGGAGTTCTCTATCTGCGAATCATATTTTGCCACGTTAACTTTGCTGTGATTGGTTGTTAAATCAGCCTTGTACATATTTTCTCACGGCCTGCTCTCACCACATACAGACTGACAGAACACATGAAAAAAGCCTGCGTTTCGCGCTTTCATTTATAAAGAAGTCGCTAAGAAGTGCACGCTTATTGTGGATAATATAACCAAGTGGATAAATCTTGATTCCATAAGGATTCTGATTAATTACATTGTAGGTTTCTTCACAGACAAACATGAGTTAGTAAATAACTGGAAAATATTAAGCACTGAAGTGATGCTCTGTCCTGTTTTGGGATTTTTCAATTGTATCTACCCGAAAATTCACAAGTAACTTTATCATAAACCATCCCTTCACAAGTCAAGCATTATATCAGCCATTCTCCACATGCTCGTAGACCTTAATGACTTTGTATCTGGTCTCAGTTCACGATAAAATTTATTCTGGAATCAGTTTCAATTCCTAATTTCTTATATCATGCATGATTTGAGCACCAGCAGTGACCTTACATCATGAACCGTCAGAAGATAGAATCCACGGGTTATTGCACCATAAACTATTCTGATTTCGTAATATGAAGTTAGTGGAACCCATCCGTGGAAGAGTCATGAGTGAGCACTTCTAAAGATCAGTAAAATAGAACGAAATCAACTGTCACGTTGATCTCGATATTCAACGATTCTCTAACTGATATCATAACTGAAAGAGGAATACAAAGTCAAAGAAAGGTAATATCTGAAGATGTCTACATCACTGCGTGCCAATATTGTTATGAAAATTAAAGCTCCACGGAGATACCTGGAACAATCAGAATAGATTTCTCGTGCATCACTCTATGAGTCATATATATATATATATTACGTGGAGGCTGAGGACACTCCCCCATTGTTAAGGCTGAAGCACCCAGAGAAGAATTCATACACACAGTTTGTTGGTTGAAAGCAAAGTGCTTAAGACGATGATCTCCATTCGTATAATATTCCATATGAAGCTGTTTACTTTAGATATGATAGAGAAGATTTGTAGCTCAGGTGGATGATTTTGATGTAGTTTTGTTCTCTGAGCTGGATGGTTAGTTTGCGAAGCTTTCATCGCCCCACTGGGTGACATCTTCAGCGCATACTTCAATTTGAAGTGAGCTTTTAGATTTCTCCACGAGTTTATTAATCATCTCTCCTGGTGACCTTGGACGTGATTGGTTGTTTGTGTGTGTTTTCACACCTTCTAGGTTACTTGTATTGGAACCGGTTGTTTCTTTGACCTGAACTGTTTACTTTATTCGAGGAAAGACCGCCAAGATTGTTTTACTTTTGTTTTAGAAAACTTCAAGTTAATTGTTGGACGGTGACTAGTAATGGAATCCAGGATGGGCATTTCGTCCTATTCAGGACTCGTCGTCTGGATGTACCTGCATTCCGCAGTGAGTGATGGTTTTCCCATTGAGGCTCGAATCCAGTACCCGTAGGTACATCCAGTGACGAGTCCCAAAGAGGGCGAAACGCGTATCCTGAATTCCACTGCTAGTCACCATCCAACAATAAAAATTCCAGTTATATGTCCAGAAATCATCGAGGCATCTTCACAAGAAACCGACATGTCAATCAATCGACGGGAAAATCTAAAATTTAATTGAGTAACAAACTTTGTTTACAAACTCACATTATTTCCACAAATTTAAATCTGTAGTGTAGAAAATTATTGGTAATGTAATTTTAAGTGAAAATTGAATCTAGGCATAATACAGATAGATACCGGCATACTGAAGACCTCCGGCTGATCACTGTGCATTGAAAATGCAGTAGAAATGGTTTTAGTTTTAAGGCTTTGTGATGCTAGCCTCATAACTAACCTCTCCTCTTGGCCAGCCTTATAACCGTCTTAGCATCGGCTGGGAATCGAACCTAGGACCATTTGTGGCCCATGTGGTGAGCGTTCTACCTCTGAACCATAAACTGGTGTAAAATTAAGTTTTTCTTCATACATTCTGTGATATATATATATATATATATATATTTCATATTTATTAGTTTGTGTAAGCTAAATCAAATGGAACATTCCGTAAAACTCTTTTAGCACTAATGCAATCGACAGTTAACCCCAAAGATAATTTAGTTTCAATTCAACCAGTGTTGTGGAGATCTAATCTTGAGCGTTTCGTAGAGTACTTCTTCTGTCTACTTTCGTCAGTAATCAAGAATCCCAAAAACTTGTGTACATTTTGAAAACTAAAACTATGACTCAGATTGTTTTAAGTGTTGATTTGCAGTGATATGGTTCGTTTTGAAGATAGATCATGGAGAAATCCCTGCAAAGCATGGAGTAATAGACAGTTGTTTTTTTTTGCTTTAGGACGGTTTGTTAGTATTCACCCATAACACCCAACAAAAGTCGAACCCAAGACCTTCAAGTTGTGAGAAGACCTCGTTGATCATTTAAACACTAAGACAAAACTCAGTGGCCCAGGAATTCTAAATTCTGCGACAACCACTCGATGTCTTTGGTCAGCATTTATCCTCATTATCGACTTGAAAGACGTTGACTGTTGGTATTCACGAGGCACTAGATACTGTCTTTTTTTGGTGGCTCAACATGGTAACTGGAAGTCCTATGTTCAATGCTTCTAGGGGGAATCGAAGTGTACTGCTAAACAGTTATAAAGTATTGTGGTGGTGTGTGCCGACGGAATGCTATTCTCCTATGTTCCCCGAGTTCATTTCGGCATATACCTATTTGAACATTCGACTTGATGTTAGAGACAGAATACCTTCCCTCTCCATTAACAACAGAATACTATGTATATTTGAATATTTCATGTCATTTGATGTAATCCGAAATCACAGGCTCAGTGATTGGTTAACGAATATAAACTTTAAATATATAAACAGCGAATAAGGCATCTGTGCGTCGGTGGTATTGCGGTTAGGACGCTCGCCAACCATGTACATGGTCCAGGGTTCGATCCACGGCCACCAACGCACTCCTTTACCTCGCTAAGCCAGCAATATTGCTGGTAAAGAGAGAAGGTTTGGCATGAGGCTAGCAAACCCATCCTGTAAAATAAACACTGCTACAGAAACTTCGAGCCACTAGCTTGAGGCCCTATGTTCCACTGGGGAACGTGAAGAAAAGAAAATAAGGCATTTAGAAGACAAATTTCGAGACATGATAACATCATCATTTCGTAGTTTCTTTACAACCGCTTTACACAACTAACATGGTTAACAATGATAAAATTAAGTGCATGACAATTACTCAGTTATATAAAAAACAAAAGTACATACTAATGACCAGTCATGTTTAAATAGGCCAAGTATACTCGCCATGGTAGGTAAAGGTTGAAGTCTACTGCTTTTTGTACACATCGTTAAGGATGTATGTGATTAATCCTCAAAGTGCTTCCATCATCACCTTTAATAACCGACCTTGAATTCGAGTTGTGTGATGAAATAATTGTAAAGCAGTCATTAATATTGATTTCGTGACCTGACGTTAATACGTGTTTTGAATGATGCGAATGGTTATCCAGAAACATTTATCGCTTGTCACAGTAAAGAAAGACCAAATCTCGAAAAGACTGCTTCCGTACCAAAGATAATGACCAGGTCGTGCAGTTGACAGCTCAAAGACATCGGTCAGTCATCAAACGCACATTTTACGCCGCCACATCTCTTTTTCTCATCTACCGAACATTTTCGATCCTTGTACCTACGATTAAAGGATGAAATTCTCTGGACTCTACTACAAACTGTATCTACAAACTTACCTGCAGTTGCGCTGACACTCATATTTGGTAGAACCAATAGAATATTCCAATGTCGTCGAACAGAACATGTTACAAAATGGTTATTAAAACATGTAGAAAATCCCAATGTGATTAATCTGAATAGAAATCCAGCATGATCCATTGCAAAGCACTTATTAAAATCAGGTCACGAAATCAATATTAATGACTGCTTTACAATTATTTCATCACACAACTCGAATTCAACGTCGGTTATTAAAGGTGATGATGGAAGCACTTTGAGGATTAATCACATACATCCTTAACGATGTGTACAAAAAGCAGTAGACTTCAACCTTTACCTACCATGGCGAGTATACTTGACCTATTTAAACATGACTGGTCATTAGTATGTACTTTTGTTTTTTATATAACTGAGTAATTGTCATGCACCTAATTTTATCATTGTTAACCATGTTAGTTGTGTAAAGCGGTTGTAAAGAAACTACGAAATGATGATGTTATCATGTCTCGAAATTTGTCTTCTAAATGTCTTCCTTATTCAAATTTATCAAAGAGACTAATTGTTTTAATGTAAACAGTGATTTGATCAATGAAAAATATACCTTGGCTCCCGTGTCTCACTTTCTGTTACTACACTACAAGACAGCTGTCCGGTACCCCGTAGTTTTCAAGCATTCCGTAATTGACTTCAATCCTTGACTTAATTTTAAAAATCAGGCTTTGATCCCAGAAGATGGACCATAAGGTTTTGAAATGAGGTTCTTTATATTTAAAGTGACTTTAAGCCCAAAACTGTACAATGTGTGCTTCTGTCAGTTAGATACATCTGCGTCTTGGGATCTATGTTCCAGTAAAGTCAGATCATTATGGGTCTGTGGAATTGTCAACAGAAATTAACAAAATACAAATTAACAATTAATGCATACTTACAGACGATCAAAAATATTATATCTGTTTGAATATTTAATTTAAATGATTTCTAAATGGAACTCAAGAGTATTTAACATTTATGTAAAAATCAACGTTTTTACTCAAATATATATGCATATATACATATATATTCTCGAAAAAATAACAAACTCATTCTATATGAATGTTCACTTATGAATACTGAGATTTTAAGAAAAGTAATAATGTACTTTTAAAATAACTGGCATCTGGATGCGTTAAATTCATACGACAGAGAATCAAAGAAGCATAAGAGACATTTCAAAATTAATGTCAAGTTAGTGCTTGTATACAGCTCAGTGATTTGACGGGTGAGTCGGAAAAAGCATTTTCAGCAGACTGCAGACCTTCATCAGCACTTGTTGTCGTCTGCCCTCTTCCTCAGGATCAGATAACTGATTGGAAAGGATAAGAAACAAGGCAGGAGACGGATCAACCAAGTATCTATCACCTGAGAAATATACCAAAGGAAGATTGGGCGTATACTGAAGACACATTTGAGTGATATCAAGCGCCAGGTGGTCGAAGAGCCCCCAAATGGGCAGCCAGTGACGAAATGGACACTGATCCTAGGATAAGACATGGAGAAGATCATGTTTTGAGGAAATTAAAGCTTATGCATGGTCGTTGAGCCAGTATTAATGAATTGCAGAGCACAAAATGAAACGGAGAATAGCTGCGGTAGCCTTAAATTTCAATTTTGGACCCAAACAAATAATAATACATCTTCAGTGAACTGAATTATGAGTGTAAAAATGTGCATCAATTTACATTATGGGCAAAATTTGATTTGATTAAGTCTCACAGTGTTATAGAGTCATATTTGCTTATGACCAAGTTCCGAGCACAATTTATTGCTTCTCATAATCATATCAAGGCACTGTTCACACATCTTTCGTGATTCGTTTATATAATTCCATTATATCTCATCTCATCTTGATTTGATTGGTAGTAGTATTTCCATATTCCTGGCATGGGTGATGAGTCATTCCTATTTCATGTGTTTGGTGTAGACTCGATGAACAAGGATTCAGTAATCAACCTCTCTCTCTCCACCTACTTAGATTACTTTTTAGAATTGTGTGCTAATGTATGCAGTGCAATGTAGCTGTGAGCTTTTTCTAAATTACTTATTTTCGCGGGTGGGGTCGATCATTCCAACCTTAGCTAAATTCTTATGTTCTGAAAATCTGACTACCCCCGACCTACTAGTTTGACCTGTGTAGTCGGCTTAACTCACAGTCGTTGCAGTGTATTTTTAAATTATATTATTTTGTCTAATCGGGTCAACCGATAGGGTCTTTTAGTTTACAGAGCTTGTCCTACCTGAGTGAGTTTGTAGGTTGGAATGCCACCCTCAGTCCTGCTTTATTGAGAATCCTAAGTAGGGTTTCAGATTCCCCTTCCCTCCTTATATGGTAGAACTCTAGATGCCTTATATTCTCTACTATGTTTTTTATGCTTTTGACCATTTTTGATATTCCTAATGAATTTTATATGATAGTTAGTTTATTAACACCAACCGGCCATTCTTCTATCTGTTGTACTACATAGTGCTACTGCTCGGTTTGTTAGACACTTAACTAAGCCTGCCTTAACAGTTAACGGATGAGATGAATTAAAGTCTAAATATCTATTAGAATGCATTGGCATTTTATAAACATTAGTGTGAAGTTTACCTTCTTCTATTCGTTTTATTTTACAATCTAACATGATGGCTAACTACTATCCTTGTTCATTTTCTGATTCAAATGTGAATTTTATTCCCTCTACTAGTGAATTTATATGTATCAAGAAGCTAGAGATATCAGTGCATCAATTTAATTTGTCCCGCTTCAAACTAACCCATATATATGGAGAGAAAATTAATGCACAGAAAATGTAATTTAGGAAAATTTACCAAAGAAGAAACAGGTTGAATGAGATGTTTAAGAATTTCAACAAGCTGAATGCTGACAATGAATGAGCACATAACAATGACTATAATACAATTCTGTTTCAGACATTTTGTTTACACGTAGTGCAGAAATTTTCATCGTATTTCGTTTCAAAATATTTCCTCATCATATAGGATTTATCTGTAAAGTTATAATCTGACGTTTTGTAGCCTGGATGGATGAATTTGAATTGAAATGAGCTCCCAGATTTCTCCATGAGTTTATTAGTCATTTCTCCTAGTGACCTGACCTTGAACGTGATTGGTTGTTTTGTGTGTTCTTACACTCTCCAGACTGCTTTTATTGGTATTGGTGTTGATTGTTTCCTTGATGTGAAGTTTGACCCTTTCTGTGATATTTCCATCTTATCGATAAGTAAATTTTGTCTATGTCAATATGTCTATTGATTGAAGATTCACTGCAATACCAGGCAGGCTTCTAAAAATTCTCTGGCATTCTTGGTGTTCCCTCTGTCTAATATTTGAACGTTGTTTGTCCCAGTTGAATTGATGTCTGTCGTTGTCTGTATGAAGTGATATGAGGGAGTGGATATCATGTCTTTTGACGGTTAGTTTACGATCTTCGATACGAAGACGAAGAGAACGTCCACTTTGGCCAATACAGTGTTTTTCACAGACTATTTCGAGGGTGTGAAAACACACACAACAAGCCAATCGCGTTCAAGGTCAGGTTACCAGGAGAGATGACTTATAAATTCGTGGAGAAATCTTAAAGCTCACTTCAATTCAAATCGAAGTATGCTGTTAGATGAGGATGTTGCTTATTAGGAGGCAATGAAAGCTTCGCAAATCAATTATCCAGCTGAGAGAACACAACTGCATCAAAAATAATCTGAAGTATGTCACGTGATTTAGTTTTGTTGCCTGTGAGGAAAGAGAAACTTCTGTAAGTTTTCTCCATTTCCTTGAAGAATTGTGCAACGTTTATTTGGAAGCTTATTAACTATGTGCATAAGTTCATTTGATATATTTCTTTGATTTAAACATTATAAGAAGTCCAGAGGAGTTTAAACAGCATTTTGACGAATAGAAATTCTGTTGCCCCAAAGATTCAAGTCATTTACAAATGTAGAATTGTCATAAATTCAAGTTATGTTACCAAACGTCTTTAACGATTGATTTCCAGCATGAAAAATACAGTCAATAATCTTCTTTCAATTACTTCACATCAAAGCTACATAGAGAAATTTGCTAGTCATAGGTCATAGGAATGCCACTTTTATTTGTATACCTTTGTAATTCCATATTAGTCTGTTTATTAGATATATCACACGCAATAATTGAAACAGTATTATTCACTGGATGACACACTTTCGAACACAATTCATTATTGTTCATAATCATATCAGTTGTGATCACACGACTTCGAAACTTGACTTTTATAGTTTTCTTTATTCTCTCTTATTTGTCGTCACTGGGGTAGTGGAATTTTCCAGATATTTGTGTGGACAGGGGTTGAATCCTTCCTATTGCAAACATGTATTCCCAGTTGATTCGATAAATAAGGCTTCCGTTATCAACCTCTCCCTGCCATCACTCTGTTGTATGACTGTGCGTGTTTGAATGTGTTGTAGTGCTTGCTGTGGCTGAACTACTTTCCAGATTTATTATCTTATTCTGTGTTTTGGGTTTATCTTATTTAGATTTCCTGTAAACACTAGTGTCTTTAACTTCCCATCTTCTTCCTTTTTTATGCTTCAATCTAACATTGGAAGCTTCCCCGATTTCTTACTTTCCAATTCATAAATTTGAATTTAATTGCCTCTACCTTGGAGTTGATGTGTTCGATACCCACACTTCCAAACAGATATTTGGATTTCCGATCACTCAAGCCTATATCAGTAAAAATAGGATTGGTGAAATATAAGCAGGCAAATCTAAGACAGGAATTGAGACATATAAGAGAAGCCTTGAAACTGAATAATTAGCCTGATAAATTAGTCAGGAATCACGTAGGGAAATGTAAAAATAAAATAAATAATGAAAGTAGTGATAGTGGTAATAATAATAATAATAGTAATAGTAATGACGAAATGCATGTCAAGCATGCGCAGGATAATGACAACACCAACAATAAAGAATCCAAATCATCAGTAGTAATTCCATACAAAGAAGGAACCTCCGAAACCATCTTACAGAGAATTATTAACAAGGTAGGAATAAACGGTGCTGTTATTCAGTCATCTACAAACTCAATCAGAAACAAGCTTCATCATTTAAAGGCTCATGTGGACCTCATTATACAGAACAATTTAGTTTATCTAATACCCTGTTGGATTGATTGTCAGGTGGAATAGATAGGTCAAAGCAGCCGAACAGGTACAGTCAGACTAGTGGAGTATTAAAAAAACCTAGCAAACTCTAGATTAGTTCACCCGAATAAGATAAGAAATCTGGAAAGCAGTTCAACTATAGCATTCACTAAGTGGAATCACAAACAACCATACAGTAGGATGGGATACGATAACCGTTTTAAAATCAAATATAACAGCTGGGTCGAAGGAGAGATTGATAACACAAGCTTTATTTATCGATAGGAATGATTCAACACATCTCCACTTGGATATTTGAAAAATTTTACTATCCCTACGACAAATAGGGGAGAAGAGAGAAAAATATTAAACTCAAGTTTCGAAGTTGTGTGATTATAACTGATGATATGATTATGAAAAGCAATAAATTGTGTTCAAAACTGTGTCATCCAGTGAATAATATTGTTTCACTGTGTGATATATCCAATAGACTAACTGTTATGTAAAAATACTTATGACCACAGTGCTCAAGCTGTGCACATATATTGTATTGCTTTGATTAGTAATTACTAAAAATGGATACTATTTATTGATCTATGTCTCTGGATAAGCCAGTATTCCAAGGAATATAGCCATACACTCTACACTTGCACAGATGGCTGAAATCAACTGGCGGAGCTTTTATGGAGTGAGGCTATGCTTCAGTTTGATCACCTCCCCCCCTATCCCTTAGCCAATCCGATACCATTACAGCTAACACTTATCGCCGAGGAAGGCTCTGTGTGTGGGGGGGGGGGGTTCAAAAGGTGTGCCAATTATGGCAATCACCTCAATGCAGTTTCATAAAGTTGGAGACTGAATTTCTACCCTTACATTTTCGCCAATATTAAAGTATTTATTTGCCTCTGTGTAACAACCAAATGAGTCTCATTGAAATGTAAAATAAATCTATCTAACAAGTCTCAAAAAGGGACAAAAATTACGTTCTTGATTCCACTCATCAATAGTCACTGTCAGCCAAATAATATAGAGTTAATCTGAAGGCATTGCTTCTTTTTTCATATTGGGGAAATTCACACGTCAGCAGAATCTAAGCGCTTCAGTCAGGAAATCTCCAGATAATTTCAATAAATAACTTACCTCAACGCAGCTTTAGCGTGCCTACAAGTAATAACACAAGACAGTATGAAACAGTAAACACACATATTATTTTACTTCTGACTGACCACGGATCATTACAGTTCTCATACAACTGAAGGATATTATCGTTAGAGAAGTTAAATGGCAGTTTAAAGTAAAAATCATGTGAAGTGAAGCTGCTCACTTTGAAAAATTTAAATAATCCCATCATTTTTCAAGAGTTGGTCTGTAAGGATTAAATTTGTTTTCACGAAGACCAGGGGCAACTGGAGAGCTGTTTCATATTGGTTTGGGACTCTTCTTCGCTACGCACACACTGCCAGGGTTCGAACCCAGGAACTTCTGCTTATAACGCTAGCTAGCTCGTTGACCATTAAGCCACTGGCACCCGATCCAATGGCTGACGCATGAATTCCAACTTCTGCCAGTTCACGACATAGCGCGACTGGCACTAGCCAATGTCTTCGGCGAGTATTCGTCAGTCAAATCCCTACAAACCACCAATTGATTATCGATGAGATGCTCACTAGCAACTGGCCGTATTCAGGTAGGTAGTTACCTGGCTTTCTAGTGAAATGTTGTGACCAGTAGGGTGCAGCAGGTTGCGTGTGTGGGAACAAATACTCGCCAGCGTGACACTGGTTAGCGGTTGCGCTGTCATGTGAATTGGTAGAAGTTAGAGTTCATGGGCCAATCGATTGGTGGTTCCCAGTGATAACTGGTCATGTAACCGGAAGGTCCTGGTTTGGAACCTTGGTGGGGTGTGCGTACTACCGAAGAGTCTCCAACTAGTGGAACGAAACAGTTGTCCAATACTCCCTGGCTGGTTTTCCAATGGTTCTCCAACCAATATCAACTCATGAAAGAATCCTCTAACCAATCAATCAAATTCCTACAAACGAGTGCTTGAATACTGTAGAATCAACAATGATCAGAATATATATATACTAGAACTGACTCTCAGTACTTATTTTAGTGAATATTAGTAGAATAGTGAACATTCCCTTCTATCTTCTTAACATATACTTCACTTTCGATCAAATAAACGTGTTTTCTGCATAGCATTTCTCTCTGTATTCCTTTATGGCTGTATGACATGGTCACTTAGAGTAAAGGATATGAAAAGGTTAGTTGCCTTTGACTACAAAGGCTCACGTTCTATCTTCTATGTTAAGTAGTATAATATAGTGAGTAATATCGAGGTCAAGGGTATGCTGCTAGTAAAGAAGGGTAAGCTGATGAACACAGGTGGAAAGTTACATCAGTTGAGATGTACCGAGCTACCGCCTTCCTCTACAGGGAATGTTAGCTGACTTCGGGTTGAGTTGGAAAAGAGTTAGTGATGCCTATCAAACCAAAATCCGACATCAGTCCATGAAGTTTTTGATAGGTGATTTCCGCCAGTTACGTTGGGAGGTGTTTGGCTCCACGAGATGCTGAGAACCAATGGTTAGAGACTATTGGTGGTATGGCTCAAAATCGTCCTCAGCAATGCAGATGTAATCACCCTTTGAAACCTTCCAAACAATTTGCATGTTCCCATCTTCCCCCCACCCTCGTCTAGATTTCTGTCTATTACAGTTTTTTTGAATTTATTTTTTCCTCTTCTCCACTGTCTCTACCTTCGTGTGCAAAATTGAAATGTTCCACTATTGTGAAAGATTCACTGCTGGAACTCAATAAGTCGACCACTTTGTTAATCATTCTCCTTCTAATATATCTCTTCTTCTAATTCTACTTTCAAGTAAATTTAAGTTCACATTACCAGTTCCAAGTCATCAAGCTGTACTATTTTAGAGAATTTTTCTAACTCCTATGCACAGATCGAAATAGTAGATCACTGTCAATTCGATTATTGGAACATAGAAATTTTATAGCTGTATCTAGAATGACTGACCCGTACAAAGTTAAATCTCAGGAATCCCTTCCTGCAGAACTTGAGAAACCAATATCATGACGCCACACTATACCACTGAATACAGTGACGCAAGAAGACAAGAAAAGAGACCACTGACGTAGAGAGTTTTGACTGTTGTGTTTCAGCAGCTTAAAGGTTTAACAGCAATAGAGTATATGTATATATACAGCGTCGATCGAGAGGTGATTTGGCAACTACTTCGCTACTACGGGGTGCCATCGACAATTATACATCTCATCCAACAGTTATACGACAATGCTGCATGCCAAGTAATCCACAACGGGAAACTTACGGAAGTCTTCGAAGTGAGGACGGGAGTGCGACAAGGGTGTCTACTACCACCAATGATCTTCCTGATTGCAATCGATTGGATAATGCGACAGACAACGGCAACCAACGAGGGAACAGGCATAAAATGGACTGATACAAAAGACTTGGAGGATCTGGATTTCGCCGATGATATATGTCTGATTTCCCACAAACTGGAAGATATGCAAGTGAAAAGCAACAAGCTGGCAGAAGAAGCATCGAAGATAAGACTTCAAGTGAACATAGATAAAACAAAGGTGATGAAGATTCCTGGCCAACACCAACATCAACAACAACAACAGACGACAGTCAGCATAAATGGGAGGAACCTGAAAGAAACAACCTCCATCACCTACCTGGGAAGCATCGTTTCAACTACAGGCGGAACTGACGAGAATATCAAAGCCAGAATCGGAAAAGCAAGACAGGCTTTCATTACTCTCAAGTCTGTGTGGAAGTCAACAGCACTCAGCATCAAAAATAAGATCTGGGTTTTCAACTCCAATGTAAAGTCAGTACTACTTACTATATGAATCAGAGACTTGGCCAGTCATAGAGAGCATCTCAAACAAACTACACGCCTTTATCAACAGGTGTCTTCGCTCAATACTCAAGATCAGATGGCTGGCCAGAAAAGATCAGCAACACGGATCTCTGGCAATGAGCGAACCAACCAGGAACCGATTGTGAAACAAATAGGCAGGAAGAAATGGAGATGGATTGGGCATACTCTGAGGAAACCATCAAGTGATATCACTAGACAAGCCCTCGAGTGGAACCCGAAAGGGAGGCGGCGAGTTGGTCGTCAGTCAAGGGTGACTTGAAGGAGGTCATGCGAGAAGGAGATGAAAGCATGTGGACAGACCTGAAGCGGGGTGAAAAAGTTGTCAGAAAACCGAAGGCAATGGAGGTGCTCAGCTGAAGCCCTATGTTCCTCTAGGAACTAAAGGATACAATAATAATAATATATGTATATACGTCTAAAATGGCCTGGAGTGGCACTAATCACATCGATGAGTTATAACAGTCGACAACCAAAAGGATTTTAAGGTCGTAAGTGGGAGGGAAATACAAACTACTATAAAAAGATAAATATAGTGTTTTAGAAAAATTAGGTTTATATTGCAGCAAGTTCCCTGTCTATTAAAAATTAGGTGTCAGGGATGTTCAGTTCAGTGAAACTTAAAAACACCATTTTATCATAAACTAAAGTTATATATACCATCATCGATGAGTGGGATGTCCTTGCAAGTGGAACATTGAGGAGATCGTGTGAGGAAGAGATGAGAGAGTTTGGTCCATCGTGGAGCTAGTCAGCTGAAGAGGACAGCAGAGAACAGAACAAATTGAAGATGTGTTTTGTTGAAGCCATCCTATGTTCCACTTGGAAACCAACGGGAATAATAATGATATAATAATGTGCTATCATCTTTGCATGTCTTCACCTCTTCATTTAAGTTATTATCATTCATTATTTGCATTCCACTGACTTTCAGATCGTGTTCTTTATTACTTAATTGGGAACAACAATCGAATTCAAAGGTTAGAAAAATGCCTTATTTCGCATTGCACCAATGATGTTTGTATTGAGAGAGATGAGCTATAATTTTCTGACGATAATAAGAAGCAGCAAGGTTAGGACTCCAGGTGAACATAAACAAGACGGAAGTTATGCAAATAACCAACCAACCAACAACAACATCCTGTATCAATCACCATCAACGGGAGGGATCTCAAAGAGGTTACTTCATTCACTTCACTTATCTAGGGAGCATTGTCTCAACTACAGGAGGAACGGACGAGGATGTCAAATTGAGAATCGGTAAGGCGAGAAACACATTCACTCATCAACCTGAAACCAATTTGGAAATCTTCGTCACTCAACCAGCATCAACAACAAAATTCGGTCGGATTTTCAATACAAACGTCAAGTCAGTCAGTTCTCCTATACGGATCAGAAACTCGGCGGGCGGGTCACAAAGAATATTTACAACCATCGGGTTTCATGCAGACCTTTATTAACAACTGTTTTCTCTGGCTCTATACTGAAGATCAGATGGCCGGGCCGGGACAAATCACCAAGAAGAAACGATGGGAACAAACAAAACAAGAACTAATCGCCAACCAACAAATATGCAGGAGGAAGTGGAGATGGATTGGACACTCGCTCACTGAGGAGGCCGGTTGGTGACATCGCGAGGGCGTCAGGCCATTACTCGAGTGGAACCAAGCCGAAAGGGAAGCGGCGAGTGAGACGTCGAAGGGTGACATGGAGGAGATCGTGTGAAGAGGAGTTGAAACAGTATGGACTAACATGGATTCAGGTGAAAAGTACAGCAGAAGACAGAAGCAAGTGGAGACGGGGAGTTGAAGCCCTATGTTCCACTAGGAACCTAAGGGAACAAAGAAAAAAATACGTGTAAAAATAATGTCTATTTTCAGATGTATCTAACCTCCCCGGATATGAAGTCCCTACATAATTATTTAGTTGCTAAGGTAGTCTTGTGAAATGGTTTTAAAATGTTTGTGACTATAAAATTATATAAATTTCCATCTTACACATTTATTATTGACGTCAAACTGTAATGAATATAAGAAAAAACAGGAAAATTGTTTAAAATAATTTTAAGCACAGAATGATTAGCTAAATTTCGCTTGTATTCTTCACTGTGTGTTTGAAAAGCAGATCTTGTGGAGGTAGATACGTTGGCCGTACCTGGAATTCGCTTTCCAAACGTATCACCGAACACTTACCAACATGGTTTTACAAAGGAGAAAAACGATGCCCCGCCCCCATAGCTCCATCTTAGAACATATGAAAGATTCCGAACACCAAGCTACACCCCAAACAAACTTCAAAGTCGTCTTCAGAGGTAAGAAGTAATCCTCCTAAAGGTGTACGAATCAGACTTCTTCAAACTAAAAAAGTAATGGCGATACACTAGCTAAGTCCTGAACTCTGCATACACAAGACGTTCGTTCAATCACTACATTTTCAGCAATGGACGTAATCTATCTTATTACCCGACAAGTAAATTCTACCTAATCTTTTTTCTCTTCTGTCTATTCATTCATACTATCTTGTCTTTACAATTGTAAATCTTTAAATATTCCCATTTATAATATTAGAACAAGACATATAAGCGAACAATATTGTTTTCAATTAGATCTTCTTCAGGCTTTACTCTAATTTACATAGACTTATATATATAAAATTTTAACCAATGACGGTGATTTTGTGGATCAAATAATAATAATGTGGTAAATGTTTTGAACGAAGTTAATAACGACGATTATAATAATAACAAAATATTGATAATAAGGCTTATATAGGTGATAGGAATAACAAAGTTAGTATATGCATATATGTAGACAATTCAATAAATAAATAAATTAGGTCAAATCAAATGGAACGATAATCAGAGTTTAAATAAATATCATAAAAGTACGAAGGAGAGGGATGATAAGAAAGGGTGGGAGGGTTTTGAATAGAATTCACTTAGGCCAAGGGTGGGAGAGACAAAGGTAGAACAAATTTCTTTTGTATACAAAGACTAGGATTGTTCTCTCGAATTCCCATAGCTTCGGCTAAGTGTAAAAGATGGGTTCTGATTCCGTTCGAAAGACTCGACCACTATCAATCAAATGAGCCAAAATAGAGCTTCTTACAGACTTTATTTGACCTTTTCCGAACCATGAAGGAAGATGCTCATTAATGCGTTTGTTAAGCTGTCTAGTTGTTCGGCCTATATAGCTTTCTCCACAAGAGCAACTAAATTTATAGATACACATGGAAGTGGCACAACTAGGTAGCTTATCTTTCACTTGAGCAATCAAAATTCGTCGGCTGGAAAATGACAAACAGAGAGTGGCGGCAGTATAAGTCCGTTTTATCGCCCTCGATAATCTCTGATGTAAGGTTTCACTAGCCACGTCCCCATTAAATTGCAGTTTCCCGAACAGTTGTTTCTTTTTAACTGTTTTCGGTTTTTCTTTATTGTACTTGGCATTCATGTGTCTCCTGACAAATCTACTAGGATAACCCATTTGAACTAACGTATTTTGGTTGTATCCTAGCTCATTCTCTAGGGAGTCATCTGTACAGATGCGTCTTGCTCTATTCGCCAGACATCTGACTTAATTGATTTTGTATTGGATTGATACATAACTGAGGAAATATGTATATTGTCCTACAGATGTAGGTTTTCTATAGACATCTCTGTTTAGTGAACCATCCTCTCTTCTGCTCAATTGGACATCAAGAAAATGTAGTCCACCATCATATTCTTCTTCACAAGTGAAGATGAGTGATGGATGTGCATCATTAAACTTTTTTAACATTTCATTCTTGTCAGATTTCACATCAAGAATAATAAAGGTATCATCAACATAACGAAAATAAGAATCAGCTTTTTCTATTACTTTTTTCAATGGACCATTTTCAATCTTGGCAAGAAAGAAATCCGCTAAAATTGGCCCCATCGGAGAACCCATGGCAATACCGTCGATTTGCCTGTAGTAGTACAATTGTATTATTTTACATTTTCAACTTTCCTGTTCTCTAACCCCACCCGATTTAATTTCTACACTTCATTACCACTGTTATTAACTTTACCAACGGTCAATTTCTAGTAATTTATGTTACGTCATCCAACTTATTTGCTCAGTTTCAGTTCTAATTTAAGTGGCATTATTATCTACCCCACTTCTACTTAGTCTCTACCTGTAATTACCTCTGTTGCTACCCTGACCTAAGTTGAAACATTTTAGTCGACGATAAAATACGTCATCTAACTTACTAACTAACACAATCTTACTTTAGTTGCTGTCTAATTAACCTTGTTTCTACGTTAGATCATTCTTGTATTACCTTATTCATTAATTATCTAAACTTGACAAACCTCATGTACACACACAAATAATTATATATCGATGCGATTGTAGAGATGTGTGAGTGAAATCGCCGAAAAGAGTCTCTTCGTTGAACGTCTTCTCTTTACCTCTACGACTGAATGGGGATTTTCAAGATTTATGCATGTCTACACTTGTTATGACTGACTGATAGCTGATACTTTAACATAATCGTAAGTCCAGAGTAGTTCAGTGACTCGAGCAGTCAAACTGCCGGAAAAGAGTGCTTCTACAGGTCCCACCATTATGTTTGTTTTCTGAAGGTGGAGTTTAATATAGGTGTATGGGTGACTCTAGCCAAGTGTCATGTTTGCATCACCAGTAATTCCACCAGACTGCATTCTCAGTGTGGAAAATAGGGGTTGGAACAGGTATTATTATGATTATTTCCCTGGGTACCGAGTTGGGCACAGGGCTTCAATAACCCAATTCCCCTTCACCTTGTTTTCTGAGGTTCTTTTTAGATGGATGCACGACTGTTCATAATTTTCATTGCCTCCTAGCATAATTTACTCCATATCACCATGGGACTACATCCCATTCTTCATTTCTCATTCGATTTACACTTTAGGGTTTGTCCTGAGCGTGACGTTACTCCACTGTGAACTTGGAAGTCACTGTAGCTTTGATACCTTCAGTTTTTAGTAAGAACGTTACTCTAGCCACGGTAGGCCGATTGAATGTATGCAGTGCTTTCGAACGCAGAGTTCCAGTTTCACATCCCGAGTAGCCAATGATGCAGCTGTGTATAGATGGTGTACGATATTGAGGAACTGCTTCATAGTGCTATACAGAGTTCCTCAATATCATATGAAAGAACTTCGAATACCCCATTCACACATGGCTGAATCATTGGCTTCTCGGGATCTGATATTGGAACTCTGGATTCAAAGATACTGCATACATACACTAGCCCTACAGTAGCTAGAGTAGAGATCTTAAAATAATTTTTTTTTCATTTTGTTATGCAAGTTTATTGTTGTTATCCTTATTTTATTATCACTCTATTACTAGCCAGTAGGGTAAACTAGGTATGGTGTTATAACAAATACTCTCCGGAAGCATTCGCTGGTGATGGCGGTAGAGAACAGGCGAATTTTCAGGATTCATAATTCTTTGGTCACCGGATTCTGTTCCAGCCGCTAGATAGCCAATGAGGTCACTTCATGACCTAAGGATCCTGGGATTTGATCCTGGGTGAAACCATGGATGCATTATGATGAAGAGCCGCGAACTAGGACGAAACACGTGTCCAGTATTCCTTGGTTTTCAACACTTCTTTAACTAATGTCAATCAATGATCAAAAAGCTTGAGACGAATTCACACCTTCTGTCGGTAAAGAAATGACTTTTAGGTAAGGTAAGCAAAACTGTGATCACTGTGCGCCGGTGGCACAGTGGTTAGGACTCTCACCGACCATGCACATGGTCCGGGTTTCGATCCCTTGCCGACGCACACCTGATATCTATGGTAGGCCTGAAAAATTCGGACTACCGATATCCATGCTGAAAACTCCATACTCGTACCAAAAATACGGTATGGAATCAAGCTGTAATGAAAAATTAAAAAAAAATTAAATAAAAATTTAAGACATCACTTGGAACTTACAACTGGCTGTGTGCTTCAAAGCTGTGTTTGAAATAATAAAACAATAGGAAGGCATATAGTCTGTGGAATTTTTTCGCTTCATGAATGCAATTGCCTGAAATATTTATGCAAGAGCTACGCAGAAGAAGAATTTTGCTTTTAATTGTAATACGAAAATTAAAAACATGAATATCTATTCTGTTAGATAGTTGGACGCAATCAGCCACAGAAAGTCTTGCCTGACCTAAGTTTCGTGCTAGCTGGCACTCACCAGTCGTCAGTCAGCAAGGCGTATCTGCAATCACCTTGAAGGAATTTATCTCCCTTCTTAGATTCGAACACGCGTCACCCAGTGGGTACTTCAGTCAGAGACGTCAACAATGAGCAAGCTATTTGCGTTGTCTCACGAATGGCCTCCTATAGGACTGTAGTGGGTACTTTGACTGGACACTAGTAACTGCTGTGATGTGAAGAAATGTTCTTTTTAATTCCCTTACATTCCCAGTGTGTAATGTGGCGAGGGATTCAACGTAGAGTGTAGAAGTTTTGGTAGCAGTGGTATTTTTCTTTTACAGACAGGGTTGCTAGCCTCTTGCCCAACCCTGCCTCTTTACCAGTCTAATTACTGGTTTAGCGAGGTAAAGGAGTATGTCGGTGGCCAGAGATGGAACTGCTCACCACTATTGTGGTTGGCGAGCATTCTACCGCTGTGTCATTGACGCGAACACATATTCGCTGATTTTGTTTTCTTTCTGATGTAAAATAAAACTTAGATGTGATATTATTGTCAGTGAAATGTTTGAGCATTGTGGAATAGATCAAATAAACTAGAATTATGTTTCAATATTTAATTAAATTTTAGAATTTCCCGTCGATTGATTGGACCGAAGTGCCCGGTCTCAGCTTGACATTTCGGCAATTCTTGTGCACATACTTCGACGATGTCTAGGCATGTAATTAGAATTTAATTGATGGATAGTGACAAGCAGTGGAATCCAGGATGCGCACCTCGTCTTATTTGCGTCTCGTCAACTTAATGTACCTGGATTCTTCAATAAGTGATAATGTTACCAGAGAGTCTCAGTGCCCAGTGCCCATAGTTCCGAACGCCAAAGTGTTATCCACTAAACCATTTGGGCCACGAGAGTCCCAAATAGGACGAAATTCGCGTTATCCTAGATTCCACTGCTAATCGCCATCCATCAATCAAATTATATTTCAATAGTTTACACACAATGATAAGTTCTGATTGTTTGTTATTGGGAATATGTTGAGCGAAATTACTGCCCAAGATGATCATACCAACTATATATATATATATATATATATATATATATATATATATTGATGTGGTTTTGTTCTCTGAGCTGGATGGTTAGTTTGCGAAGCTTTCATCGCCCCACTGGGTGACATCTTCAGCGCATACTTCAATTTGAGGTGAGCTTTTAGGTTTCTCCACGAGTTTACTAATCATTCCTCCTGGTGACCTTGGACGTGATTGGTTGTTTGCTAGTTTTTGTCCGATAGAGGTATATAATGCTGTCAAAACTAGCAAATATATAATGCTGACAAAAAATAGCAAAAGAAACCATGGAGAAATTACTTAGCAACGACGAACAACTTCCACAACAATCAAAAATGCAACACACAAGCTGGATGGAATGCATAAATCTATGCCTAACAACATACTTCCAATTCAACGGCCAAATATATGAACAAGTCAAAGGAACACCCATGGGATCGCCAATATCAGGTTTGATTGCAGAAGCAGTGATGCAAAGACTCGAAAACATAATTCTACCAAAGATCAAACCCAAGATTTGGATACGCTACGTCGACGACACATTTGTAATAATCAAAAGAAACGAATTAGATAAAACTCACAACTTAATAAACAACGTCTTCAACGACATCAAATTCACAAGAGAAGAGGAATCCGAGAACAAAATACCATTTTTGGACGTCTTAGTCAGGCGAACAACTACAGGAGAATTAGAAACTCAAGTTTATAGGAAATCAACTCACACAGACCAAATACTGAATTACAACAGCAACAACCCAATAGCACACAAAAGGAACTGCATACAAACACTATTCAAGAGAGCAAGGACTCACTGCAGCACTCCCACCTTAAGAAAAATTGAAGAAAAGTATCTCATGGACGTCTTCCAAAAGAATGGATATCCACGGAATTTCATCAAGAGACATATACCCCCAAGCCAACCTACCAAAACAAAAGCCACCAAGGAAAACACAAAGAAAATCGCCTTACCATATATAAAGGATATCTCAGAAATCACTACAAGACTCTTCAAACCTTTAGGAATTGACGTCGTACACAAACCAACAAAGTCGCTGCACTCAATTCTATGTCAACCAAAAGACTCAACAGCAAAAGAAGACAAAACCAACATCATCTACAAAATAAACTGTAACAACTGTGAAAAACACTACATTGGCCAAAGTGGACGTCCCCTTCGTCTTCGTATCCACGAACATAAGCTAGCCGTCAAAAGACATGATATACACTCCCTCATTTCACTACACACAGACAACCACGGACATCAATTCGACTGGGACAACGTTCAAATATTAGACAAAGGAAATAACAAGAATGCTAGAGAATTTTTAGAAGCTTGGCATTCCAGTGAATCATCAATCAATAGACACATCGAGATAGACAAAATTTATCAACCAATAAGAAAGAAACTTCACACACAAATGGCCAAAGTTCAAGTCACAGAAACAATCAGTTCCAACACAAGTAACCTAGAAGGTGTGAAAACACACACAAACAACCAATCACGTCCAAGGTCACCAGGAGAAATGATTAATAAACTCGTGGAGAAACCTAAAAGCTCACTTCAAATTGAAGTATGCGCTGAAGATGTCACCCAGTAAGGTGATGAAAGCTTCGCAAACTAACCATCCAGCTCAGAGAACAAAACCACATCAATATTATCCACCTGAGCTACAAATCTTCTCTATCATATATATATATATAATTGACTTTTTTTATTTATTCATTTTTGTGTATTACGAATTATATTCTAGGTTGTCCACAGTTGTGCTGTCGAGTCACCCTTGTTACATGTATCCAGCATGTGACCTTAATGAATATAGATCCTGTTATTAATATTCGCTCTTTCCATTTGTTCATATTAGTTCGTATTTAGAATACAAACATTGTTCCCATCGATATTGTGATTTTTGTCCCATGATGTATGTGCAGCTATCGATGAATTTTTGTTTTTTCTAAATTCTTGTAAGCTTGTGTTCCCTGTTGGGCGTTTATGTTCATTCACTCTTATTTTTAGTGATCTGGACGTCTGACCCACATATTTAGTCGGACACTCGGCATAAGATACTTTGTAAATCAAATTGTTTTTATCCATCATTTTTTATGGGATCTTTCAGTGGATTTATTTTTATTTTTGATTAGATTCGTCAATTTAAACGTTTTACGAATCCCAATATTTTTGAGGTTTTTTTGAATTACACCTCTGATATACCTTTTTTTGTATGGTATTGTGATCACTTACCTCTTTTCTAATGCCTTATATCTATGAAAGCAAACAGAGAATTTAAAAAATATCTGCATAAATAGTATGGATTCGCTTAATCTTTTAACCGCGTATTTATATTCCTAGTCTTTGCTTAGTAAAAAAAACAGAAATTTTAGAGGGAGACATTATATGATAAGTGTTTGGTGAGTTATTCAGTTTGCTGTTACGTAATACCCTTCGTAGAATTATGTATAATGATTTTTTGAAGTAATAACTTTTCAGTTATCAAGGAAGTCATCATATCAAACAATTTGTATTATTCATAAGAAAAACACAGTTTTTGTTCAGAGAAGAAATTTCTTTTCAACGACTTTATTTTCAAGCTGTACAGTCGTATTTATATTACAGAAAAGGGTTATTAAGTGGCACTAAATAATTGCTCAGTCAATGTACCTATGTATGTGATAAAAGTTATAAGGGGTAGAGTTGAAGTGAGAAAATTACAAAAATGTTAAAGATTGTTTTATAACAAAAATGTCAAGTGTTGTCTAAAAATTTTGAAAATTAGGAGTACGATTACGATAAGAATGAAGATGTGAAGTGAAGTGGAAAGAATTCAAGTGGTAAAATAAAATAAAAACTAGAAAGAACATTATTATGACCAAGGTAAAGAAAGGGGTTTGACAAAACGCTTTTGAACACATAATTTAGGTTTCTGTTCATGTATAGCTAAAGCTTCGGCTATACATAAGTGAAGAAAACGTAAACTTTTGGATCGATTCGATTTTGTCATGTATATAACTTTGAAAGATGAATCACGTGGGGCTAAATGACCAGATTCTAACAGGTGATCACACAAATAGACGACATCGCAGTTCTACGTTCGCCATTCATTAACCAAACCGGATAGTGTTCAGCTACACGTTTTCGGAGATTACGCTTACAACGTCCAATATAAACAGCTCCACAAGAGCAAGTAAAAGAATAAATGCACATAGATGTGGACAAAAGCGGCAATATATCCTTGACACATTGTCTGATCATATTTCGGCTAGTAAAAACTAGTTGCAGGTCAGCTGCAGGAAAAGTGCGTTTAATACATTTAGATAAACGATTTTTAATCAATTCTGAAATGTTGTCACCTTTGAATGCGAGGCTCATAAACAGCTTTTTCTTTGGTACTGTGACTTGTCTCGGGGCGGATTCTTTCTTGATGTTACGTTCAACGAACCTTGTGGCATAACTATTGTTAAGGAGATTTGATCGAAGGTTATCTAGTTCCCTATCGATTGTCTCTGCAGAGCAGATTTTACGAATTCTGGAGCATAAGGAATGAATAAGATTTCTCTTTCTCCCTAAAGGTACCCAACTGTTGAAGTTAGTGTACTGCCCAGTGAATGTTGGCTTTCGGTAAATCGACCTTAGAAGCGTTCCATTCTCTCTTCTATCTAGCTTAACATCAAGGAAATGAAACGAAGAATCCGACTCCTCTTCGATCGTGAAAAGCAAAGATGGGTGAGAACCATTCAATATTCTAAGACGTTCGGCAGTTGAAGTGTTTTCATCACATACAATGAAGGTATCATCAACATATCTTTTATACATAAACAGAGTATCGATGGTTTCCTTTAGTGGGCCATTCTCTAAGCTAGCCATGAAAACGTCCGCTAAGAGCGGTCCTAAAGGAGACCCCATGGCGACTCCATCCCTTTGGTTGTAGATGACATCATTAAATCTAAATTGCACATTCAGTGTGCATCTCAATAGTAGTTGTTTGTATTATTGTTATGATCATTCCCTTACGTTCGGAGTGGAAAATATGCCTTCTACAACACATCTCCACTATGTTCTGTTTTCTGCCACCCTCTTCATCTGGGTCCACGACTGATCAAAGTCTCTAGTCTCCTCCTGTCGCCTTTGAAGGCGACCTAACCCTAACTTGTCCTTGGCTTAAAGGGTAAATTATTCTCTCCCAAACCTAAGCTGAAACTTGCCAGATATCCCATTTTATAGCATAACACTTCAATGAGCATATTTTATTGATGGTGACAGCATTATTTGCCAGTGAGCGTTTCAAGGTCATTAGTGTGGTCAAACTCTATTGGTAGTTAGCGGTACTAAATGTTTAAATTGGCCCATCAAATGTTCAAGACTGTATTGAGCTAAAGACAGATGATGAAATAATGTGTAATAGTAATCAAGGAAGAAAGCATTATTCCAAAAAACCTCTATACTACTGAGTGATTGAGATGAATCGATATATACCACTCGAATCTATTAGTAGCCAAAGTTTTATTTATATATAGTTATAGCTATAGTATCTACTGGGTATCCTATGAATAACTTGACTTTATCTTTGAAAAATTTGCTTTTCAACACAGATTGATACGCATGAAGAAGATGTCCAAGCATTGAGCTGCTAGTCGGTCCAACGTTTTTCCTGTTCAACTGCCTTGTAGTACAGCCTGAGCAATTAGATCTACGGAAGCAAGTGAACTGATACAGACGAACAGATTCCGAAATAATATTTTGATGAATATGAGGTCACTTCAGTCCATAGTATTCTACCTTTTTAATGTTAGATCTTACTGTTTTAAAGTTTATTATGGAGAATATGTTTACGAGATCTTCAGATTTATGTTAAAATTGTCAGTAGCCACACTGTGGAAAAAAGCAGGTGGATAGTAGAAATCAAGCGAAAAATAAATAGATAAATTGTCACTATTAATACATAATTTCATAAGTCATTCATACTTACACTTGCGAAAAGCATTCACAGCTACAATTCAATGTAAGACACACTTTTAGAGGCAAATTCTTAATTAATTTATTCATTTTGATTCCAGTGAAACGCAGCGAGAGCTTCAAGCTAGAGCGATGATGTTTCGGTAGGTGCGGTGTTTATTTTTATCAGATGAGGTTGCCAGCCTCATGTCCAACCTTCCCTCTCTGACAGTCTTATTACTGGCTCAGTGAGCGAGGTAAAGGAGTGAGTCGGTGGCCGGGGATAAAACCCTGGACCACAAGTGCGGTTGGAGAGTGTTCTATCGTTAAGCCATCAACGCCAGAGAGGTAGGTTCTTAGGTTACTTGAAAAGGACTAATCTAAGCTACAAATGTTCTTCATTATTTCAAGGACTGACCTTATTTATTCAAGATATATGAATGCTGTATCCAGAATTATTTATCAACTGAAGTAGGAAAATAGAGGAGAAATGTCAATTCTTTGACCTTTTTCTGAAATATGCGCTATTATTGCACATGTCATTTGCTTGGTAAAGTTCATGTGAACTTTAGATGGCTACCTCAACTTCAAGTAACTTCTAGAGAAATTATGTGGCTATCTTGCAAGACTTTTCAAACCTTTAGGAAACATATCTCATGGACGTCTTCAAAAAAAATGGATGGAAATCCATGGAACTTCATCGAAAGACATCCACCTCCAAGCCAACCTACCAAATCAAAGACTTACAAAGAAAACAGAAAGGAAATCACCCTACCATATACAAAGGATATCTCAGAAGTCACTGTAAGACACTTCAAACTTTTAGGAATTGATGTCACACACAAACCAACAAAATCACTTCACTCAGCCAGTTCTGTGTCAACTAAAAGACTCAACAAAGAAAGAAAATACAACCAATGTCATCTATGAAATAAATTGGCCAAGGTGGACGACGTCCTCTTCATCTTCGTATCCATGAACATGAACTAGCCGTCAAAAGACATCCCGTACACTCTCTCACTCATATCGCTGCATACAGACAACCACGGAAATCAATTCGACTGGGACAACCAATGTTCAAATATTAGACAGAGGAAACACCAAGAATGCTAGAGAATTTTTGAATCGTGGTATTCCGATGAATAGTCAATCAATATACATATCGAGATGTACAAAATTTATCAAGCGATAAGAAGGAAATCTTCAACACAAAGTATCAAACTTCAGGTCCAGGAAACAATCACCACCAATGCAAGTAGCCTAGAGGGTGTGGAGACACTCGAAAACAACTAATCACGGTGTTCAAGGTCAGGTCACTAGGAGAGATGACTAATAAACTCGTGGAGAAATCTTAAAGCTCACTTCAACAGATTGAAGTATGCGCTAAGCTGAGGATGTTGCCTAGTAGGGGGTAATGAAAGCTTCGGAAATAAACCATCTAGCTGCTTTAGAGAACACAACTACAGCAAAAACAGTTTTATTCAACCTGAAGGGCGAAACCAATCCAGCATCATATCTCTGCTTTTCAAACTTCGAGAAATATGCGACATTATGTTGAATGTCAATCATAAAAGGTCCAGGAGTACATTTTGGGAACCAAGGATACCAGTGAGGAGCACTCATCTCATATACTGAGATAAGCCACCATCCATCGAGAATAATGCTTTTTCTAAAGTTTAGTAGAAACCTGCGAATCAGCAGGCTGTAGATGTTTTATATACTCGCCAGATTTCAGATTTATTGGTTGAGGATAGAAGGCTTGGGCGTAAAGTTGTTTAAATTGGTTCCATGAGGCTTCCACTTGGGACTCTGGGTTGAAGTACCAGTTAACTGAGTTGGCTGCTGAGACGATTGCATTTATATCAGCTTTCCAAACGTTTCGTCGAGCTGGGGTTTTGGCCCTTGCTGTCTTTGCTGTAAACTTGAAAGTGAGAACAGCATGATCACTTCTTCCTAAAGGAGGAAGATGTTGTATGAGATCTACATCCTCACCGTGGGAGAACGCTAGGTCCAGAGTTGAGGAGGAGTGCTGTGAGTCATAGCGCGTGGGCTTAATGATATGTTGGACTAGGGCTAGTGATATACTAGATTTCAGCATTTTATGACCAAAGGAGTTGACTGAAGATGGAGTTGTTGGGCTCGTCCAGTCAACTGTTGGTGCGTTGAAGTCGCCGACTACGAGACGTTGACATTTCGAAGTCCAGGAGCCTGACTTATCTATTAGGAAGTCATCTGCACTGCAGTCAGGACTGCGATACATATCAATGAGGTCAATGTCTTGGCCTATGCATTTAAGTCTGCAGTGTAGAAGTTCGCATAACTCTTTTTTGTGAGTGAGTGCCTTGACACTACGCACGGTTAAGCATTTCTTGAGGTAGATGACTACGCCACCTCCTTTGTGGTTTAGTTGGCCCACCACGTGCACTTCGAAGTTTGGCAGGTTAGCTTCGTTGTCAGTGACATCGGGTGTAAGCCATGTCTCTGTGATGATAATTACATCCGGGTTTCCGGAGTCTGTCATGTTAACCAGCTCAGTCCGTTTATTCAACAGGCTGCGGGCGTTTGTGTAGCAGACTGTTAATTCAGATTGGTGCTTCCCCGGCCTACCCACAGAGGTTTCGGGATCATTACACTGCGAACTCGGACAACCCGAAAACCCCTAATCTTAAGGTTCTTTTCGCCGTTTCGATGTCGTTCGCTTAATTCTAGGACCGCAGACTGTCTTTTGACACGGTCTGCTAGGCTTAAGTCGGCGCGGACATATATCACTGATTCTTTAAGAATTTGAGAGCTATTTAGAATAGCATCCCTCTCTTCTTTCGAGTTTAGTACAACTTTGAGGAGACGTATAGGCTGACTTACTATAGGGTCAGGCTTTTGGCCTGTTATCCTTATCCCGCTTTTTGCAAGACACTACATTGCGCCATTCATTGGCATCCTCCTCGCTAATCGTTGTGGATGAGGCTTGATCCACCAGTCCCCGCCAGAGTAAATAACACTAACAGAGGTCATATTTTACTAGATTTAAACAAACTAAATATGGGAAAGTGTACGCAAAATGTAGATGGAGGTTTTACCGTAGCCCAAGGTTTAGGTAGGCCACCTAAAAGCTCGAAGTCCCACCTATTTGTATCACACTGTCCAGTTCAATTTACTTTCCTATCTTCCTTCACCTTTATTAAGGAGAAAAAACTATGTGAAGAATATGAAATGGTGAGGTAAATATTTAACAGTTTGAGTATCTCGTCGCATTGGAAATATTTCCCTTCAAATAAGGTCAGATTTGGTTTACTGACTTGAGAGATACTAAGGGGTAAAGCGAAGTTTAAAATTTTCCCATTCATTCGCATTCTGACTGAAGCGCAGGGCCCCAATGTTTTGAGCTTTGACGTCTCAGTAGAAGTGATATCTTCTTCAAGGGGTGAGGTTGCTAGCCTCACACCCAATTATCCCTATTTATTGGGCCTACAACCGATAAGGCGAAATTTACGACATTATCGGCCACGTACGTGGTTGGCAAGCAATCTGCCTCTCCTTGAACCACTAACACATAGTCTCATATGCTAACTAATAATTGTATGACTCAAACAATCACTAATAACTTACAATTCTATCCAGTACTTACATTTTATTGTTATCCTTGGTGCTATTAACAAAAAAATACGCATGTGATGATGGTATAGAAAGGTAAGTTTTATGTGTAAGACGAATATTTCAATGTTTTGATTAGAGCTACCGATTCCACAGAATTTTTAATCACAATGGATAAGTAAGTGAATGTTAAAACTGTGTGCAGTAAAATCCCCTTATCAAAAGAAAATAGTGACTGGAGTTTCAGTGAAAAATCGCAACCAAGGGGAAGGGTCCAATTAGGCTGGTAAGAGATGAGTTATTCACGTATGACACTGGCTGAAGGGTTGCGCTGTATATATCACCAACTCATGGACAATTGAATGGGGTTCCAGTAGCTGAATGGTCTACAATAATACCTTGTAGACAGAAGATTCTAGGCTCTAACCCTGATGGTGGCTGCATAGTGCAGAGGAGTCTCAAACAGCTATCCAGTACTCTCAGGTTTTCCAGTGGTTCACATGCTCGTGTGGAGTCAGGTATGTCGGACGTACCCAGAATTCGCTTTCCAAACGTATCACCGAACACTTACCAACATGGTTTTACAAAGGAGAAAAACGATGCCCCGCCCCCATAGCTCCATCTTAGAACATATGAAAGATTCCGGACACCAAGCTACACCCCAAACAAACTTCAAAGTCGTCTACAGAGGTAAGAAGTAATCCTCCTAAAGGTGTACGAATCAGACTTCTTCAAACTAAAAAAGTAATGGCGATACACTTGCTAAGTGCTGAACTCTGCATACACAAGACGTTCGTTCAATCACTACATTTTCAGCAATGGACGTAATCTATCTTATTACCCGACAAGTAAATTCTACCTAATCTTTTTTCTTTTCTGTCTCTTCATTCATACTATTTTGTCTTCTCAATTGTAATATTTCACATTTTCAACTTTCTTGTTCTCTCCCCCCCACCCGATTTAATTTCTACACCTCACTACCACTGTTACTGACTTGACCAACGCTCAATTTCTAGTAATTTATGTTACGTCATCCAATTTATTTGCTCAGTTTCAGTTCTAATTTAAATGGCATTATTCTCCAACCCCCTTCTACATAATCTCTATCTGTACTTACTTCTGTTTCTACCCTGATCTAAGTTGAAACATTTATATTACGTCATCTAACTTACTAACTAACACAATCTTACTTTAGTTGCTGTCTAATTAACCTTGTTTCTATGTTAGATCATTCTTGTATTACCTTATTCATTAATTATCTAAACTTGACAAACCTCATGTACATACATACACAAAATAATTATATATAAATGCGACTGTACAGCCATGTGAATGAATTCGCCGAAAAGAGTCTCTTTGCTGAACGTCTCCTCTAACTAATGTCAACTTGTGATCATGTCTGAAAGCAGAAATAATAATTTCCGACTATTTATTCAGCAGGCAGGTAGGTATACAATGATCATTCCTTCTGCTCCGAAGAAGAAATTTGCAAATGCTTGCTGAATCATTCATTGTAATAACGTAATAACGCACATAAGGCCTTCATATACACGTCTCAATCAAAATGTTTTTTATAGGTTAAAATGATTAGCACCTCTTGACTTACATAGTAGTCACACTTCAAAATTTGTAAACATGAAAAGAACGCAGAGAATATTCCCATGACACACTAGAATACTTGTAGGTTTATTAAATTTATCAAGTTTTTAAAAAGACTTCTGTTTATCAAAAAAAACTTTACGAGAACATATGAAGATCAAATACCCCACTTGAGGATCAACAAAATGCTGTGCACGAGTTTCGTTACCGAGTTCACTCGGATTTGTTTAACGAGTTTTGTGCGGACAACAGTTTGACAGTAAGTGCTAAAATCTGTACATGTCTTTTAACCTTAATTGACTGCGTCATCTTTTATTGAGTGCCAATGTTGACTAATTTTAATTCGTTGTTAATTATATCATCGTTTAATAGGCGTCATGGTCCATGCGCCCGATATCTAACTGAATGAGATTGAATCAGGACATATTATGAAGTGATCCAGTAGGTGCTGACTCACAGCGGAGTCCACGATGCGCATTTCGTCCCGTTTGAGACTTGTCACTTGGATGTACTAGAGTTCCCCAATGAGTGATGATGTCAGCAAAGACCGGACATTCAATCAGCCATCATTCGACGGGAAAATCGAAAATAAAAGACAAATTCAACGAAGAAAATTCCTTTCTTTATCGACGAAATCATCTTCAGAGGCTGGCTGTACAGTCGTATTTATACTTACCAAAAAATATATAGTGGTCTATTATGGAGTAATAGGGATGGATGTGACATAATTGATATGGTTACTCAGAAGTGGCTTTAGAAGTGAAAATTAAAAGTTGTAAATTACGTGGCACAAAGATAGAAATTTGATAAGGTTAAAATTGCTCTTGAGTGAGAATAAAGGTGGTATTTGAGTGTCAAATTAACAAGTGTGAATAGGGTGTGAAAATATACAAAAGGAGCTTATGAAATTGATAATAAGGAATTAATTATTGAAGCAAAAGTAAACTAAAGATAAAATTAAAATTAAAAAAGAAAAAAAAATCAAAATGTTTTACAGGGAACGATTAGTGAAGAGGTTAAGACCAAGATAGAATAAGAGACTGGACAAACGTTTTCCTCTGTATACAGAGGTCAGGGTTGTATTGATGAATTTCCAGAGCCTCCGCCATACACAAAAGCCGAAACCTGAAGCCCTTTGTACAATTTGGCTTCACATTGTAGATGATCTTGAAAGACAACTCTGGTGGAGCTACGTGGCCTGAGTTCACGAAATGCCCGAGAACCGAGCTAGTAGTTGTCTTGCATTGTCCCTTTGCTAACCATGCCGGATAATGTTCATAGATGCGTTTGGAAAGCGTGCGCTTTGTAGGCCAATATAACTAGCTACTCACGAGCAGGTGAATTTATAAACACACACTGAGGTGACCCAAAACGGCAGTTTATCCTTCACACATCTGTTAATCATTTGTCGGCTGTAGAAACTGATACTTAGCTCAGCCATAAAGAAGGCTTTCCTCAGTGATCTGCATAAGCAGCCATTCTTCAGGATCTCAGCTGCGGTATCACCTTTAAAGTCAACACTCATAAATAGCAGTTTCTTCGGGACCGTCTGGATTCTTCCAGGCTTTTCCCTCAACTTCATGTTTTTCTCGATAAATATTGGAGGAAATCCATTCCCTATGAGAACTTGTCTGAGTCGCCCTCTTATTACTCCATAATAGACCACTATATATTTTTTAGTAAGTATAAATACGACTGTACAGCCCTGAAGATGAATTCGTCGATAAAGAAAATTTTCTTCATGACTTAATGGGTATTTTCGGTGATTTCATTTAAAAATAGACAATAAGTAATTCCTGTTGCACAATAGGTGGCTATCGTGGCTCAAGTGGTTTAATGGATAATGCCTTGACGTTTGAAACAACGAGGCGCTGGGTACGAGCCTCAAGGGGAACACCACCATCCATTGGAGAATGCGAGTAAGATTAAGCCGACGAGTTTTAAACAGGACGAAATGCACAACAAAGAATCCACTGGTAATCACACCATCCACTGAATTACTTCAATTGAATCTTCAGACATTGTCAAAGCATCTACACAAGCAGTGGGCATGACAACAGAAGCGAAATATTTCAATCCGATCAATCAACAGGTAAATCACAAAAATGAATTAAAATCGAATCACAACATATTACTTGCATATCTCATTTGCTGATGGATAATTTTTATGTCCACTAACGTAATCTTGTAGTTCTACGTACCTGAAAATCTTATTGCTATTCTTACTCCCCACATTTTGTATTCTTCGAGAAACTATGATCACATCACACACACACAAGTACAGTCAAAAGTTTAATTCGGACCTTTGTCAATATCTATAGAGACTTAATCGTAGGTATTTTAATGTAACAAAATAACTCACTTGTTGTTAATACAGGAGAGACTGAAAACAGTAAATAAATGTTACATCTGTGTTATAATTTTAGTTGAAAAAAAGAAGTGAAAAGTTTTAACTAAACATTTGTAGTTAAACTCAATATATGTGGATACTTCTTGGACATCTCATCATTTTTGATATAGGTGCACAGAATCTGGGCACTGTCAAGCTATACAAGGTTATTATTAAACTGATTCTGCACTCTGAGATGAGTTTGACCAGGATAAACTGGCGATGGGCTTACCCCCTAACGAGAGAAACAACCATTTGGTATTTAAATCCCTTCAACCTTGCTAGCAAGCTTTATGATAATTTATGTGAACGGCGTCTAACTACTCATTTTAGCTATTCAGTAGTATATGGTTTTAAACCGAGATTATTTAGCTAACCGAGGGCAGTAACTGTGCAGCTAGCCAAATTGATGATAGTGATATAGAAACCAAATTTGAAGTTAAGTATCTTGGATTAATTCTTTATTCTGACCTGCCTATCCTGGTCCTCCCATGTCTTAGCGATTTCTAAAAGAATATTTCATCTGACGTTTTACATTAAGAAGTTAAGACACTCAGACATTACCCAACCACGCTTCTTACAGTTTGCCAACTCGTGTGTTTTACCCATTATTCTGTACTGTCCATCCTTATTCTTTCCTGGATTGCTTAAAAAAGACTATGTTATACTTCGTAGAAGTCTGAAGACTGTCAGTCAGTAGGGTGAGTGGTATCCCATTTGGCCATATCTTTGATATAGTCATCGATAGGCACCTGATTTCATGCGAAACGTTTGCTAAAAGGATTTGTCAGACTGTGAGTATACACCACAGTACCCGCAGCTCCAACCTTGTGTCGCCTCAGGTAAAACGAGTCTTTTCAGAAGACTTTATGCCCGTACGTCTAAATGTAAGAATTCCACCATACCATATTTGGCGGCACGTACTATATGTGATGAAAATAGTGTCAGGCATGAACTAACTAACCTTCTTTGCACTACTAAATAAACCATTTCCTCCGCCCTTACAACATCAACCTTTATTGTTATTGTATTTCTTATATTGATAATCCTCTCAATTTTTTGTTTTTATTTATTGATTTTTCATAAGTGTGAACATCGTTTAAGCTGTGTTACCACTGTTAATCTTGTATTTCCCCTCACCATACTGCTATATCAACAGAACATTAGATTCAATAATCTATAACATGCTGAAATTTCCAAACTGAATCGACAATACTGTTTGAAACAAACTCACTGTTATTGTTATTACTATATTTAATAATCTCAATACCTACTTTGAATATTTTTGACTTTATATCGTAAATGTGGACAAATTCCTCTGGTTACTTTTGTTCTAATTTTTAATTTTATTCATATTTTAATTAAATCAGTTGCAATATTGTGACACACGCTGAGAAATCCATTCTGTATTATAAGTACTGCTTTCAGAATAAAGTAAATTATTATTATTATTATTAATTAGATAAGAGACGATGATAATGTAAGTAAGGGTTCGAAATTCTATAAAGTGTGAATTGGCTACAGGATTTCATCATCAGCTGACATCGGTTGCAGAACCACTGGAAAACTTGGGAGTACTGAACAGCCGTTGCGTCAAAGTTTGGTACTCTTCAGCAGTACGCATCCACCGGGATTCGAACTCAGGACCTTCTGCTTCAAGGCAAGCTGATTGGTCATCATTCTAGTTAGAGAACCACTGAAAACCAAGGAGTACTGGACAGCACGTTAGTGACTAGCTACAAGACAAAGTAGCATTCATTTCAAGGGAGAAGTAATGACCAGTGGGATCAAACAAGTCACGTCTGAGGACAAATACCCGCCGGAAACACTGGCTAGTGGTCGTGCTATGTCGTGAATTGGCAGGAGTTATAATTCACGGGCCGCCTATTGGATTGGGTCTCAGCGGCTTAATGGTCTACGAGCTAGTTGTCCTTGTAACCGAGAAGTTCTGTGTTCGAACTTGGTGGTGGGCTTGTACCGATGAAGAGTCCCAAACTAGGCGGACGAAACAGCTGTCCAGTAGTCTCTGGCAGTTTTTCTAATGGTTCTCTAGCCAATATTTATTATCATTATATTCTTTAATTCCTACAGGAACATAGGGCTTCAGCTGAGCATCTCCATTGCCTTCTGTTTTCTGCCAAATTTTTCACCCCGTTCCAAGTCTGCCCACATGCTTTCATCTCCTCTTCACATCCCCTCCTCAAAGTCACCCTTGGACGATCATCTCGCCGTTTCCCTTTCGGGTTCCACTCAAGCGATGGCTTGTCTGGTGATGTCACTTGATGGTTTCCTCAGAGTATGACCAGCCAATCCATCTCCATTTCTTCCTGCCTATTTGTTTCACAATCGGTTCCTGCTAGGTTGGTTCGCTCATTGCCAGAGATCCCTGTTGCTGATCTTTTCTGGCCAGCCATCTGATCATGAGTATTGAGCGAAGACAACTGTTGACGATGGTCTGAAGTTTGTTTGAGATTCTCTTTATGACGCGCCAAGTCTCTGATATGTATGGTGAGTAGCACTGACTTCATATTGGAGTTGAAAATCCGGATTTTATTTTTGATTCTGAGTGATGTTAACCTCCACACAGACTTAAGGGTAATGAAAGCCTGTCTTGCTTTTCCAATTCTGGCTTTGATATCATCGTCAATTCCGTCCGCCTGTAGTTGAAACGATGCTTTCCAGGTAGGTGGGTAGGTGAAGGAGGTTGTTTCTTTCAGGTTCCTCCCATTTATGCTGGCTGACTGTCGTCTGTTGTTGTTGTTGATGTTGGCCAAGAATCTTCATCACCTCTATCTTCTCTATGTGTTCACCTTAAGTCCTATCCTCTCCGGATGCTTCTTGTGCCAACTTGTTGCTTTACACTCGCATATCTTCCAGTCTGTGGGAAATTAGACATAAATGTCATCGGCGAATTCCAGATACTCCAAGTCTTTTGTGTCAGTCCATTTTATGCCTGTTTCCTCATTGGCCATGAGCCAATATTAGCTCATGGTAAAATCCTGAAACAAATCAACCAAATCCCTACTAACTAATACTTGAATGTAAAAATGTGTGAACTGTTATTAGACAAGGATCCAGGTGGTTGAATGTCCACTTGACAAACGTGAAGAAGGTGAGAAGAAAAATTAACCTGGCTTATAAAATGCACAAAAAGGAACATTTAAGAGCAATCAGAGTGAACTGATCACTAAAAAAAATAGAATCACACCACTAGGAAAAAGTGTAAGACCATAGTAGGATGGGTAAATAAGCACAGATTTCGGGATAATACTGACAAACTACTGGCGCCTCCGCCTTATACAATTGCTGAAACACAACACCTCTAGTACCTTTTGGCTCAATTTATGGATAATTTCAAAAGACGACTCCATTAAAACTAACTGACCTGTGTTCATCAAGATCACAAGAAATGAACTAGTAACTTGTGGAAAATACCCATCAGGATGTTACAGAGAGAGAGAAAAGGACAAGAAGAAGTTCAGCAGCAAAGAAAACCATCTTTTCGACAGATTTCATTCTCAAAAGCACCTGTACAATCGCATTTATGTGTGCATAAGTTTACATAGATACAGGTGTTGATGCAATGTTCAATTACGCTGCTTCTGACTGAATCAGTGACTTCCCTCTTCGCAGTTATGTAGGATAATGTTCTCTAATACATTTTGAAAGGACCCGAAATGAATGACCTGTGTACATAGATCTGCCAGATCAGGTGAATCGATTAAGCACATTGGAGTGGTCCTATGCTAAAGTGGATGGCTAGAGAATATCACTTTTAATTTTGTCTGTAGAAAGGTCTTCTTTAGGGAACTATAGATTCTCGCCTTAGAGATATCTGCCACTAAGTGTTACCTGAAGTCCAAATTTATATACAATGTTTTTTGTGGTATCGAAGTGAATTCTTCTTTTTTTTTAGCTCTGATTTCATGTTCTTCTCCAAGAAACGCGCCGTGTATCCATTTTGAACCAGGATATTTTGAGAAATAACAACCCTTCTTCTAAGTAATAAATGCTTCATATTCTTCAGATACGGTGGGTCAGTGGGATGACAGATATACAACTATAAAGGTCTGTCAGCTGGCCATCCCATGATGATTTTCTGTTGACGGATGAGGTTAGAAGTTGTCTACTATTGTGGTGCTGATAACTATACAGAAAAATGTTCAGAAATGTTTCTGGGAGCTTTACGTTTTGTCCTCATAATACAAACTATCTCCACAGAAGCAAATGAACCTGTAAATATTCCCTTCACAAAGACTGGATGATACTTGCAATTGATAGTGTTCTCTGAGCTCCTTGGTTTAATTGCAGAGCTTTCATCGTCTTTCTGGACGACATCTTCAGCGCAGTATTTAGGATAAAGTGAAATGATTTAAATTTCTTCATGAGTCTCCCGGTAACCATCTTTAGATATTTATTGACCGTTTTCTATTGATTGGGATTTTAAACTTTCTGATCACCTGATTTACTTCTTATTAGTTGGTATATTTCATCTATATTAACGTGTTTATTAATTGCGTTTTCATTTGAGCACCAGGCTCCGCAATTAAACCAAGGAGCTCAGAGAACACTATCAATTGCAAATCATCCACCTGAGTTACAAATCTTTTCTATTACTGAATGATACTGTCTGGTTTTGGTTGCATAATTTCCATCTTTCAAGCTTTGTATTAAAGAAGACAATATAGATCACAGAGGGATTTGGCTGACTGGTTGGAGGATTTCATCATGATCTGAAACATCGGTTGGAGAACCATTGGAAAACCAGCCAGGGAGTATTGGACATCCGTTTCATCCTAATTCGGGACTCTTCACCGGTACGCACCCAAAAACCTGGGCTCGAACTCAGGACCTTCTGTCTGCAAGGCAAACTAACTCGTAGATCATTAAGACACTGAGACATGATCTAATGGCCAACCCATGAATTCCAACTTCTGCCAATTCAAACGACATAGCGCGACCGTGATGCATGTCAGCTTATGATGAAATCCTTTAACCGAAACAAAAGTTACTTCCAAGACTGTGCAAGACTTTACTAACGGAATAAATACTTACTCTTTAACCTCTGAGCTTATCTTACTGAAAAAATTAAAAGGAAATGGATTTATATATATTCCATAATTTAGTGTTTATGCATGAAAACTTTCTCCATATATCAGGTTTATTATTGTCGTTTACCAACGAAGTGCTTCGTATCAATCAAGTAGTCAGAAAATGATAGTGAGATTACTGACGTTATCTACAACATATCCATACGGAGAGCAAAACGACACTGACATAAGATTTTTACCCGTGCATTGAACTGAAATGTCAACGACTAACGTTTTTGCGCAAAAGCGCTGCAATTCAGTTTGCCACGCTTCAGGAAACTGCAAACATGCTGAGGAACAAAATATAATGAAAATAGAACAAACCGAATTGTAGGGAAAAAGACAAATTATACCAAGAGTAGTACGGGATTTATGGAATCTAAACATGAGAATGAGTGAAAGAAGGCCTTCAATGTGAACAATCTGGAACTATTTTGCCAGTTGTCTCCAACTACTGACTCTTAGTGTCCTGAAGATCTTAGCTAGTCAGTCAGCATCACTTCGTGAAATATAAATCAACAGAAAATGACTTCATTTTTATGACTAGTAGTAGAATCCAGGATGTGCATTTCGTCCTTTTTTGGACTCGTCAGTTGCATTTTTTTTGCATTTCTTAGACAGTGAAATTACTTCAAGTTAATCCTCAGAGGTGGCTTCAAAAGTGAAAACAAAAAACTACAAATTATTACACAATACTCAACTGCACAAAGGAAGAAGGTGTTAGATATTTGATAAGGTTAAAATTGCTATTGAGTGAGAAGAAAGGCGGTAGTCGAGTGTCAATTTAACAAATGTGAAGAAGGTGAGAAAATGTACAAAAAGAACATGTGAGAAAGATAACAGTGAATTAATTAATAAAGTAAAAGCAAATTAATCATTAAAATTTAAAAATAAAAATTTACAGGGAACGACTAATGAAGAAGTTAAGATCATGGTAGAATAAGCGACTAGACAAACGTATTCTGTATGCAGAGTTCAGGGTTGTATTGACGAATTGCCAACACCTCCGCCATACACAAATGCCAAAACCTGAAGATCTTTGTACCATTTGACCTCATCCTGAAAGATGACTGTGGTGATTCCCGTTCGTGCATTTTCTCAACCTCTTCACACTTGTTAAATGGACACTAAACTATCGCCTTTCTTCTCACACAATAGAAATTTTAACCTTATTAAATTTCTAACGCTTTCGTTCTTTGTGCTGATGAGTAATACGTAATTTATAACTTTTCTTATGAATTTTGAAGCCAATTCTAAGTAGTTATATCAATTATATCACCTCTATTAGTCAATAGTGAACTACAATAGAGTTCTGATAAATATAAATACTAACGTACAACCTGTAAAGATGATTCCATAAGTAAAAACACAGTTTTTGTTCAGCGAAGAAATTTCTTTTCAACGACTTCATTTTCAAGCTGTACAGTCGTATTTATATTACAGAAAAAGGTTATTAAGTGGCACTAAATAATTGCTTAGTCAATGTACGTATATATGTGATAAAAGTTATAAGGGGTAGAGTTGGAGTGGATAAATTACAAAAATATTAAAGATTGTTCTATAACAAAAATGTCAAGTGTTGTCTAAAAAATTATGAAAATTAGGAGTACGATTACGATAAGAATGAAGATGTGAAGTAAAGTGGAAGGAATTCAAGTGGTAAAATAAAACAAAAACTAGAAAGAAAATTATTATGACCAAGGTAAAGAAAGGGGTTTGACAAAACGCTTTTGAACACATAATTTAGGTTTCTGTTCATGTATAGCTAAAGATTCGGCTATGCATAAGTGCAGAAAACGTAAACTTTTGGATCGATGATGTCCCTCTGCGACCTGTATTGGATATGCTGAATTCGCCGTATCACTCTACCGCTAAATGGCTTGCGGAAATTCTGGAACCAGTTAGATTGAATCTATGTAAACATAGTCTTTCCGACACTTTTGACTTCGTCAGTTGTGTTGATGAAATTAATGTGACTGGTAAGCATATGATTTCGTTAGATATTTGTTCATTGTTCACAAATGTACCACTAGTAGACACTATCTGCTATCTATGCGAGTATATTGAATCAAATAGCATGAACATTGGCTTACCAACTGATTATCTTAAACAACTACTATTGAGATGCACACTGAATGTGCAATTTAGATTTAATGATGTCATCTACAACCAAAGAGATGGAGTCGCCATGGGGTCTCCTTTAGGACCGCTCTTAGCGGACGTTTTCATGGCAAGCTTAGAGAATGGCCCACTAAAGGAAACCATCGATAGTCTGTTTATGTATAAAAGATATGTTGATGATACCTTCATTGTATGTGATGAAAACACTTCAACTGCCGAACTTCTTAGAATATTTAATGGTTCTCACCCATCTTTGCTTTTCACGATCGAAGAAGAGTCGGATTCTTCGTTTCACTTCTTGATGTTAAGCTAGATAGAAGAGAGAATGGAACGCTTCTAAGGTCGATTTACCGAAAGCCAACATTCACTGGGCAGTACACTAACTTCAACAGTTGGGTACCTTTAGGGAGAAAGAGAAATCTTATTCATTCCTTATGCTCCAGAATTCGTAAAATCTGCTCTGCAGAGACAATCGATAGGGAACTAGATAACCTTCGATCAAATCTCCTTAACAATGGTTATCCCACAAGGTTCATTGAACGTAACATCAAGAAAGAATCCGCCCCGAGACAAGTCACAGTACCAAAGAAAAAGCTGTTTATGAGTCTTGCATTCAAAGGTGACACCATTTCAGAATTGATTAAAAATCGTTTATCTAAATGTATTAAACGCACTTTTCCTGCAGCTGACCTGCAACTAGTTTTTACCAGCCGAAATATGATCAGACAATGCGTCAAGGATAGATTACCGCTTTTGTCCACATCTATGTGCATTTACTCTTTTACTTGCTCTTGTGGAGCTGTTTATATTGGACGTTGTAAGCGTAATCTCCGAAAACGTGTAGCTGAACACTATCCGGTTTGGTTAATGAAAGGCGAACGTAGAACTGCAAAGTCGTCTATTTGTGATCACCTGTTAGAGTCTGGTCATTTAGCCCCACGTGATTCATCTTTCAAAGTTATATACATGGCAAAATCGAATCGATCCAAAAGTTTACGTTTTCTTCACTTATGCATAGCCGAAGCTTTAGCTATACATGAACAGAAACCTAAATTATGTGTTCAAAAGCGTTTTGTCAAACCCCTTTCTTTACCTTGGTCATAATAATTTCTTTCTAGTTTTTATTTTATTTTACCACTTGAATTCTTTCCACTTCACTTCACATCTTCATTCTTATCGTAATCGTACTCCTAATTTTCATAATTTTTTAGACAACACTTGACATTTTTGTTATAGAACAATCTTTAATATTTTTGTAATTTATCCACTTCAACTCTACCCCTTATAACTTTTATCACATATATACGTACATTGACTGAGCAATTATTTAGTGCCACTTAATAACCTTTTTCTGTAATATAAATACGACTGTACAGCTTGAAAATGAAGTCGTTGAAAAGAAATTTCTTCGCTGAACAAAAACTGTGTTTTTACTTATGAATAAATGGGTATTTTTCGAGATTTAAAGATGATTCTTATCGATAAAGAAAATTCTCTTCACTGAATTTTGTTTTACTTCATGATTCAATGGGCATCCTCGGTGATTTTAATCCTCAGATACAGTCGAACAGTCCACACTGGGATCGAACATATTAACAGAGGCCTAACCTTTCCCTCTAATGAGTCAACGGGAAAATCAAATACATTGTTATCTGAAAAGACGAATGAAGTATTCTAGCCACATGGTTCAGAGACTATGCACTGGAATGGTGGTTGTATAGTTAGGTGACAAATCTCAAAGTGGAAGATAACCCCACACTTTCAGTTGTATTACCAGATGTTGCTGAAAAACAGACTTGGTACTCTATCAGCAAAATTTTATGACTTCTAATGTCCTTTTCCTTTTATTGAATAGTGATTTAATATTCAGGTTTTATGTTTTGAAAGATGTACTTAGTTTTAGCATCAACATTGTCACAAATTGTAATTCCAGATTACTAAATATTGTCCACGTCTCTAATTTTTACTTCAAAACCTTTTAGCAGTTCATCATTATTATTCCTTCGGGTTCTGAGTGGAATACAGTGCTTCAACAGCACATCTCCACTCTCTTCTACTCTCTGCTGTCCTCGTCATCTGGACCAATGATCTCTCGTCTCCTCCATATCCTCCTCGCACCGGTGATCCACTCGTCACTTCCCATTCGTATTCCATTCGAGAAATGGCCTGGCTAAAGCAAGATATGATTCGATAGCCTCCTCAACGTAGGGCCTGTTCCATCCACCTCCATTTTTTCTGGGCATATTTGTTGATCAATCAGTTCTTGGGTGATGTGTTCATCGCCAGAGTATCTTCTTGTTAATTCTTACTGGTAGGCTGGCTGACTATTTGATCTTCAGTATGGAGCCAGCCAGCGAGTTGGGCAGGCTGTTGATAAAAGCCCATAACTTTTTGGAAATCCTTTGCTTGAAATATGAGCAGTTCAAATTTCTGACCCGTATAGAAGGACTGACGAGTTCTTAGCATTTCATAATTCACACTGAATAGAGGAGATCAAGTTTACAACCACTCGGTTATTTAGTCATTATTTAAGTATTCAGTCACCAGATCCTGTAACAATTTTAGATACTGAGATACTCATACTTAATGTTCAATATTCCTAAATTTTCAATGAAATTTTTGCTTTGAAATTTTGTGGCTAACTCCCTCACGAAATAGTTCATCACTTTCAAGACATTAACATATTCTAATGCGATTATATTCATTAATTGCGACTTACGCATCAGCAGGATAACTCCATCTATAGATTTTATAATTAATACACGAAGAAATATATATATATATAATCTACGTCAATGCCTAGGTCACTAATATGGGCCGTGAGAAAATATGAACAAGGCTGTTTCAACAACCAATCACAGCAAACTTAAACGTGGGTAAATATGATTCGCAGATAGATGGCTCCACTTTCCGAGGAACTCGAAAACAACCAATCAGAAGACTGCGTTTGTCTAATTGACTAGGCTATAATAATGTATCTGAAATTTATATAAATACGTGTTGATTTTCGTAATAAAACGATCTGTTGCCTGGCCCTTGTCTTCTGTTGTTATATATATATATATATATATATATATATATATAACCTTACTGAAAGGACAAAGGAATCCAAAATGATTACATTAATCGAGATGCATCGTGAATACAGCCCAGTCTTCCATTTTAGATAGACATTATTATGAACACAGAATTTAGCAAAGAGACTCCTTTCAACAAATTTACTGACAAGTAGTACAATCGTATATATGTGTTGAGAGCTGGCTGTTTGTCAAAATTGGTGGACAGTAACTTACGTCAATGTTTATGTCCCCAATATTTGTCGTAAGAAACATGAGAACAAAGGCTTTGCGTAGGCGGATACAGTTAACATATAGATGATCTGACATTCAAGAAACAGCCACCCAGACATGGAAGGTTACCTTTCTGTGAAAAACAACCAATCAGAGGACTGTGTTTTTCTGCTAACAATAATCTATAATAATGTACATGAAAATCTATAAATATGTGTTACTTTCCTTAATGAACGATCTGTTGCCTGGCCCTTGTCTTCTGTTGTGACATGTATATGATTTTTAAGAAATTATATCAGGTGAGGGGATGGAATCAAAAGTGTCAATGCATAAAATAAGGACAGTATGAGGTGGAATTAAAATATTTGTGGTTATAAGCATAGTTAAATGTCAAGTATCAAATGGCAAAACCATTTATATCATAAACAGAATAATTCATAAGATGCATAGATGTTGGATGTTTTGCGTCGGTGGTTCAACGGTAGAACGCTTGACAACCAATTGCTTGGTCCAGAGGTCTATCGTCAGCTGACGCATGCCTAAACCTCACTAAGCCAATGGTAGTAAGGTAGGTAAAGATGGAAGGTCAAGAGTGCGGTTAGCAGTCCCAACACATAAAAATAAAAATGGTTGCTACTGAAACTTCAAACCTCTAGCCTGAAGACCTATGTTCCACTCGGAGCGTACAGGAATACAATAATAATAATAGTAATAGGTATTGAAGGGGGTTGTATGACTAAGGTCAGTGGGCATATATAAAATGTTACGTAACATGGTGTGAAATTTGATGAAATAGAATTTAACATTGGAAAAAGAGAATTTTTGACTTAGAATAATCAATGGGACAAGAACCGGAAACCGTTCAGAATAAAAATAGTAATGGTAACAATAGTAGTGATAATCGTAGTAATAAGGGAAATAAATAAATAAATATTAAAAAAATAAATAAATGTTTATCCCTCTACGAACAAGGCAGAAGTAGGAATTGTACACGCTTCTTATGTACACAAAGGTCTGGCTGGCTTAAAGTCATGAATTATCAAGGCCTCCTCTATCTTTAGAAGTTTATAACGAAGGGAACGTGGAAAGTTAGCATGAATTGGATAGATAATCTTAAAATCATGTTCAGGGTTGATAGAGTGATTGACTGATTGACTTCTGGTATCAGCATCCGGGGCTATATCATACACTACTAAAACTATTTATGTTAAGAGTGGAGCAGTTGGTATTTGGTCCACTGACATAAGGTTGGATTGATAGATTTGTGTGAAACTTGGCCACTGTATTAGAATGTAACTTCATATTACTTACGTTTATTGTATATATCACAGTAAATCAGTAGTGTCTATTGGATGACGTTTTGAACAGAATTTATTGTTCATAATTTTCTTTTTTTATTATAGCTTGATTCCATACCGTATTTCGGTACAACTATGGAATTTTCAGCATGTGATATCGGTAGGCCAAATTTAGCAGGCTGACCATTGATATCAAGTGTGCATCGGCTGGGGATCGAATGCCGAAAGATGTGCATGGTCGGCGATCTTCTTAACCGCTGTGGCACCAATGCACAATTACTACTACACAGCTTCGAAATTTGACTCTTATAGTTCTTCTCCTTCCTTTACATTTACCGAAGGGGTAGTTGAATTTTCCAGATATCCGAGATAGTTATGGCGTAATTCCTATCGTAGGGCGTTCTCAGCTAATTTGATAAATGAAGGTTTTGGTCATCAGTCTCTTCTTCCACCTTGTTATATTGGATTTTAAGAGTCATCTTTTCTCATTCTACTTTATGGCTAAGCATAAACGTCTGTATAAGATATTTTCTACTTTTCTTATCTTATTAAGGTCAACTTATCGGAATTTTTCTAGGTTTTTCTGCTCTGATGGTCAAATTCATTCCGTTCTACTGTGTTTTGCCTATGTAAATGGCCACAGGATAGATTAATGCATAACTGCATGATTGTTAAGGTGATGTCGCGACTTGGCTCAAATGCTTCGTCTTCAACATTATGATATGCTGGTGAAGAAAACTGAAAACAAAGTTGTATGCCTCTAAGCAGAAAGAGCAACCTAATCTAGTCTCTTCCGTCGAGGATCCGGAAGATTTGCACTGAAGAATCAATCAATGGAGAATTACAAAATCTCCGAGGGACCTTGATAGAAAATGGATTCTCACCCAGATTCATAGAAAAGAATCTAAAACTACGGAAATTACCAAGTTGCCCCTTCCCAAAAGGATGTTGATATTGAACCTCGAATTTAAAAGGGATACTCAGGCGAAACTTCTCAGTAGACGGCTTTCTAAGTACCCCACTAGAACATACTTCGCCGTTAGTCTATAAATAACATTCTCCTACAAGAAATTACTCACCCAGCGCCTGAAAGACAAGCTGTCGCATTTGGTTACTTCAACAGGAATATACAAGTTCACTTGCTTTGGTGGAGTTGACTACATTGGCCGTACCATGCGTCCGCTTGTAAAACGTGCGTTAAAACGCTATCCACCATAGCTAGCAAAGGGAGAACGCAAAAGGATATACGGTTCGACAACAGAACATCTGATGAATTATGGATATTCAGCTGCATTTGAAATGTCCTTCAGAGTCATATAGAAGATGTAATCGAACCTACCAACGCAGTGAAATCAAAGCATCTAGGAATAGAGCTGAAGCACTGTCGATTCAAAAACAAAAGCCTACTCTATGTATCCAAAAAGAAATACGTTCACCTGTTGTCCCTACCTTGGCCATCATAAAAAGTCAGTCTCACCAATAAGGATTATCCTATTACCTTTCTAGTCCAACCTCCACGTTAATTTGTTATATTTACCTATTTAAATCCCTATCTGTGTTATTAGATTTGATTACCGTTTTTATCTTTATATGTCCAAACCTCCTAGCCATTTTGTTAATACCTACATCCTTAACCCATAATTATACAAACTGATGAGTTTTCCAGTAATTATAATCCTATTTTGTCTTTACTACCCGATCTTCCTGATCATGACACATTGTAATTTCTGTTTAATTTGACCTTTGACCTGAAATGCTTCTAGATTAGTGCCACTACCTGCCTATCTTCTGTTTATTACAATTAGTAATCTTTATTAATATGACCTCTGTGCGGAAATAATTCCGGAACTTTCTCACACACACACACACATGTAATCTAAATACACGAATGTACAGCCCTGTCCAGTTGGTGACTTCGTCGACAAGAAAATTTACCTTGCTGCAACCGTGCTTTTTTTTTTTAATAATTCCTATGATCCAGTGTGTATATTCCGTGAAAACTGAAAAGCACTCTATGTTGCATCTGTATAAAAAACCGTTCATACTCCTTAGAGAACTTTATCCGCGTAACACCTGCTGAATATGTTAAAAACAGTGGATTTTATCACGAATGCAAAAATTTAGCAAATCATTGAAAATTATAGTGCATTCGACATCCACTTAGTGCAAATTTGTGATCTTTCATCAGGACTCAACCATAATTTCAACATGGATCCAACCTAAGACGTTTATGTTACGAATAAAGTACTTTGTCTTGTAACTACCCACCCCCTTCAATTTTAATTTGCAACATTGCATCACCAGTAAATGATTCTGACAAAAAACAAAATCATTTACAGGGACCATAGAATAAGTCATATCCCTAGGAAACCTTACGCAGAATTCTTAAGAAGGTAGGAATAAAAGTGGCTGGCATTCAAACCGCCCACAAACTCAATTAGAAACGAGCTTTGTCGGTTGAAGGATCCTGACAGTGGAGCCTATAAAACAAAACAATTTCGTTTATCCAATACCCTACCTGTAATGATTGTCAGGTCAAATACCTGGGTCAAACTAGTAGAACAGCGGCAGTCAGACTAGCCAAGCGCAAACGCCTAGCAAAATCTAGATTAGTTGACCTGAATAAGATAAGATATCTAGAGAATAGTTCAGTTATAGCACTCACTACATGCAGCTACACACAACCATACACTAGGATGGGATAAGATGACAGTTTTGAAACCTAATGCAGCAGCTAGGTGGAGGGAGAGATTGATAACAGAAGCTTTATTCATTATCGAATCAACTGCAAATAAGTGTTATAGGAATGATTCAACACCTGTCCATCCAGATATGTGGAAAATTCTACTACCCCTACGACGACAAATAGGAGAAGACAAAGAAAACTATAAAACTGAAGTTTTGAAGTTGTGTGATTATAATTGATGATATGATCATGAACAACATTAAATTGTGTTCGAAACTGTGTCATTCAGTAAATAATACAGTTTCACTGTGTGATACATCTAATAAACAAACTAATATGGTATTACTTACTACCAAAGTGCGTAAGTTTTACACATATATTCATATCTCTACATATTGTAATAGTCAAATTAAATTAATAAAAAATGAAGACAGAAACTTATTGACTCACAGAGGTCCTAATTTAATTTCTCTAAAATGAATTAATAAACAACAAACAATCAAGGGAAATAATCAGTTTACTTCTGATAAGTCTATTAGCCCATTTAGACTAGAGAAATTTTTTATACAGCAATAACTCACACTAGTTGAGAATTACTCAGAACAACAAGGTCAAGAACAAAGCTTAACCTTGAGGAACTCAACAACCAATCACAGAAGACTTAAGGTGTGCAAATACGATTACCAGATATTTTGATAACCTTGTAAGCAACGGTCACAAGCAGTACAAAATAACTGTGAACAAGAAGACAACCAATCAAAAGACGTTGCTTCTCTGTTAAAATAACAAATAATGATGTACATAAAAATCTATAAATATCTCTTGATTTTCTCAATAAACAATCTGTTTTCTGGCCCTTGTCTTTTGTCATTACATTAGTACTGTGATCATAATTTGTTTTCTCTGTACATAACTCCACTGTTACGTCGACAAAGACTCAGATGAGTTGGTAAAAGCCATAATCGGAAACGTAACACAAGTCCTCATCAATCTGAAATCTTTGTAGATGTCTAATGCACTCAGTACATGAAATAGCATCCAAGTTTTCAACACCAATGTCAAATCAGTGTTTCTGTATGGCTAAGAGATTTGGCAAGTGAGTCACCGAAAGCACTGTCAACATGTTAAAGATCATCATCAACAGCCGTCTTCTCTGTATACTGAAGCAATCGCAACAATGAGCCAACCAGAAACTTATCACCTAACAAATATCCTGAAAGAAATAGAAATGTTTTGGACGTATTCTGCGGAGACTGCTGAGTATTATAATGCTCCAGGCTGTTGAATGGAACCCGAATGGGTTTGAAAGTACTGTCAAGTAGGTCATGTGAGAGGGGACCAGAATGCTTAGTTGCAATTCTTGAGGTCAGTGAAAGAAACTATAAGGAACTGTGTGAACTAGTCATGTGCCACCGAAGCCTAATAGTCTAATCGGAACCCAAGTAAGTAAAAATAATATAGAGTAAATAGTACTGAATGTCAAAGCCTTCCAAACCTTAATTTGAAGAAATCGCCTTACTGCATATATGTTGGCATGAAATCATGCCAGTTAAATGATGTAAAATACAGGAGAGAAGCCGAATTTCACAGTGTTATCGCAACTAAACCTTATTTTCTTATGTCCAAATTAGATTTTTAAAAGGAAGTATCATCTACTTCATGGCATTTGACGACATTTTGAGCAGTGCTCAGTTTCATTCAGGTCAGCAGGAAGAACTATTCAGATAATGAAACCTCTCGCTGACAAACCACTTGTTCCGACTAGCTTCCTACTATACAAGACGCGGATCAAATTTCCAATGGCATAATACCTCTTTCTGTATAAAAGCGTTGTTATCGGAGCACAAAATTAGATATTCAAGTGTTGGTCTGCGGGGATATGATTTGATTGGTCGCAGTATCTCATCATGAGTTGACATTGGTTAGAGAATCGTGCGAAAACCAGCTGGAAGTACTGGAGAGCTATTTTGTGCAGGTCTGGGAGTCTTCAGCATTACACACCCACTGTGTTTCGAACCCAGGGACTTTTTCGTTACAAGATGAGCTCGTAGACCATTAAACCCCTGGAACCCGGTTCAATGGCCCATGAATTCTAAACTCTCACTTTGTAACCAGCAGGTCCTATGATTGAACTCTGGTGGTGGGTGAGTACTGCCGAAACGGCTGTCCAATACTCCCAACTCTTCAAATTGTTCTCGAACCCATGTCAGCTCATTCAGAAATCCTATACAAACTTGTATCATTTGGAAATTATTCAAAGTACCTTAAACTGAACATCTATGGAAACAAATGTAACAAACACTGAAATGACAAGCAGTAAGAGGCTACCACATAAACTTACATCGTATTCACTATAGCGTTGCTGTTGAGGGTAGTAAAGCAAATGAATATTGTAAATGAAAGGATTCCAGAGATGTTGTAGTGTAGACATTGAATTCCACTGTACTAACCGTGTTCCAAATACATTTATTAGATATATCATATTATAAAAAACAGTACTGAACTATTATGACACCATGAATATAAAACCTCTTTTCCATAACCAAATCTGTCGTTACTTTACAACACTAAAACTCCGATTTTGAACTTCGAAGGTTGTAGAACTTCCTGGAGATCTGAAACGTGATCTCAGCCATTTTAAACACAATGGTTTTTAGAGAAATGTAGGTTTAGTTATGGTGGATATATATTTGTAACTTTTTAAGCTAATTCCTACGGATGTGATGTTACAACCGAGTTCTTAGTTGCGGAAAAAATGGTACCATACATATTTGAAGATATCTACAAGGCTATTGCACCCCAATTACAAAGAAAGGTAAGGAATTGGACCTATGATGGCTAGGTTTTACAGTTTTGAAGTCTGATATGATTATAAAGAAGACACTGGTTTTCAAATTCTGCCCAGTAATTACTGCTGTCTTCATGTATCTTATATATAATAAGCAAATTGATACAAGGATAGCATACTCTTCTTTACTTCGATTGGACACTAGTGAGTAACTGGTTCAACATGTCTAACCCTTTCTTCAAAAGAGACTGGATTCTGTCGGTCACGTTTTCAATGTGACCACCATAACACTAAGTGGCTTGTTATCATGGAAAGCTTTGCTTTGTTGATATTAGTCGGTTGGGGGCGATCGACCACAGGAAGCCTTGCTTGACCTAGGTTTTATTCTAGATGGCACTCACCAGTCAGCCAAAGCGTATCTACAACCTCAAAGGAACTCATATCCCTTCTGAGAATCGAACTCATATCACTTGTGTTGCAACCAGAGCCACCTAGCATGGTGGCCACACCGCAAGTTTGACTGATTGAATTCAGTCTGCACCGAAGATAGGACTAGACACATTACACTAATCACACTGACTAGTGTCCAATCAAAAATTGAAGAATGTGATACTATTCCTACTGTAAATGTGGAAAAGTTCCTGGGGTTACTTTTATTTATATTTTGAGTAAAATAGATCCAGTTTTGTGACAAATCCCGAGAATCCCATGCCCTACTGTTTTTAGGAATAAGGCAGAATATTATTACTATTGTAACAACAAAAGACAGGGGCCGGCAACGGATCGTTTTATTACGGAAATCAACACGTATTTATATATATTTCACATATACAAGCAGACAAACTCAGGCTTCTGATTGGTTGTTTCGAAAAGTGGAGCCATTTATCTGCGAATCATATTTACCCACGTTTAGGTTTGTTGTGATTGGTTGTCGAATCAGCCTTGTTCATATTTTCTCACAGCCAATATTAGTGACCTAGACACTGACGTAGATTAATGTCTACCAATTTGGCTAGCAGCCTGCTCTCACTACACTATTACTTTTGGTTTAGTTATTTGCTGGCATGTATTTCCAAAGACTGCTATATGAATAAACAATATATTTTTGCATATTTCATTGGATTGTTCGCACTACTGGCACGAACTAGTCTGTTCTCTGTCCTCATTTTTGTCGAATTTCGGGGGGGGTGGGTGGGTGGTTGAACTAAGCAGCAGTAGATATCTGGTCTTCAGTTGAACTGCCCTTCTGCTATCTGGTACCTAAATCATACTTTAGCGGTGTTATTATATCATCAGCAGATATAAAGAAAAATGCGTCGGTGGCACAGCGGTAGAGTGCTCGCCGACCATGCACGTCGTCCGGTGTTCGATCCCCGGCCACCGACGCACTCCTTTACATCGCTCGCTAAGCAAGTAGTAATAAGACTGATAAAGAGAGAAGGTTGGGCATCAGGCTAGCAACAACATCCCGTGAAAAATAAATGACGCTGCCACTGAAACTCCAAGTCTCTAGTTTGCAGCCGCGCTATGTTCCACACTGGGGACGCAAAGGAATAAAAATAAACTAAAACTTGCACTAACGAAGAAGATTGTAAATTAGCGATGAATAACTGTTTCTTATGCTTGTTATACAATCTATCTGATATGCTTTTATGAAATTATTTATTTTAATGTATGAAACGTTTACAGCACAATTATCATTTCGCAGGAATTATTTTTAAACATACTTCATTTTGATTGCCGCTGCTCTATTAAAGGTAAAACAGTAAAAATAGTACCACAATCAGCTGATAAGAAAAATATGCAAACTCATACTACTTATATAATAAGTTGGAAATTAGTAGTATTTATTACGACCTCAGTAGCACATCACCATTTCAGTCTATTCTCTGGTGCCTTTCTAAGCCGCTCCCGCGACTGCTCACAGGCTGTCACCTCCTTCCTCCATGTCAACCTCTGGAGCTATGAGCAACTCATCGCTTTCTGTTTGGCTTCCATACAGAGATCTGGTGCGTGACGTCATTCATTTCCTTATGTAAATGTTTTGGCTGGCTCGTCGCTAGAGTTATTTGTTGCTTGTTCTTTCTGGCATTACACCCAGTGCTTTACATTTGGAGACAGATACCTGGTAAGAGAGCGTAGTCCACATGGATTTTGAAGCCAATGCGACCTCCTCAGCGAGGAGTAATTCCTATCTGTGGAGGGCCTGTCTCTCTGCCAAACATTTAATTTGAGTCTCACAACATCAGAATTGGACGGTGAGGCTTTACTAGTTAGATACCTAGATAAAAAATAACCTTCCTTTAGACTTTTTGGTATATACAAACACCGCATGTTAAATGACAATACAACTGCACATAAAGAGTCAGCATAGCCTCGTCTACCTTTACTTTCAATCACACTGAATTTCGAAAGATGGTACAACACGGTGCATAGCAGTTCCGTGTTACTCTGAAGAGGTTAGGAACACAATATTCCAGTAAGAGACTTCTTTCAACGAACTTATCATCAAGCTGTACAATCGTATATACACATATGGTCTTATATCCGGTGAGGGAATTGAATCAGAGGTGTGAACACATGAAATAAAAATAGTATGAGGTGTAATTGAAATATTTGTAATTTTAATCATAGTTAAATGTCAAGTAGCAAAATAATTAATGTCATACATAGAATAAATCATAAGGTATTTAGATGTTGGAAAGGGGTGCATAAATAAAGGATTAGTAGGCGAATAAAAAATGCTACATAACATGGTGTGAAATTTGATAAGATAGAATTCAATATTGTAAAAATAAAAAAATAATAATCTTGAATTTAGAATGACAAGTGAGACAAGCGTTTTCTGCGTTATATACTTCTAAAGATTTTAATGTTTCAGACAAAGTCAAGTTCTCACTAGATGTGACTTCGCTGTTTACCAATCTAACTCTCATGGAAACTGTTTGCTATAATATATGTGACCATATTAATACACATAGTTTAGGAATAGAGTTGCCGACAATCCACCTCAAAGAACTTTTATTGAGATGCACGTTGAATGTTCAATTCACTTTCAATAATGAGATTTTAGGCAATGAGATGGCATTGCCATGAGATCATCACTGGGTCCTTTACTAGCTGATTGATTTTATGGCAAAGCTTGAAAAAACTCTCAACCCAGCCAAACCATCGATCATTTTGACATTTATAAAAGATACGTAGACGACATATTCGTTATCTGTGATAATAACGTAATTCTTGATGATGTCTTGTTTGCTTTCAACAACTGCCATCCTTCTTTACAATTCACCATAGAAAAAGGAAGCTGGACTAAGTATTCCGTTTCTTCATGTGTGCCTTAGTAGACGTAATGACGGATCTCTCAAAAGATTGATCCACCGGAAACGTACATGGAACGGACAACTAATTTTTATAGTTGGGTGCCGATCTACAGGAAAAGGAACCTAATCTATTCGCTCCGTTTTAGAATAATAAACATTAGTAGTTCTGATCGCGTTGACTCAGAAATTGACTTCCTAAAAGCCACACTTGCAGAAAACGGTTACCCAAACCGATCTATTGACAGTAACACGAAAGATAAGCAGTCTAAACTGATCACCGACTCAGTTCCAAAGAAAAACTGATTGCCTCTATGTGCTTCTATCAGTTTACCTGCTGTTGTGGAGCAAAGTACATTCATTGGCAGTAGACAGAGGACGCTTTCCACACGGATACGAGAACATATTCTAGCTGCATGGTTTTAGAATGGAGAAGGATCTGCGTGCAGAGCTCTATTCTAGGATACCTGATCGGCTTCTGTCACTCGGTCAACCCTGACCATGATTTCAAGATCATATATAGAATCCACGCTAACTTACTGGCCGCGTTTTCTTCGTTACAGACTTCTAAAGACAGCTGACGCCTGGCCATTCATGACTTTAAGCCAGCCACACCTTCGTGTACAAAAGAAGTATGTACAATCCCTACTTCTGCCTTGACCGTAGAGGGATAGACATTTATTTATTTTGTTCATTTTTTATTCTATGTACCTTTCCTTATTACTGCGATTATTATTATTATCATTATTATTATGACTGTTCTTACTTTGAATTGTTTCCACTTGTCTCACTTGTCATTCTAAGACCAAAACTTGTTTTATAGTGTTGAATTCTATCTTATCAAATTTCACACCATGTTATGTAACATTATATATTCGCCTACTAATCCTTTAATAATGCAACTCTTTCCAACATCTATACACCTTATGTATTATTCTATATATGACACTGATTGTTTTGCCACTTGACATTTAACCATGATTATAATCACAAATATTTTAATTTCATTTCATACTACTACTATTATTATTTCATGTATTCACACCTACGATTCAATTCCCTTACTGGATATAATTTCTCAATACAAAAAAACAAATGTGTATATACGGTTATACAACTTGATAGTAAATTCGTTGTTGGAGAGTCTCTTTGCTGAATATTGTATTCTTGACTCTGGTGAGTGTTTATATCGGAGAATTTGTCATTAAAATTCAATCAACTCCCCAATTGATAATTAATCTGAGATCTTTTTAAAACTTCCCACTATATAGAAAGCTTTGTACATGATATAATGTGCCTATGAATTCTCTGAAGGGATTATTTACTTTACTTTATAGGCACCAGATGCATTTTCTCTGAGAATAAACGTCAGCCGATATTGAAATGACATATTTTCATCCTTAAGACAACTAGGTGGTTTTTTATATCAAATTCATTCCCTGAATTACGTCACTGTTTGGTTGCAGGATTTCATCATGAGCTGACATTGGTTAGAGAACCATTGGAAAACTACCTGAAAGCACTGGGCAGCTATTTCGTCCTATTTTGAGTCTCTTCATCAGTACCCATCCACGCCCCTGGTTCAAAGGCAGGACCTTCTGATTACAAGGCCAGCGAGCTCGTAGACCATGAAGCCACTGGGACCCGCCAATCCGATGGCCAACGCATGAATTTTAACTTTTGTCAATTCACGACATAGCGCAACCGCTAGCCAATGTCTTCGGAGAGTATTTGTCCTCACACCCGACCTGCTGCACCCTACTGGTCACGACTTCCCACTAGAACCCAAGTAACTACCTACCTGGATAGGGCCAGTAGCCAGTAAGCATCTCATCTATATTCAAGTGTTGGTTTGCAGCGATTTGATTGATTGATTGATTACAGGATTTCATCATGAGCTGATATTGGTTAGAGAGCCATTGGAAAACTACGTGGAAGTACTGGACAGCTGTTCCGCTGTCCTAGTTTGGGACTCTTCAGCAATACACACCCACCCACAGCTGTCCAGCACTCCCAGATTTTTCAGTGATTTTCTAATCAATGTCAGCTGATAACGGAATCATGTAACCAATCAATCGAATACCTACAAACCAATACTTGAATATGTTACTGTTAGTTTGACAAAGTCCTTTCTTGAAAGTCGACGTAACTACATTCAGAGAAGGGTGAATTATATTCTGTAGGGAATACCTGAATGTGAATAAATAATATGATAAACTTACAATTCCAGATCTGGTATTTTGATGCTGTAAGGCGCAGTAAATTTTAAAAATGAAAATAAACCCAACAAATCATGAGCTAGTCAGGATAATAATGATAATATTCATACGATTGCTGTAGTTGGCAGTGAGACACAAGGCTAACACGATTAGTTTTACTCTAAAGGATGAATGACAAATATCTCAGCAGTCGTTTGGTGGATAGAATACTGACTATTCAAAACATATGTACCACTGAGGAAGCCATTTATTTAAAGTCACCTGAAACAAGTTGTTGAACAAAGAAAGAACAAACATGTTTCATGATGATACCAGCTCGTTTTATTTCTTGGACTCTTTTTAACTGCATACAACATTATTATTATTACTGTTCCATTGGGTTTCGAGTGGAACAGTGGGATTCAACGGCACAACTTCAATTTGTCCTATTCTCTGTGGTCCTCTTTACTTGACCCTAGGATCCTCGACCGATGGCTGCTACCTTGATGTGATGGTCGGGCTTGCATGTCGCAATGACCCAGCAAGCTACAATGGTTGGAAATATTGTTCCTGCAGGTCCTACCATGCCAGGAGGGTTCTCAGGATAGCCATTAGACTAAAAGCAGTTACAGGCTTAGTGTGAGATTTTTCATTTTTTTTAAACTATGCTGGGAGTCTATGGGCGAAGTTGTACTGCTGGGGACACGGATGTAACAGCAGTTAGGTGTTTCCCTCAGATGACCAGCATTTCGGTCACCTATGCTATCTCTTCACTCTGGAAAGAGGGGATTAAAAAAGGTCGGCCCCAACAATTGTACATCCCAACTTACTCCACCTAAGGTGGTCCGTAACCGGCGGTAAATTTAATAATTCAGAGCCAATCAGAGAAACCAGTTTATATAGGCCGTGTGTGACCGGCCTGAAGCAGTTGTCCCCCTGGATCTGCGGTCAAGCAACACTAACCATCTCTCTGTTTCTGGTACTCGAAGAATCAGTCAACTTCTACGGTATGGGCAGTCGGAATGTAACAACTGCCCACACACTTTCAAGAGCACACGAAGCCACTTCCAAGACAGGCCCTAGGATCACACATAATCTCTCATCTCCTCCTCACACGATCTCCTTCATGTCACCTTCTGACCAATGTCCAACTCTCTGTCTTTCATTCGGGTTTCACCCAAGCGATGGCCTGGAGCTCAGTGTCACCCGACGGTCTCATCAACGTGCATTCTGTTCAAGTTCATTCTCTTCGGAATGCCTAATTAGTAATGGATTCTTTATTGGTTTGTTTTCACAATTTCCTTTCGCTAACTGTTTCTGCCATTTGATCTTCACTATGGAGCCAACAAAGTCAGATGTTGATAAATGTCTGCTGTTGCCTGTTGCAGTTGCTTGTGATAACATTTTGGCAAAGTTTCTAGCTCATGTAGAAGAGATGACCTACTCAAAATTTGTGCTTAGATTCCGTATCATTTTCTTTATGATGAGTGCATCAGACTTCCAAACTGCTTTCAGAGGGATAAAGACCTGGATTGTCTTTCCGATTCTGTTTTTGTCATCCTAATCTGTGGCGTTGTCTATCGTTGAAATTGTGCTTCCTAGATAAGTGAATGAAGCCACCACCTTCAAATCTCTTCCACTGATAGTGGTTGACTCTTGTTGTTGTTGTTGTTGGTTGGTTGGTTGGTTGTCTTCACCACTTCCATCTTCTCTATTTTCATTTGAAATCCTGCCTTCGATGATTCTTCAGCTAGTTTGTTGGATTTCGCCTGAAATTCTTTGACTTTGTGTGACATGAGACAAAAATCATCCACACGAATCTATATAACCTAAACAATATCAAAGCATAAGTTACACAAGATCTGAATATGGCCAAGTTAAACTTTAAGCACCACTAACTACAAATGCACTGCGTCTCACTAATGACCCTGAATCGTGCACTGAGCAAATTAGTGAAACCTGGCAAATTATGTTGTCATCATCAATAAAATATGCTAATCGAAGTGTTATGTTATTAAATGGGATATCTGGCAAGTTTTCAGCTCAGTTTTGGGAAAGATTAAGTTACGCTTAAACCAAAGACGAGTTAGGGTTAGGTTAACCTAATAAGGACGACATTAGGGTTGGTTTGAGTTAATTTAGGGATATTTTCAAGTTAGGGTTGGGTTTAAGAATGATGAGGGTTACATGCATAGAATGAGTTTAAATTACTCTGTTGATATAAGAACAGAACTTGTGCACTGTGGCGGTAGAGTACAATTCCATTGTGCGTAGCATTTATTTTGATAAAGTCTCACGGTGTTATACAGTACACTAATATTTACTGATGACCAAGTTTCGAGCACAATTTAGTGCTCAGTAAATATTACTGTGTAACACTATGTAAGACTTTATCAAGATAAATTTTACCCACAACGAACAACATGCTCTTTGATGCAGTCAAAAGTCGATAGATACCCTTCTCATGTTAACTCCAACTGTGTGTACAAATTTACGTGTATCTGAGGGAGCAGTTACATTGGGAGAACAGAAAGAAGGGCACACCTCCGATTTTCTGAACATGTGCCTACGTCTCAAGGGAACAAACTCTTATAATAGCGCTATTACCAGACATCTCCTCGATACGGGTCATGAGGTGGAAATCAAGAAATCCTTTAAAATTATCAATAGACAAAGGAGATCGATTCTCCTCAAGTTAGCCGAAGCTATTTCTATCAAACACTTGAAACCAGATTTATGTGTTCAGAAAGAAGCAGTTATTAGTCTTTCCTTGCCCTGCCTGGTAACTAACTGGATGTCTTTTTTTTCTCTCATTTGATTACGTAACCTTTGTCTTTAACCCCACTCTCCTTTTATAATCTGTAATTTTGCTTGTCTCTTGTTTCTATGATTTGAGTTGAACTCAGTACATGTTACCTAATTTATTAGTCACTCTGCATCTAACGCAAATTTCATCTTTATTATGTAACTCCTTCACCATTATGTGCATACATTTATTTATTTATTGTTTAAACTTGAACTGCCTGTGTAAAGACTATATAAGCGCAATTTTCTGAACACTGTTTACTAATTGTGGAACTTTCTGTCAACTGACGACATGTAAAATTTGCAAGTATGTTGAAAAGTTTCTGTACTCAAACCTCATAATTTATTTAGGCTGTACTCAGCAGCTGAGCTGATGAGCAGCCAACGAAATCAGTGATGGTACCATATTATTCGACACAAACCACCACTGATGTTCTTGCTTTATTCAAACGGAATTTATACTCTGTAGATGCTTCACCCTATCACATATGTGAGAAAGATATCTTCTGTAACACGTTTCTACAGTTTTTATGCATTTATTTCGCTCTCATAAATATACGTATTCCATACACAAACATGCCACTTTCACGTGATTAGTCGCGTTCGAGGTTATTCGCTAACTGATAGTAGTTGGTGGTGCTTAAAGTTTAACTTTGCCCTGAATATCACACTGACATCAAGTTGTCAATAGACAGTTATTGATATCACTTGAGTTATACTCAGTTGACAAGAATCCGCCGAATAAAATGAGCTCATATTATATTATCCTGCAAATATATTGATTCTTTCTGTGTTCAAACTAATCTAGGGAACTGAGTGTATAAAAATCAATGAAGGCTGTTTCATTTTTACTCCAACACAGATTATCAACAAAACAAATTAAAATTAAACCATATTTGACACTAGATTATTCATGGACCAACACAATGGTCTCTTTCCATTTTATACAGACCCAGAAACTAGCATTAGTTGTGAAAAAAAAACTCTTACATCATCAAATACGAAAGTCATCTTTCTCTTTGCCGTCATCAGCATTCATATCATAACTCTGAGCAGTCTATCTAGAAGGGTGAGTACAGGTACAGGTTCCTGCCAATATCATCATAATTGCATACCCCGATCGCCAAATGGTTAAGTCCCGTCTAAATGGGCTGTATATTATCGAGCCGTAAGATGTGGTAAGCCCAGACAGCCTTCCTTCAGGCACCAGATTTACACCTTGCACCACTACGCCTTTCAGAGCCATTCTCGAATTTCCATCGATGGCAATAATAATGAGGAATGATAAAGGCAGACAGGCTTATCTAACCCCACTACTACTGGGTGAGAATAATAATAATGACGGCTGTTTGTATTCCCTCACTTTACATAAACTGCTTTCGTATAAGAATTTTAGCATTTCAAGAAAACCCTTTAGGAACATACCATTTATAAGACAATTTCAAAGAACAGTCCTGTCTAGTTAACCGAAGACAGTTCTTGATATCAAGAGATACCATGATATTATACAATGACATGATACGTGACTGTCAATACAAATCGAGGTGAATAAAATTCCGAGAATACCTCTCAGGACAGTCAATTACCATCAAGCTCATCAGGAAAACAGACATCAGATTCATGAAGAATATCGGAAAGATACTCTTTAAAGGTCATCGCTAAAGATGTTAACTTGACTAAATATAGTAAGGGAATAAGTTGATTAAGGTGATGTGGGTAAAGGAGAATGATGCTCAGGAAGGCTTCGTGTGCTCTTGGAAGTTTGTGGGTGGTTGCTCCTTCCCAGCTGTCCACACCGTGGAAGCTGATTAATTCTTCGGGCACCTGAAACAAATAGAGAATTACTGTTGCGTGACCGCAGAGCCCCGGGGGACAACTGTTTCAGGCCGGTCACATACGGCCTGATTTGGTTCCGTATTAGTAAACTTACCACAGGTCACGCACCACCGTTGAGTAAAACGGGATGTACCTTTCTTTGTTGGAAACGACCTTTTCTTACCCCCTCTCTCAAGAGCGAAGAGACAGCATAGGTGGCTGGCATGCTGGTCATCTGAAGGAAACACCCTACTGATGTTACATCCCTGTTCCCCAGCAGTACGGTTTCACCTACAGACCCCCAGCATAGTGTAGGTAACAAAAAGACTTACCCTAAGCTGGTAACTGCTTTTAGTATAATCGCTATCCTAACAACAAATTTCCTGGCATGGTAGGATCCACAGGAGCAATATTTCCAGCCAGTGTAGCTTGTTGTGTCATTGCGATGTGCAAGCCCGACCACAACGGCGTCAAGGTAGCAGCTATAAGTCAGGATGTTAACTTGAATGACTATTCTAGCTTTGCGATTGAAGGGTTTAGCCGATAGAATACTATACTACCAGAAATATAGTAGATATACTGACAACTTAAATCTCAAGAAACATTGGCCATCCCCCCTCCCCGAATACACAGAATGCAATAAACAGAATAAGACTTCTGATATAGATTTGAATTATTAAGCAAAACTCACACATTTCTGGACATAGTACATCTGCAAAAAATAGCATTTTTGCAATAATCATTTATGGTTTAAAGAATCTACATATGAATTGATAAGCAGACGGTTGCAGTGAAGGAAGCTTTCTTTTCGACGAAGTCATCGTCAACTGGGCTGTATTATTTATTATTATTATTGCTCCCTTGGGTTCCTAGTGGAACATAGGGCTTCAACTCCACGTCTCCATTTGCTTCTGTCTTCTGCTGTACTTCTCAGCTGCATCCATGTTACTCCATACTCTTTCAACTCCTCCTCCTCTTCACACGATCTCCTTCATGTCACCCTTGCACCGACGTCCCATTAGCCGCTTCCTTTCGACCAGGCTCCACTCGAGCAATGGCCTGACGCGCGATGTCACCCAGTGGCGGCCTCCTCAGCGAGTGTCCGATCCATCTCCACCTCATCTCCTGCATATTAGTTGGTTGGCGATTGGTTCTTGTTTTGTCTGTTTGTTCCCATAGTTTCTTGTTAGTGGTGATTCTTTCCGGTCCGCCCGGCCATCTGATCTTCAGTATAGACCCAGCGAAGACAGTTAGTTGTTGATAAAGGTCTGCAATAGCCAGTTGGAAATATTCTTTGTGACCCGCCAAGTTTCTGATCTGTTCCGTATAGAAGAACTGACTTACATGACGTGTTTGTATTGAAAATCCGACCGAATTTTTTTGTTGATGCTGAGTGACGAAGATTTCCAGATTGGTTTCAGTCAGGTTCGTGATGTTGATGTGTTTCTCGCTCGCCTTCCCGATTCTCGAATTGACATCCTCGTCCGTTCTGGCTGTCTGTAGTTGAGATAATGCTCCCTAGATAAGTCAAGTGAATGAAGCAACCTCTTTCAAATCCCTCCCGTCGATGGTGATTGGCGCTGGATGTTGCTGTTGTTGTTGTTGGTTATTTTCATAACCTCCGTCTTGTCTATGTTGACCTGGAGTCCTGTCTTCACCGGCTGCTTCTTTGACCAGTTTGTCGGTTTTCGCTCGCTTGTAAGTCTTCAATTTTGTGTGACATCAAACGTAAATCATCCACGCGCGAAATCCAGGTCTTCTAAGTTCTTCACGTCGGTCGGTCCAGGATATCCCTCCCTGTCTTCTTGTTTCCCACTCACTGTCCGACGCATAATCTGGTCAGTCCACCACAATTAGGAATATCATCGTGGGTGATAATAAGCACCCTTGTCTGACTCCTGCGTTTACTCCAAACGCCTCACTGAGTTTTCCGTTGTGGATCAGTTGACATGTGCCGTTGTCGTACAGCTGTTAAATAAGGTTGATGAATATTTGGGCACTGTACGCCGTAGTATTCGAGTAGTTCCGCAGATTCCCAACACTTCTATTCTGTACCTTCTCATTTCAGCGGCTATCTGGGCAGCCTTTCCAGTTTCGTACATTGTACGAACATTCCAGGTACCCATCCTTATTTTTGCTTTTCATCGAAAGAAGGCATATCGGCTGACTGGCTTCCCGAAGGCTTTCACCAGCCTGCGTCATTTCACTTCCCCGATTCCAGCGGAAAATAAGGTTATTGTTAATGTTTTCAGAATTTTTGATATATTTATTCGTTGAAGTTTCTGTAGCGATTTGGTTGTTTTACGGGGGTGGAGTTGCTAGCACCACGCCCTAACCCTCCCTTTTTATCCGGGCTTGGGACCGGCTAGGAAACTAGTAAGCTAGCAGCCTAGCAAGCTAGTAATCTGGCGAGGTTCAACTGGGCTGCACATTCATATATTTATGATAAATGGATGGGAAAGTTCCAGAATAATTTCCCGTCAAGGGTCAAATTAATAAAATTACAGTTAGTTATTAAAATATCACAATAAACAGGGAAGGGGCGGATAAAGTTCAAACAAATTAGCATTATAATTACTGAGAAGATAGACATATTGTGCGATTCGGGGTAAGAAATGTAGAAATAACAAAAATAGACAGGATGTTTGGATAAAAAATCTAGTGGGATCATAACTAATGTGACGAATAATTGTTTATGCAATCAGGGGTTAAATATGTAGAAATAATAAAATGACAAAATAGACAGGAAGTTCGGATGTGACAATGTGGCAGTGGAAATAGTGAAGGGATTAAGAAAAACTTAAAAATAACATGAATAAACAGGAAGTTTGGATAAGAAAGTCAATGAGATAGTCACTATTAAAAAAATTACCTGTTTATGATGGCCATGGCAGGGACAAGGGTTGAACGTATTTCTTTTGCACACATAGCGTGGGTTTGAGCTTTTGGATGGCTAGTGCCTCGGCTATGCCCAGGTGTCTTAATGTTTCACTCCCTTTGATGGGTTTGATCGAATATGGCATATTATTCTGAAGGACTTTTTGAATGGCACTGAATGTCCTGAATTGACCAGATGTTTTGTCACTGAACTATGTACCCATTTTCGTTCTCCGTATGCTAGCCAGGTCAGACAGTGTTCACGAGAGCGTTTTTCAAGTTGACGCATGGTACGACCAATGTATTCAGCTTCACAAGAGCAAGTTAACTGGTACATGCATGCTGAAGTGGCTCAATGCTACAGCTTGTCTTTCGCGTCGTGGCTGAACAGTTTCTTACAGGAAAACGTCAGTCGTAGGCTTGCGGCGAAGTATGTCTCCCTCAGAGACTTGCAGAGGCATTTACAAAGGATTTTTGCTTCAATGTCACCTTCGAATTCTAGATTAAGCAGAATTATCTTCTTCGGACGGATTGGACTTGTTCAGAAGTCTTCTTTGATTTGAGATTCTTGACTATGAACCTAGGCAGAAAGCCGTTTTCCATCAGGGTATCTCGGAGATTAGTCAGTTTGTCGTCAATCACTTCCTCACTTCATATCTTCCGAATCCTCGAGGCAATAGCGTATATAGGGTATACATGAGGTAATTCTTTTAGTAGTGACTATCCCATTGACTTTCTTGTTCAAACTTCCTGTCTATTTTGTTATTTTATTATTTCTACATATTTAATCCCTGATTGCATATACAATTATTCGTCACATAAGTTATTATCCCACTAGATTTTTTTTTATTCAAACATCCTGTCTATTTTGTATTTCTATATTTGTCACGGTGTTATTATACCATCAGCAGATATGAAAAGAAATGCGTGGGTGGCACAGCAGTAGAATGCTCGCCAACCGCGCCTCATATGGCGCGGGGTTCGATTCCCGGCCACGGACTTACTCCTTTACATTACTCGCTAACCCAGTAATAAGACTGGTAAAGAGGGAAGGTTGAGCATGAGACTGGCTAGCAACCTCATCCTGTAAAAAAGATAATCACCAGTGTTACAGAAGCTTCAAGCCTCTAGCTTGAAGTTGGCCTATGTTACACACTGCGAACGTAAAAGACTAAAAAGAAAATAAATCTGAGTTATAAAATTAGTGAAATACTTCACAGCTTACTGTGATGGATCGCTGAAATGAAAAAAAGTATTGAAAATTCAATGTGGGGATAATTTTACAAACTGACGGATGGATGAATGAATGATGACAACCGAATCACTTCAAGGTGTCACATGCATATATAAACACCTCAGAATGAAGAGTATGTCTGTCTGCGTCCCTTCAGGTGATTTCAAAGTAAAAGGCACAAACAGCGAAGAAAATTTTCTTTTCGATGATTCATTTTCATAAGCTGTACAATCATAATTATAATTAACACAGGAAATTTTTGACCAATCAGATACTGGTAAACTTTGTCCTTGAAAATTCCACTACATAATGTGAGGTGTAAGAAGGGATGACTAATTGTAAGTTAGAAAGGAGACAGAAGTCGGCATGACCTAATAAGTGTGAGATACTGACTAATCAATAAGCTCAGCTCGTGTAGAATGGACAGGAACTAGTGGAAAGGCTATAAAGTATTTTTGTATAAGATCGTGCAAAAGGACTCCGGATACGACATCTGTACATAGCTAAGGCATTAGCTATTCGACACCTAAAACCAAACCTGTGCATACAAAAACGATGCATACACTCTCTGGCCCTGCCATGGCCAGAGTAAATTTCTTACTATAATTTTGCTCCTCTCTTTTAATAAGTATGTTCACTATTATTATTATTATTATTACTGTTCTTAATACTTTCATTATAATTATTATTCCCACCATGCACATTTTATTACCACTGTATTACTGTTTATTAATAACATTGCTTTTCACACAGATCTTATACAGAAATACTTTATAGCCTTTCCACTAGTTCCTGTCCATTCTACACGAGCTGAGCTTATTGATTAGTCAGTATCTCACACTTATTAGGTCATGCCGACTTCTGTCTCCTTTCTAACTTACAATTAGTCATCCCTTCTTACACCTCACATTATGTAGTGGAATTTTCAAGGACAAAGTTTACCAGTATCTGATTGGTCAAAAATTTCCTGTGTTAATTATAATTATGATTGTACAGCTTATGAAAATGAATCATCGAAAAGAAAATTTTCTTCGCTGTTTGTGCCTTTTTCTTATGATTCAATATGGGAATATTTCGTTCATCGATTTCAAAGTACACAAACAACACTCCATAAATGCTGATTCTTACCATCACAGGGACTTTGTTCTGTGGCTAGGGATTGAATTGTTACCAGAGTATAATGTCCTTGGCTTAAAATATACAGCTAATATAGTCCTCCCACATAAGGGGAATACGCTGACAAAATTCATAGTCTTCTGAACAAATCGAGTTGAGCACTAATCTTCGGATGTATGGCATTCAATTAGCTCCTGTCAGTTGTGAGATGATGCTACAGGACTGGACTAAATCGACTCACTCCTAGCTTAAAGATAGACAGGAGTGAAGTGTCTGGTGGAGCGTGTTGATCCCTTACTTGACTTAATTGGGCAGTTGCATCAGTCAAAGCCAGCGGGTTGATCGCTGACGAAATCTCACCACGGATACAAAGAGCTCGTTTGACATTTACCTGCCAAGTGACTCCATCTCTGGCTTATTAAACGTGATATCCGGCTGGCTATCGATCAAAGGACGTATGGTGTGTACTGACTGCTTAGCAGTATGCCGTGGTTTCCTTCAAGGCTGTGAATGAGTCATGGTCATTGAAAGTGGAAGACATGAAAAACCTGGCTATCTGTCTTTCATAAAAAATAAAAAAAAAATTATAGGTCTCTTCGTTCTATCTGCGATTCAGATGGCTAGGATATGTGTTACGCATGCATCCCAAGCCATCTATCGCCTTCCTCGACAAGAAACAATGTTAGCTGACTGACAAAGAACGAATCTGGTTTGAAAAGAGAGAGCTAGTGGTGGTCAAACCAAAATATGGCTTCATCAGTCAATGAAATTCACAATAGTTAGTTTAAGCCTCGTAGGGAGATGAAGACCTCCTGGTTAAGGTCCTCAAGATGGTAAAACCATTGACGGCTGGAGACAATAGCTGATATGGCTCAAAATCGTCGTTGTCAATGGCTAGTGGAGGTGAATCCACTCCTCGTGACTTATAATATCCTATAAAACTCTATTGTCCCTCCATATTACTATTCTTTTCCCTCACTGACACCTCCGTTTATTACCTGTCTGTTAAATCTGTCTTTACTCTCTTCTCTTGCTTTGTGTGCTACATGGAGTGTAGTGTGACAACTCGAACTGATAAACATCTGTGCAAGGTCCCCCGTTGAAACGAGTTAGTCAGTTAGTCAGATGCAATTTTGGCTGATAGCAACAAGTAATGAAATCTAGAATAGGCATTTCATCTTGTTTGGGACTCTTCAGGTGGATATGCCTGCATTCTCACTCAAGGATTAGTGGTGTTTCAGCCGATAGTCATACTCTATACCTATCGACTTCATCCATTAGATCACGGGGCTAAAGTCGGCACCTGTTGTACAACAAGCACTCGTTCCTATTGTTTAAGTTAATTTTTTGTCCCATTCGACTCATTACGTTAGACTGAAATGCTCAGTGGTTTTGACATGTTGGTTTGTAATGTGGACACCTCGACAATGTCTGGAGATTAACATGATGTTATTCTTGTTGATGATGATTAGGTGTGGAATTTAGGATGGATATTTCGTCCTATTTGTGGTTCGTAATCTGAATGTACCTACATCGTTATTGGGTGTGACTGTTCCCAATGAAATGCGAGAAATGCAAAGTAACTTGAAAAATATTCATAAGTAGTTTACATGATTAACTGATTCTAATTGATGATCTGTTAGAAATAGAATGAAATTAGACATTTGTCACCCGTGATTCGATTCCCTCTGGCAGCAGAAAGCCATAAATGTTTATAGGGTTAAACTGTTCGGTTACAGAAAGAGAAGTTAAAGGGTGACTTGAACCAATCTCTCATTGAATGTGACTAGTGTGATGAATAATACTTATTATGAACTGTTCCGCAATGCCATTTAAAATCTGCCAGCATTATAGTCAATCAAGATACCACAAATAAATAGTGAAAGTGACAATCTGCTACCAAACACAATTTTGTTAAATGTGTATAATTGAATCTGTAATAATTTGCCGTGGAATGACTTGTTCGACGAAAAACCTGATCTCCTCAGTTTATACATTGAATGAGGTCATCAGCATGTATTCTCAGAAGAAATTTGTGTTCGCTATAGACTCGACAAACCATCCACCAGTTATAGCTGAAGGATTATCCTTATTTTATGAAGGTTAGACTAGTACACTTGATTTCTATGAAGTCCTACACCTGCAATCTCATTATGACTCATCGTTAAGCAGAGCCTCTTGAAGTTAACTGGTAGATGGCGACCAGCAAAGGAATCCAGGATAACGCACATTTCGTCCTATTTGGGACTCGTTCTCCAGCTGGATGTACCTGCATTCTGCAGTGAATCATAATGTTCCCGCTGAGGCTCGAATTCAGTGACCATAGTTTCAAACACCAACCAAAGCCTTATCCACTAGACCACTTGTGCCACGACAGCCACTTCTTGTGCAACTGGTCATATTAATTTAGTTCAATTTTAGATTTCCCCGTCGATTGGTCGGGCCGAAGTGCTCCTCGGTCTCAGGTTGACGTGTCGGCTTCTTGTACAGATGCTTTGACTACAATGTCTGGTCATGTAGCTTGCAATCAATTGGAAGATGGTAGTGACCAAAAGTGGAATCCCTGAGGCGCATTTCGTCCTGTTTGGCACTCGTCACCCGGATATTTACAATCCTTGAGCTCCTTATTCAGTTAAACTAATACTTTAAATTAAACATGAAAGGTGAGTATGCACTGTATACTTGACATGGAACATGTTCACTGATGAATTTTAAGGTGTTTTAACAGAGGAAGAACTATGGAGGACCACATTAAAAAGTGCGTCAGTGGTTTTTCAATGGTGGAGTGCTCACCAATTACGCAAGTGGACCACAGTCCGATTCCTGGCTTACACATTCCTAAACCCCACGTTATTCCCTAGACAGTAGTCAGCTTAACAAAGAGGGAAGGGTGTGCATGACGCTACCAATCCCACAGCGCAAAAGCAACAGCACCACTATAACTAGAACGGAAATATAAAATCTCCAAGCTCCATTTTCCACTCGGATTGCAAAATAGTGAAGAAACTCTCATAAAAAGGTAGATTCCTGAGGTCGGCAGACTAAACTATGCTTTCTCTGGAATGTGACACTTACAAACTATCAATGTGATATAATTAAAAAACTTGGGCACTGTGGTAGATTATAAATCCAATACAGATAAGATAACAAAGTGTTACACAGTAATATTAACTGATGCGGCCACGTTTCGAGCACAAATGATTACTGCTCATAATCATATCAAGTCACTACTCACACAACTTTTTCACTCATTTATATACGTGAGTAAAAACTGATAATTAGATATTGGAATCAAAATCGATATGGGATAATGTACATTCAGAAATAATAATAATAATAATAATAATAATATGAATGATATTGACCAACTGTTTTTATAGTCAAAATAAGTAACTTTTTAGAATGTTGTGATGTTAACTGTTAAGGCAGACTTAGTTAAGGGTGTCTAGCAAACTGAGCAGTAGCACTACGTAGCACAAGAAAAGACCTAAATGATGAAGTGAAACAGTTAGAAGAGACGATGGTGCTGAATAACTATTCTGTAAAATTCATTCAGAAGATCGAAAAGGCCAAAAGCAAATTAAAAATAATTGCCGAACTAGTAATGATAACGTAAATAAGAGAGAATATAAGGCATCTACAGTACTTTTTACCGTGTAAAGAGGGGACATATGAGACCCTCCCCACGTAGAATTCTCAATAAAGCAGGAATTAGAGTGGTGGCATCCAAACCTACAAACTCACTCAGGGACAAGCTGTAAAGGCTGAAAGACCCGGTCGGTTGACGCAGTTAGACAAAATAATATAATTTCCAAAATACCCTGCAATGATTGTGAGTTAAGTCAACTACATAGGACAAACTTGTAGGTCAAGGATAATCAGATTGTCGGAACATAAGAATTTGGCTAGGGTAAGAATGGTGCTGAGCAATTGCACTGCATGCATTAACACACAAACACAATAGCGTGGGAGAGGGTTAAGATTCTAGGAAATAATCTATGTAGGTGGAGAGAGAGGTCGATTACTGAATCCTGCCTGGTTCATCGAGTCTACACCCAAAATATCAAAATTCTATTTCAATTCAAGCACATCACAACATTCTAACAAGTTACTTATTTTGACTATAAAAACACTCGTCTTATTTCCCATCTGATTGTAATTGATCAATATCATTCATATGGTATGATTATGAGTGGCAATAGTTTGTGCTCGAAACGTGGTCATCAGTTAATAATACCGTTTAACACTGTGTGACTTATCAAAATAAAATCTTATCTATAATGGAGTTAGACTCTCAACCTGCCCAATCGGATTCCTACGTTAGATATTTAGTTTGTGAATAGCAGAGAAAATATATATATATATATATGTATTCAGTAATTAAAAAGGCATATTCCCTTACCCATTTGATCCAATTTTATACCTGGAAACATTTTAAAAACTCAAATGATTATTTAAAATTCTCAACGATAAGGTTAGAATCGTTTTTTTATTACACCTTGACTCCACACCTTATTTTTGGTACGGGTATGGAATTTTCAGCATGTGATATCGGTGGCCCAAATTTTGCAGGCCGACCATAGATATCCGGTGTGCGTCGGCAGGGGATCGAACCATGGACCATGTGCATGGTCGGCAAGAGTCCTAACCACTGTGCTACCGACGCATATTATTCATTCATAATGCGTGTTGGGACATATCTGCTGAGTGGCAAAGAATAGATGACATCGTGTTACAGAAGCGTGATCAGTAGAAAGCTTGTAAAACATCAGTTTACCAACACTGGTCAAACAGATCACTGTAGATTCTTACGAAATAAATGACTGATATTAAGCTGCATCAGGAACTGATAGCAGTTAAAGAAACACTGAAAGTTAAGGCGTACTGGACAGCTATTTGGTTCTAGTTGAGAATTCCTCAACCCTACTCAGCCATAACCTAACAGGAGTTCGATGCCAAGCCCTTTCAGGTTGATAGGTAAGCTTGCTAAATTCAATAACCCATGAATTCTAAATTCTGCCAACTAGAAACTGATATCAACTCCTATCTTGATATATGCCAGAAACAAAAGTTTGTCTTCATTTTGAAGTTCAACATCATGTTGTATCGTATATGCAGTTGAGATTTCGTAGATAAAACGGTCTGTTTCCCAAGTCTACATGGAAGAAGGAATAAAAAATACGAGTATTCTGATATTCTGAATAAAATTTGCCCACTGAAGTGATTAGCTGTGGTAATATTTAAGTTAATCAAATGAACTGTAGTCAAGATTTGACAGAATAGTTCTAAAATATTTGGGCGCCGAGTGAGAAGTAGACATTTGTAAAAAAAACCGTTGGAATTACTCATTTCAATATCGCTGAAATTTTACAAAAAGATTTTTTTACAAATTTCTACTTCTCACTTGGCACCCAAATATTTTAGAACTATTCAGTAAAATCTTGACTACAGTTCATTTGAATTATTTTGCAATCGAATTAAATTAACAAAGAAACTATGTAATTGACACAATCACATCGTGTTTCCACTCTCCGTTGTCTGCAACAGAATGCGTACCCTAAATCCGTAGGTATCCAGTCAACTGACAACTCCAGTAGGTCGAATAAATCAGCTCAATTTTCAGAAAGAAGACAAAGTCATAAGTCTGACAGGGTGCTTCAACTAAACTCTAATCCTAAACATCATAATTCTGAAAATACGTCTAATCATAAAATTCTAGATACTAACAGTTTGAACAGACATGAAGGTATGATGTTAGCTGACGCATAGGAAATCCTGATTAATAAATAAGAATGGATATGTATCACTAACTAATAATACTTGGTCAAAGTTCCCGACTGCCTACATCTACTTATGGAGACGTTAAGAAATTGTTTTACAACTGTTTATCCGCACACATACACATTGTGTTTAAAGTGTTTAACAAAGGTAGATCAATATTTGTAAGCCCGAGGTCAAATTCTGATCACAACTCATACAATTTTGTTTATTATACCTGTTGATACTTGTTTTATGACTCATAATTGGACAAAGTTTTTAAGGACAAGAGATGTTCCTTTTATATATAAACCTCTGTTGTTATGTTAATTTCGATTAATTTCCTGAAGAAATTAGGACCAGATTGGCAAACGAAACGTTGGAATTACTCATTTCAATATCGATGAGATTCTACAAATATAATTTTTTTTACAAATATTTAAGTTAGTTTAGCAATTACCAAATAAGTGTGTTAATTTCGAATGCGAAACTTGAAACCAATCTTCAAGGTAAAAGTGAATAAGAGTCCACAAAGTTGAAAAAGACTTAAGAAGTAAAAAATACTAAACATTCAAGAAATATACAAAAAATCATATTTGTAAAATCTCAGCGAAACTCAAATGAATAGTTGCAACGTTTCCTGAGTTCGGAAAACTTGTCCAAACTTCTTCGGGGGAAAATTAATTGAAATTAAAATAACAAAGGTTTATATATACAAAGAACATCTCTTGTTTTTGAAAACTGTGTCCAATCTAATGAGTCATAAAACAGGCATCAAAATATAAGAAACAAATTTCATGAACTGTCATCAAAATTTGATCTCACATTTACAAATTTAAGCAAGAGTTGATTTGTAGGGATTCGACTTAATTTTTATTTTGACCACGGATTAATATCGGTTAGAGAACTATTGGAAACCAGAATGGAGTAATCGACAGCTGTCTCGTCCTGGCTTAGGGCTCATCGGCAGTACTCAATCACCTGGTTTCAAACCCACGACCCTCCAGTTACAAGGCAAGCTCATAGTCCATTCAACAACTGGGACTAGATTCAACTAATGAATTCTAACTTCTACTGATTCGTGATTTAGTGAGACCAATCTGATGCTAGCTAGTGACTTGCTACAGGATGGAGTATCCTGGAGTCCTAGGTAGAAGTCATAACCAGTGAGGTCCATCCAATCACGCGTGCGGATGGATGTTCCACTGATGACATTAGTTGGTGCAAGTCGCGCTAAATCATGAATTGGCAGAAGTTAGAATTCATGAGCCATTGAATCGGTTCCCGGTGGCTGAATGGTATACGAGCTTGCCTTGTAACCAGAAGGTCCTGGGTTCAAAACCCAGTGGGTGCGTTCTGTCGATGATTCCCAAACTAGGATAAAACAGCTGTCCAGTACTCCCTGGTTTCCATTGGTTCTCTAAATGATATTCATCCGGGGTCAAACTTGAAGGTTTAGATCAAACATGATTGATTAGTGAAATATATTCATTTTTATCTACTAATCAGGACTTGCCATGCATTCACTAATATCAGACCTTCACATCTGTTCAAACTTTTGGGATTCACCCACATATTTTAATTTCGGTTAATTTCCCTGGAGAAGTTTCGGACCGAACGAAACGTTGGAATTACCTATTTCAATTCCTCTGAGATTTTACAAACATAATTTTTCATATGTCTGTTTCTCACTCAGTACCCACTTATTTTGGAACTATTCGTTAAAATCTTGATCCTAGTTCATATGAATTTAAGATATATCCTTTGAACACACACTGTCCTATTGTGATTATCTATGAGACAGATTACTGTTAAAGTGTCATCAGTTTTCAACTCCACCGTCCGCTATGTCTCTTTTACCTTTGAACTTTATTGGACACTTTGTAATTCTTACATTTCTGAGTTTCAAAAAGAAGCTTTCGAGAACCACTTTGGATTATTGTGAATTATCCCTTAAACACAAGAAACGACAGATCATGAGCAATCGAAGGACAAGATAAAAAATAACTACAGAAGACAGGGTGGAGTAAAACCTAAGGGGATAATGTCGATAATAGTTTACTATTCTCCTGGAAATCAGTCACCATCCCGAATAGCTGCTCAGTGACAAGGTCTCTGACTGCAGCACGCACTGGACGACACGGGTCTGAATCTCAGAAGGAACATGCATTCCTTCAAGATGACTGTAGATACGGCTTTCTGGCTGAGACTGGTAAGTGCCAACTAGCACGAAAGCTAGGTCAAGCAAGTCTTCCTGTGGCCGATTGCCTCCAACCATCCATTACCAATAATTCAAACTGCAGTGCACCGTGATGGCAAACATCTAGTGTCATGGTAGCTAAACTGCAAACTTGACTAATAGAACTCAGTCTGTACCAAACAAAGGGGACTAAAAACAATCAAAAATTTACTATTCCTTCCACGTATACCTGAGATCCTTAGAAGTGACATGTCAAAGTACCATTCAACTCTTTTGTGAAATTGTTTTCACTAACCACGATTGAAAATTTAAGGTCCGTTTCAGCTATCAGAAAAAAAACTGTGGTTGCTGGTAGATAGTATCACAAATATCCAATATGCATAAAGAAATTGTAAATTTTCGAAAATGTATATAGTTTTCCCCATATCCGCATAAAACACTTGGAACAAATATAAAGTCTCTATGACATCATGACAACCGGAATATATATTTAAGAAAAATCGAATCATAAACTATTTAGAAAACATAACTAAGGGTTAGTTGTAAAGTTTCTCGTCTCAAATCTCAAAATCATTCTGCTGTTACAGTTTGCGAATGATATATATCCATATAATATGTGTGTTTGCTTGACAGTCTGTTATATTTTGCTATGTATATATGGATCGACATTCCATTATAATTAGCCAATCATGTTAAGACTGTCTATTGATTTGTTCATTTTGAATATTCGCCCACACACTTGTGTTCACACACTTGTTCGGACATTCATATATTTTTGCTCTCACACTCTTGTGTGACATTGATTCTCCTTGTGTTTTGGAAAATAGAAGTATCATCGTAAACCTAGTGGTCTTCTGATTTCCGTCTTTCTTGCGTCAGGACTATTAAATTCTCGACCAGTACATAACAGTTAATTTGCAAATATTGTCATATCATGTTGGCGGAGCGAACTGTTCAACATTTTCAACTTACATCTCTTCTATTCTGTTTCTCCTGGAATAAATAACAGAAGATGAAATAGGGATGGATCAGTCTAGATAAGCCTAAATGACGTCAGTCCTGTAGGCATCAATATTCATAATGGGCGAAAATAAAAACAGAGTGGTAAAATGAAATAAAAAATGCCGAAGAAAGAATTTGATATTTCGAGTACTCCTGAAATTTTTTAAAATTCCTTTACGTTCCTGATGTGGAACATAGAGCGGTTTCAAGCGAGAACTTTGAACTTTTGGTAACATTGGTGTTTATTTATTTTTACGGGATGGGGTTGCTAGCCAGCCTCATGCCCGACCTTACATCTTCTCAGTCTTATTACTGGCTTACAGAGGTAAGGGAGTGAGTCGGTTGCCGGAGAGAGGACCCCGAACCACATGAGGCGTGTTAGGCGAGCAATCTACTGCTGTGCCACCGACTCATATATGTATATATATGATGTCGTCATTCAAGGTATGCGATAAGAAAAGGTTAAGAGCAGTTGACTATATTTGTCTCCAGCGAGATGATACTAAAATTACGTGCAATTTCCAAAAAATAAAGTTAAACGACCAAACAAGGTTATCTAACTGAAATGTTTGTGAACGTGACGTGTTACATACTGACCTACCAATCGATTTATCATAGCATGTTTACTGGAGTAAGATTAATTTCGAAGTAATTGGAGGGTGGTTGGTATAAGAGACTCCATCAACCAATCAATCTGGTAAATAGGTGGAGCATTTGCCGAAATGGTTGAAAACAGCTGAGTGCAAAGCGCCAAAAACCTCATTAACAAAACATATTGTGGACTATAGACATGATATCGACACTGTCAAGTCATTCACTATTGTCAACAGACAAAGAAACAAGAAGGTGCTTTCAATTGTGGAGGAAACTTGTGCAATTCGATTTTAGAAACCAGGTCTCTGCGTACAAAAGGAGATGGTCGTGATATAAGAATAAACTTGTGCACTGTGGTGGAGTATAATTCCATTATGGGTAAATTTTTGTTTTGATAAAGTCTCACAGTGATGTACAGTAATCATATCAAGATATGATTATGAGCAATAAATTGTGCTCGAAACGTCATCAGTAAACATTACTGTATAACACTGTGAGACTTTATCAAAACAAAAATTTACCCATAATGGAGATGGTCGTGACTCTGAATCTACAATGGTAATACGTTTTATTTATTATTATACCTCTTATTATTATTCTTGATTCATTTAAAACTATGCTTTATCAGTAAGATTATCTTAACTCACTTCAACACCATTATTATTATAACTATTACTATTGATATTACTTTGGTTGCAATTCTCGCTATATCCTCTTATGACTAATTGTTTATCTAAGTGATGTAATTGGAGCGTAATGCTTTTATCTTAATTTCAATCTCTCATACTCTCTCTCCCTTATCGCACCTATATCTCTGCATGACTAATTCAATGTAGTTTATTTGCTTATCAGTCTTGTGTCTCCTAATGTAATTTCAATATCCCCGTATGCAGAGTACTCAGCTGACGAGTTCTACTGAAATTTGATGAATCCATCATTAAATCCTGTTTTATTAACCACATTTGTTGCGTGTTTTAAATTGGTTAGTGTTAGAGTCTGGTTTGTTTGTCAGGAAATAACATCTACTAACTTTGAAGGAATTAGCTCTATTCACATCATATTTTGAAAAACCTTGAACGTTTTATTACTATGCACATAATGTAACAACAGAAGACAAGGTCCAGGCAACAGATCGTTTATTTACGAAATCAACACATATTTATAGATTTTCATGTACATTATTATAGATTATTTAAGCAAACAAACACAGTCTTCTGATTGGTTGTTTCTCACTGAAAGTTAATCTTCCATCTCTTTGTGGCTATTTCTTGAATGTCAGATCATCTATATGCTAACTGTATCCGCCTACGCAGAGTCTTTGTTCTTATTTTTCTCACGACTAATATTTGGGACATAAGCACTGACGTAAATTGATGTCTACCAATTTAGCTAGCGGTCAGCTCTCGCCACAATTATGTTACATTAGGCCTAGCAAAATTGATTTTCATCATGGACTGGCATCAGTTAGAGAACCATTGGAAAACCACCTAGGAGTAGGGGACAGCTGTTTCGTCTTAGTTTGAGACTCTTCATCAGTACGCACCCACGCCACTGGAGTTCGAACCCAGGACCTTCTAGTTACAGGGCGAGTCTGCTCATAGACCATTGAGCAACTGGGACCCAATCCAATGGCCAACGCATGAATTCTAACTTCTGATAATTCATGAAATTGTGTGACCACCTCACAATGTCTTCCTTGATGAGTTACTTCCTCTCCTTCAACCTACTGTACCTTACTGGTCACGCCTTCCCACTGGAACCCTAGGTAACTGCCTGAATAGGACTGTCCAGTACTCCCTGACTCGTTTTCCAATGATTCTCTAGCTGATGTTATCTCATGAGGAAATCCTCCAACCAATCAAACAAACAGAATCTTTACAAAACCATTACTTGAAAATTTATTTTTCTTTGATTACCCTTTTGATCATGATGTGTCGTAACTTGCACTGAATCGTTAGGGCCCAAAATCTTCTAATGATCATGTGTTGGATTCCCCTAGTTATCAACCTATGATAAATTTACACTCAAACGAGGCACTTCTGGTTGGTAAATATACATATTCACTTTGAGAAACCACTAGACAGAGGGATAATAAACCACTTAAATCTAATTAAGCACACAAAATTAAGTCTTAATAGATGAACAAACGGCAGAATAACCAAACTAGTCAAAACGTACTAGGTAGTAGAGAAAGTATAAGTAGTTTAAACTAGTATTGATTACTCCTAAACAGTAGGGCAAGCTGACCAGGATCTTTGCTAACATAAGTAGTCAGTTACTTAGGAAGATAACCTATTGATTTAGAGTATCATCGGTATTACTATCATAATATAGACGTGATAATAATTATTATTATTATTATTACTATTCGTCCCGTGGAATTTTAGCGGGACATGAGGCTTCAGCGGCACACTGTCATTTACTCCTTTTCTCTGCAGTCTATTTTTGTTACATACACAAATGTTGAATAGTTTTCTTTTCTTTCCATACCACTCTTGAACACCCAATTTGCCGTTGCCCCCCCCTCACCGTATAGCCTACACATGTCCCTTTCCTTCAGAATATTTTTAGGCGATAGGTTCTTCTTTGGTTCGTCACTAGATTTCCTTGGCGTTTATTTTCTTCATTCAGTCATCCGATCTTCAGAAAGTCAGCAGCAGGCTGTTTGAAGTGCTTTCGGTGACTCAACAAGTCTCGGGAATATAAAGCAGCACTGGGTGAATTGAAATTCGTGTTGAAAATCTGGATATCGTCCCTCGGCTACACTGCTGTCGATCTCCACACAATGCCGTACAAGGCATCAGTCCTCCACGAAGCCCAGATCTCGTAGTACGTTTCCGTCAGTCCAACGTATTGCAGTTTGTCTCCCTTCCAACGGTCTGCAGCACAACTCAATCCACCACAATAAAGAAGACCATTGAAGAAAGTAGGCAAACTTGCCTTGCTACTGTTTTCAATTCAATGGCTACACTCGGCTTTCCATTGGGAATTACTTCATATGTGACATTATACACGTTTACGACTGCCATTCTGTGCAATGTTCGATTACGAGGTGTAACACTGAGACTTGATCAATGAATGATTCGTCTACCTTAAACCCACCCTGTTCTTACTTAGTCTCCCACTTATATCATCTTGCATTCTCACCAGGATGACGTAGCACAAGGTGAATAGAAGCATGATTGCGTGCCAATTCTTCCAAAGGCTTATGTCGTCCTTCTTTGGAAATTTTACAAGTTAAATTTTATTCCGATAGGCAAGTACCTTTTCCTACTTCCAGACCTTTCTGCATTGGTGGTATGAGAATATCCGCTGGGATCTCTGAGTCTGTGGATAGTGACACCGTTATGCTTGTTTGGTGACCCATAACTGATAGTTTCGTGACTTGAAATCAGTCGAATCCAGACAACTGAACATTCGCAAATTGTATCTGACATAAGGGATTCTTACCATCCTTTTTGTCACACTGTGTATTTTATTTCGCCTTTTTCATTTTTTTTTGAATAAATTGACTTGACAAGTAAATCTGAGAGCAAACAGACTGTTCAAAATGTATCGCGCAAATGCATCACATAGTTTTTCAGATAATCTCCATCTTCTAATAACAACACTACCCATATTTATAAATGGAACTAATTATTTTTAATTATTTGTGAAACCTTCATTGTTTTTTGGGTGGTTAGTGACTAGTAGTGGAATCCAGGATAACGCGCATTTAGTCCTATTTGGGAATCGTCGTCATCTGGATGTACCTGCGTTCCCCAGTCAGTGAGTGATGAGGTTCCCACCGAGGTTCGAACCCAGTGCCCATAGTTTCAAACGCCAACAAAAGCGTTATCCAGTATACCACTTGGGTCACAACGGTCAGCCACCTCTTGTACAAAATTGGTAGACAACAATTGACGTCGGTGTTTTCGTCCCGAATCAGGATCATGCGAAAAAAAACAGTAACAAAACCTAACCTTGAGGAAGTCAACAACCAATCACAGCAAACTTTGCGTGTGCAAACACAATTTGCAGATATATGGCTTAACTTTCTAAGAAACGGTCACCAGTAGTAAGGAATAATCTTCAGCGAGAAGACAACCATTCAGAAGACGTTGCTGCTTCTCTGCTAACAACAACGCTAATAATAATAATGTACATAAAAATCCATAAATATCTTTTGATTTTCTCAATAAATGATCTATTTCCTGGCCCTCGTCTTCTATCGTCACACCAGTACCACCTACCTGAGCTACAAATTGTCCCGCTCATTTTACCATACAAGATCATTACTACAGTAAGGTGTATTAGATAGTGATATTATCTGGTATAGCTTTGAATTGATAAATAATGTCAGACATAATAGTGTCCTCTGAGCTGGTTGGTTTAGTTGCGGCTGAGCTTTCGTCGTCCCCTCTTTTGAACAACATCCCCTTTCAGGGCAATTTTTAGCGTGAAGTGAACTGATTTGAATTCTTCATGAATGATGATAGAATTGTGTCTTCCGGTAACCATCTTTACATCTGTATTGACCATCTTTTATTGACTTGGATTTCAAACTTTCTCGTCATATGTGATTTACTTTTTATTAGTTGGTATATTTGGTCTCTATTAGCGTGTTTGTTAATTGCATATTCGTTTGAGTACCAGGCTTCTAGGAATTCCCTGAGTGCACTTTTGGTGTTTCCTCTGTCTAAAATTTCGATATTATCCCAATCAAACTGATGTCCATAATTATCTATTTGCATTGGTATGAATTCCTAGAAGCCTGGTACTCAAACGAACAGGCGGTTAACATACACGTTAATATAGACCAAATATACCAACTAATAAAAAGTAAATCACCACGTGACGAGAAAGTTTAAAATCCAAGTCAATAGAAAATGATCAATACATATGTAAAGATGGTTACCGGAAGACGCAATTACATAACTCATGAACAAATTTAAATCAGTTCACTTTATGCTAAATATTGCGCTGAAAGGGGATGTTGTTCAAAAGAGGGGACGACGAAAGCTCAGCCGCAACTGAACCAACCAGCTCCTCAGAGAACACTATTAATTACAAATCATCCACCTGAGCTACAATGCTTCTCTATTATTTCAATATCAGACACAAAAAGTCCAGAAGCTACTGACTGGTCTGACACTTACCTACTGCCATTCAAATTTCCATTTCACTTTCAATAATCATGCTTTACACTAGAATTACACTTGACTATAGTATGAATAAATAAAAATGTATACATATAAATACTTTTCATGTTTTTACTGAAGAACATACATTTCTATGTTTTTATTGATCCTGTAAATCAAAACAAAAATAATTGTTTTAGGGGAGTTAGTAAACACTTGAAATCGGGTTTTAGCTCTTCTGTATGTGTGTGTGTGTGCGCGCAGAAGTACACTACATGATGAGTGTACTTTGTGTATTAGCTATAGAAAGAATTACAAAACGTGAAATGAAAGCGTCTTCTTGTAATGATGTGGTATATGATTGTTATTCCCGATCAAAAAGGGAAGATTTCAAAAATTACCTGATCAATGAATAGCGAATGACTTAGTGAATTCGCCTCATCTCCAGATGAGGGCTTACGGTGAGTTGTCATCTGAAGTGGCGACGACTAGTGGTGTCCGTCAAGGATACCCATTATCCCCATTTCTATTCAATTTCATTGTAGATATACTAATGGACTTAACCCTAACTCACTTCAGAGACACAGGGATTGACTTGCTACCAGGGAAAAATCTCGTTGACTTACAATATGTGGATGATATAGTCTTTCTAGGCGAGGACTCTGACAAAATACAGAAGAGTCTTCTGAACACCTTGAGCTGCAATCTACAAATGTTTGGCATGTGATTCGCTTGTGCTGTCAAATGTAAGATGATGCTACAGGACTGGACTACGCTGACTTCTAGTTTAGAAATAGGGAGTGAAGTGGTAGAGCACGTTGACCACTTCACTTATTTTGGAAGTACCATCAACCCCAACGGGTTGATCGCTAACGAAATCTCAGGACGAATACAGAGGGCTAGTTGATTCCGTCTCTGGTGTAGATGTGATATCCGGCTGACTCTCGACAAAAAGGCGTGCGTACTGCTCATCAGTCCGCTCCGTCCTCTTTCATGGCTGTGAGTGAGACCTGGCCACTGAAAGTGGAAGACATGGAAAGCCTTGCTAGGTATCTTTGATCATAGGTGCCTGCGTTCTATCTCACTTGTGAAGTGGTTAATAGGGTGAACAATATTGAGGTTAGGTGTCCAGTGAGTGCTAGGTAAGGAGGGGAAATCAATCGACGAGGCTGTGAAGTTACATCAACTGAGATGGTTAGGACATGTGTTGCGCAGGCATGCCTTACTGTCGCCTTCCTCAACAGTCAGGCGGGAAGAGAGCTAGCGGCGGTCAAACCAGAACATGGCTTCACAAGTCAAAGAAGTCCACAACAGTTCGTTTAAGCCAGTCACGTAGGAAGGTGTAGACTTCCTGACTGGTTGGGGTCCTCGGGACGGTAAAACCAACGAGGGCTGGAGACAATTGGTGATATGGCTCAAAGTGATTGTTCTCAATGGCAGGCGCAGATATATCCACTCCTTGTGACGTATAATTTCAAATGAAACTATATCGTTCTTCTTTATTACTATTCTTTTTTTCACACACCTCTGTTTACTGTCTCTATTACGCATTTCTTCTACTTTCTTCTCTTGCTTTGTATACTACATGGAGTGTGGAACATCGGGCAAAGTTCTATGTCGAAAACAGACAGATGGACTTCATCTCTAGATGCAAATATTTATGCTTCAATCTTTCATTAAACCGTTGTGTCCTCGACTTCTTTACTAACTTCCAAACTTACATCAATAAATGGTGAAACTTCTTCACATCACATCAAACATTAGTATTTACTGGCCTGATTTAACCAATTCAAACATTTTTTCTCTGCCTCATGCTGGAGATCATCAGAGGTGAGTTGTGTTTAACTCAGCACAGAGATCCTTATCAGTTCAAACCACCTGAATTTCGGCTCGGTAGTAGTTACTTGGGCGAACTGGTAATTCATTAAAAATCAAATTCACAACTTTTAAATTATGGCGTGATTTACAAATTACACCGTTTTCTTCACAAACCTAAATTATCCAGTTCATAATATGTGATCTCCAGTCGGTGAATTAATTTGAAATTCGCAGTCTGATTGGGTGTACTTTGAGTACCTGATACTTCTTCTTTAAAAGGACAAACCTTTACTACTAACTGTATATTTACTTTTGAAGTTATTCATTAGTCGTCAGGCTTTACAGGCTATCAATATATTTTCGTCCGCGTCAGTGATTCAGGGTGTAAAATGCTCGACTACTACTATTCATGTGGTGCAGGGTCTGATCCCCAGAGAACGTACTCCTAAATCTCGCTCAGCCGATAGTATGCTAACAAACTTACTCCCTAAAAATAGTACCACTGTTACTGAAACAACTCCAAAGCTCATGCTTCAAGGCCTCTGTTCAACTTGGAACTTCTCTGATCAAGCAGTATCACCAAAGATCTTGTTTACGTCTATACTTATAGTTTAGTGATGAAATGTCCATAAGGTGGAGGAGTATGTTGTAAATGGAAAGCGCCAGAAAAGATATCAGTAACCTGATCGAATCATGGAATATACAACAAAAATGCCAGTCGCCTGACTGAAAACTATTCATTACTTTTGATCATTCTTCTAATACTTCTCCGAGGCAGAGTCACGCAGAGACTCATTACACATTGATATGATGGAGAAGATTTGTGGGTTAGGTGGATGATTTTGATGTGATTGTGTTCTCTGAGCTGGATGGTGGTTAATTTGCGAAGCTTACAATAGAAACAAACCAATAATACACAAAAGCAATTGTATACAAATACTATTCAAGAGAGCCAGCCAGTCAGCCAAGACTCATTGTAGCACTCCCAACTTAAGGAAAATTGAAGAAAGATATCTCATAAAGGTTTCCCCGAAGAATGAATGGATATCCAAGGAATTTCATCAAAAGACATATACCCACAAGCCAACCTATTAAACCAAAGGCCCCCATGGAAAGTACATAGAAAATCGCACTGCCGTATATAAAGGACATCTCAAAAATCACTGCAACACCCTTCAAACCTGAAGGAATTGGCGTCGAACACAAACCTACAAAATCACTTCACTCAGCTGGCTCTGTGTCAATCAAAAGACTCAACAACGAAAGGAGACAAAACCAACATCATCTACAAAATAAATTGGCCAAAGTGAACGACGTCCTCTTCGTCTTCGTATCCATAAACATAAACTAGCCGTCCGAAGACATGACATCCACTCCCTCATTCATATCACTACATACAGACAACCACGGATGTCAATTCGACTGGGACAAACAACGTTCACGTATTATACAGAGGAAGCGTCAAGAACACCAGAGAATATTTAGAAACCAGCCCGGTATTCCAGTGAATCGTTAATCAATATATACATCTAAATAGACAAGATTTACCTACCGATAAGAAGGAAATCTCATACACAAAGGATCAAAGTTCAAGTCAAAGAAACAATCAATTCCAATACAAGTAGCTGCCTAGAAGGTGTGAAAACACACAAAAAACACCAATGACGTCCAAGGTCACCAGGAGAGATGATTAATAAACTCGTGAAGAAATCTTAAAGCTCACTTCAATTCAAATTGAAGTATGCGCTGTGGTGAGGATGTTGCCTAGTAGGGGGCAATGAAAGCTTCCCAAACAAACTATTCAGCTCAGAGAATATAACCACATCAAAACTCATTACATTGATTTTTTGGCATCTCATTCTCTGAAGTTCTGATTAAGCATTCAATGCATAAATAATTAATTTAGCAGAAAGTTTTTTTGAAAAAAGTCGGCTTACATGTCATTTGCGCTTTCTTGTCTAAAAAAAGAGGATCATTTCAGGGGGACACTTTTACTTAGATAAGATACAACGGAATGATATTGACACAAAAATGGAGAAAGAATCGTTTATTGTAATAAGAGTCCTTGACATATATACAATACTCAATGTGTCAGGGTTGATGAAACTACCCTTCTACTCAAATTGAAGTAGATTGGTATCGGTATAAAATTTGGGCACTGTGGTATAGTGTAACTCCATTATAGATAAGATTTTATTTTGATAAATCACACAGTGTTGTACAGTTATATTAACCGATGACTACGTTTCGAGCACAAACTATTGCCGCTCATATTCATATCAAGGCACTACTCATACAACTTTCTTGCTTCATTTATAAACATGAGTGGAACTGATGATTAGATATTTGAATGAAATCAGTATAAGACTTGTGTGAAACGGAATGGAAGATAAGCTACATTCGGGACGAATATTAGTGTTATCAATAAAATACAATAAGATGTTTTCATAGTAAGATAAATAAGTAACTTGTTAGAATGTTGTTGTGTACGTGAATTGAAATAGAATTTTGAGATTATTTATTATCCTCCTCTGATTTGACTGACTGACTGACTGACTGGCGGTAATAATATCTTCCATATCTCTGGTATTTGCATTGAGTCATTTCTGTTGTATGTGTTGTGTTGGGCATAAACTCAATGAACCAGGATTCTGTAGTCAATCCCTCTCTCTCCACCTACCTATATTATTTTTTAGAATTTTAACCCCCTCCCACCCTATTGTGTGGTTGTGTGTTAATGCGTGAAGTGCAGTTGCTGAGCATTTTCTAAAATTACTTATCTTCACTGGGTTAGTCATTCTAACCTTCACTAAATTCTTATGTTCCGACAATCTGACTACTCCCGATCTACTAGTTTGGCCTATGTAGTTGACCTCACAGTCACTGCAGAATATTTTGTAAATTATATTATTTTGTCTAATGGAATCAACCGACAGGCTCCTTTAGCCTACAGAGCTTGTCCTACCTGAGTGAGTTTGTAGGTTTAAACTCCACTATAATTCTTACTTTATTGAGAATCCTACGAAGGGCCTCAGATGTCCCCTCCTTATAAAATTTAACAGTACATACCTTATATTTTCTCTTAATTATGTTATCATAACTAGTAGATTGGAAGGGGATTCAATTTGATTGTCAATTGATTAAACCGAAGTGGTATACCTTCACTCTGTTTCAAACTAAAAGTGGTCTGAACATTTCACATCATTATAGTTGAACATATTCATGAAACGGTTATCATTTATTTAAGGTGTCATATTCACATTAAATATTTATAATATACGTCAGAGGAATCTTATTGCATCAGTAGATAGTATCAATGGTTCTGTGATACAATACCGGCCAACCACTCACGTGGTCCAAGTCCAGTTTCATACCTATGCACTTCTAAAATTCACTCATTTAACCGGTAGTGAGCTCAGTAAACGAGGGAGGTTGGGTGGGAAGCTAAATATCTCACCCGGTCAAAGTGCAATACTATTGCTACTGAAACTTCACAGTCCAAGCTTGAAGTCCTGTCCTACCTGGAACGCAAAGACATGGAAAAATACTTCCTAATGTGCATATATATATATGTTTATAACTTCATTAAATGTGCCGACGATCTAACCATTTCTGTCCCTGTAGTTTCTGCGTTGAATTGTTCTCATATGAATATATTCTTCTGCGAAGTTCACAAATGGTCTAAATGTCATATTGTTGATTTTAGTTTTAGATGTAAAAAGACTTGCGTCGATTGGTTCAGTCCCATGATTACTGTAATACTGACGACACTGTGATAGGTAGTAAACCGAATATCTCTTATCTAGTCATCAGTTTCTCTTTGAATTCCCGTTGGTCGTCTCATATCCTGTTGTTGACTTCTCAACCTCTTCTCTTACAATTTATTGATTCATGTATTCTACCCATTCATCTTTACAGTTCGACCCATTTATTCTTCCGTAGACTTCTCCAAAAAAGATTATATCATATTATGTGGAATACTGAAGGCTGTAAGTAGGATCAGTGTTATATGTACCTTTGACTCAGCTAACTGAAATCTTTATTGTCAATAGGCACTTCATTTCATTTCTTTCAAGCAGTTGACTAAAGAAATCTTGTCTGATGCGGAACAGCCTTCCCACTTAATCGCAACTTTTACTTTCACTAAAAGCAACTTTATAAGAATTCATGCCGGTGCAGCTATCATACCACCAGATTTAGCACGAGTTTTGTGTGAAGGGAGACAGTCAGATGTCAGAAATGAACTTATAGACCTTTTAAATCAGTAACTGAACTGCAAAGTATAAGCAATGCTTATTATTATCATTACATGTATTATCTATGATATTATCTATCTATTTATAATTCATTATTTTCCCGCCAACCTTCATTTTTCTGTGGTTTAGTTATTATTATTCTTCCTTTTTTCTAATTTTATGTATTTAAATATTTATTTAAAAGGAGCTAAATTGATGCAGTATGTACAAAAACGCAGGACAATTAGTAAAATTCTAATTGTGCCTAATACTCTGTTTGTCATGATGTAATTCCTGTGATTTGTTGACGATAAAACTTAAAGAAGTAGAGGACAGGTATTCCATATTAGATGCGTTTATTTTTAAATATCACACAGCGATGATGACGCAGTATTAACAACTGGATGACAGACAAGGTTTCGAGCATGAATTATTCCTGCTCATAATCATCATATCAGTTTTGTTACACGGTTTCACAATTTGTCTTGCATATATACATTCTCTCTACTCTGTCTCTTCATTCGACTAGATTTTAACGGTGAAAACATTGCAGCAATGGTCAACAGAAGACTGAGAACGTCACTAGCCAGAGCCTATCTTGCAGCTAAGTTGGTCCCCGTCCATCGAACGATATGCTCTTTGGTGCAGTCATGTCAACTCCAACTGTGTACACAAATTTACGTGTATCTGAGGGAGCAGTTACATTGGGAGAACAGAAAGAAGGGCACACCTCCGATTTTTTGAACATGTGCCTACGTGCCAAGGGAACAAACTCTTATAATAGCGTTATTACCAGACATCTCCTCGATACGGGTCATGAGATAGAAATCGAGAAATCCTTTAAAATTATCAATAGACAAAGGAGATCGATTCTCCTCAAGTTAGCCGAAGCTATTTCTATCAAACGCTTGAAACCAGATTTATGTGTTCAGAAAGAAGCAGTTATTAGTCTTTCCTTGCCCTGCCTGGTAACTAACTGGATGTATTTTTTTCTATCATCTGATTACGTAATCTTTGTCTCTAACCTCACCCTCCTTTTATAATCTGTAATTTTGCTTGTCTCCTGTTTCTATGATTTGAGTTGAGCTCAGTACATCGTTACCTAATTTATTAGTCACTCTGCATCTAACGCATATCTCGTCTTGATTACGTAACTCCTTTACCATTGTATGCATACATTTATTTTTGTGTATACTTGAACTGCTTGTGTAAAGACTATATAAGCGCAATTTTATGAGCACTGTTCACTAATTATGGAACTTTCTGTCAACTGACAACATGTAAAATTTGCTAGTATGTTAAAACGTTTCTCTACTTAGACCTCATAATTTATTTAGGCTGTACTCAGCAGCTGATGAGAAGCCAACGAAATAAAGAAGATGGTACCATATTATTCTGCACAAACCACTGTTGTTCCTGCCTTATTCATATTCCTTCTTTCTGTCTCGCCAGCTTCCCTTTGTTGCTCTTTGCCACCCTCCATATCTCCAGCATAGGCGATGTTGCGTTATTCCGATTACACGTGTGCGGTGTTTTTAATCAATAAACAAAGTAGCAGCGATTAACCTCTCTCCCTATCTCCACCTAACTATAGCATCTTTTATTACTCTCACCCTGTTCCACCTAACCTACTTTGTGATAACATGCAAGTGAATGCAATGCAGTACAATGGCTGAGCTTTTTCCTAAATTATTCAAGTTAGCAGGGCTAGGTATTCTAAGTCTAGTTAATAATCCAGTAATCTAGTTGACCCCGATCTACTAGTCTAACTGAGCTACCTATGTAATCGAACTCACAGTTATTATATTGTATTTGGTAAATTATATTATTTGTCTTAATTGGATCTATCAAGTCCTTAAGCTGACAAAGTTTATCTTCTTTCCTGTTTCACGAATTGTTTTATTATTATCATTATTTATTGTTCCCTTGGGTTCCTAGTGGAATATAGGGCTTCAACTGCACGTCTACACTTGCCACTTCTGTCTTCTGCTGCTGTACTTTTCACCTGAATCCATCCATGTTAGTCCATACTCTTTCAACTCCCCACTCTTCACACGATCTCCTCCATGTCACCCTTGCACTGACGACCCACTCGCCGTTTCCCTTTCGGCCTGGTTCCACTCGACCAATGGCCTGACGCGCGCGCGATGTCACCCAGCGGCCTCCTCAGCCACGAGTGTCCATTCCATCCATCTCCACTTTCTCCTGCATATGTGTTGGTTGGCGATTGGTTCTTGTTTTGTTCCCATAGTTTCTTGTTAGTGGTGATTCTTTTCGGCCCGGCCATCTGATCTTCAGTATAGATCCAGCGAAGACAGTTGTTGATAAAGGACTGCATGCGACAGACTGTTGAAAATATTCTTTGTGACCATCCCGCCAAGTTTATGATCCGCATAGAAGAAATGACTGACTTGACGTTTGTATTGAAAATCCTACCGAATTTTGTTGTTGATGCTGGCTGAGTGAGGAAGATTTCCAGATTGGTTTTAGTCAGGTAGATGAATGTGTTTCTCGCCTTCCCGATTCTGGAATTGACATCCTCGTCCGTTCCGACTGCCTGCAGTTGAGACGATTTTCAATGCTGGATAAGTGAATGAAGTAACCTCTTTCAAATCCCTCCCGTTGATGGTGAATCGCACTGGATTTTGCTCCTGTTGCTGTTGTTGTTGTTAGTGGGTTGATTGTTTTCATAACCTCCGTCTTGTCTATGTTCACCTGGAGTCCTGTCTTCACCGGCTGCTTCTCTGACCCCTTTGTCGGTTTTCACTTGTAAGTTTTCGATTTTGTGTGACATCAAACATAAATCATCCACGCGTGAAATCCAGGTCTTCTAAGTTCTTCACGTCGGTCGGTCCAGGATATTCCTGTCTTCTCGTTTCCCAATCACCGTCTGACGCATAATCCAGTCAGTTTACCACAATTAGGAATATCATCGTGGGTGATAATAAGCACCCTTTTCTGACTCCTGTGTTTACTCCGAACGCCTCACTGAGTTTTCCGTTGTGGATCAGTTGACATGTGCCGTTGTCGTACAGCTGTTGAATAAGGTTGATGAATATTTCGGCACTGTACGCCGGAGTACTCGAGTAGTTTCTAAATTACTTCATGGTCAATGCTGTCGAAGGCCTTCTCGAAGTCTATAAGCTTGAGGTGGAGATTTGATTGCCATTCCATGCTTAGTTCTGGGATGATGATGCGTAGAGTTGCAATTTGGTCAGTACATGATTTGCCTTTCCTGAATCCAGCTTGTTCTGGTCGGAGTTCTGTGTCCAGTGCGTCCTTTATTCTCTCCAGGATGATGGGACTCAGGATTTTACTTGGCGTCGACAGGAGCATGATTTTTTACTCAGGCATATAAAAGAAGCGGGTACCTTGATATGATTGTGAGTGGTAATAGATTGTCCTTGAAACCTTGTTATTCAGTTGTAAATAGTGAACATTACTCTGTGTTATTGAAAAATAAACCTATCTCGTATGGAATTACATTCTAAAACCTTAGTGACCAAGTGCTACTTTTACAGTAGAGAACAGCTACTTATGAATATTTTTTTATTTTTAATAATTTCACAAGGTAATTTTGAGCACTAAAGGGATCAAATTAGACAAAATAATATATAATTTACAAAATACCCTGCGATGACTGTGTGTTAAGTTAACCGCATAGGTCAAACTAGCAGATCAAGAGTAGTGAGATCGCCTGTCAGAACATAAAAAGTCTAGCTAAGGTCAGAACGATTGACCCCAACCACGAAGATAAGTAATTTAGAAAAAAAACTCAGCAATTGCACTGCATGCCTTAACACACAATCACACAATACGGTGGAAGAGGGTTAAGATTCTAAGAAATAATCTATGCAGGTGGAGATAGAGAGAGGTTGACTACTGAATCCCGCCTGGTTCATCGAATCTACATCCAGCACAACACATGCAATCGAAGTGACTCAGCGCAAATACCAGAGATATGGAAGATATTATTACCGCCGGTCAAATCAGAGCAGGATAATAAATAATGTTAAAGTGTATTCAGTTCACGTCCATCATAACATTCTAACAATTGACTTATTTATTTTACTATAAAACATCTTGTTTTCCGTCTTATTTTATTTGATTGATAACACTAAAATTCGTTTCAAATGCAGCTTATCTTCCATTCTGTTTCACACAAGTCTTATACTGATTTCATTCAAATGTCCAATCATCAGTTTTTACTCATACACATAAACGAAGCAAAAAAAAAGTTATATGAGTAATGCCTTGTTATAATCATGAGCAGTAATAAAAGTGTACTCGAAACGTGGTCATCAGTAAATATTCCTGTATAACAGACACTGTGTGATTTTATCAAAATAAAATTTTATCCATAATGATAATAATAATTTTTCCTTCGCGTCCCCAGTGGAACATAGGGCTGCAAGCTAGTGGCTTGAAGTTTCTGTAGCAGTTTTTAATTTTTACAGCATGGGGTTGCTAGCCTCATGCCCAACCTTTCCTCTTTACCAGCATTATTTCTGGCTCAGTGAGGTAAAGGAGCGCGCCGGCCGGGGATCGAACCCCGGACCATATGCATGGTCGGCGAGCGTACTAACCGCTATGCCACCGCTATACCATAATGGAATTATATAATCTTCCACAGTGCTCAATTTTTGTCCTTACAACAGTAATACTGAAGAGATCTATAAAATACACTGTCCAATACTCAAAACTTACACTATGTTGATTAACAACAAGCTAAATAATAGAATGAATTAAACATCGAAAAGAAAGACTGTGTAATTATTCCTTGTAACAGCGTTTGTACATGGGGGTAATGCAACTGAAAACTCAATGAAGTGTTTGAAGTGAGAACAAAAGTAGCACTGTCACCGAGGTTATTCAGGATTATTGTGGACTGGATCATATTCTCGACAGTAGGCCATGAGAAGATAGGAGGAATACGTTGGGCCAACTAAAAAAGACTCTAAAAGATTTAAACTTTTGTGTTTAGTTTCACGCAAAACTTGAAGATCTACAGGCAAAATTTAACAGGCTGGCAGAGACAGGAGTTCAAGCGAAAGTTAGAGAAGATGAAGGTTATGATGAAGACACTTAAGCAGCAACAACAAGTGCTAATCACCACTGACGAGGGAAATTTGAAATCAGCATTATTTAAACTACAGGTAGCATAGGTGAGGATACCAAAGCCAGGATAATAATAATAATAATTTACTTTATTCCAAAACAGTACTTGTGATACAGAATGGAATTCTCAGCATTTTACCACAGTATTGCATCCAGTTAGTACATTATCAATAAATAAATAAAATTCTACATAGATTAAGGGTAATCTCAGTTAGTTTTGACAACAACATATTAACATATCGGTCGATAGCAAATCCAAACGTGATCAGAATGTTTGAAGGTGTTAGAAAATTACATACTGGCATATTTACTGGCGTAAGCAGAAGAAAGAGACAAAGGAGCACATAACAGAAAAAAGAGAGAGAAAGGGAAAAGAAAGAAAGAAAACGTTGTACCTATATATGATACGAATTGGAAAGACGAAATCCACTTGTTCTACTGACTACTTAATAAGTTATAGGTTTCACGCCTAATGCTTTCTTTATCACACAGAACACGAGCTAATTAGGGTATGGTTGAGTTTTTGTACTTACTAGTGCGAGCATATAGTTTTCTATATAGGCTTCTGGTCCTACCTAATGAGATACAAGGGGAGAGTTGTGAATGAAGAGGATGTTGTGAGTCAGGTAAAATTGATTTTGCCCATTTTTCACATGAGTCCATCTGCCTGTCCACCAGAATATCAACAAGCTCGTTAAGTGGCACGTTGCTTACCCTGCTGACAACCTTTAACATCCTGCATAATAAGGTATAGTCTTTCTTCAATAGCCGAAGAAAAACTAAGGGGAAACAATAGAGAATAACAGGAAGGATGTGAGAGTTAACGAATCGTAGGAGTAAGCGTTGGGTTGGGTTATTCCAGAATGTCTTAACTTCTTGATGCAGAAGGTAAGACGGAATATTTTCTTAGAAACCATCAAGATATGAGACAACCAGGAAAGATCAGCAGATAGAATGACGCCATGATATTTGATTTCCGACTTGGTTTCTATTTCAGTGCCATGTATGTTGCAGACCTCATGAGTGCTAACAAGTTTGTTTAGGTCAGTTAAATTTATGCCTAAAGGTGAAATTGACTGTTTGGCATTTAGAGGGATTTAATTTTAGACCGTTTTCCTTGGACCGCTGGCTGATTTCTGATAAAAAGCCATTTAGTTTGGAGCAGTCGCTTTGATATTTGACAGGCAAGGATACAGTCAGGTTGTCAGCATATTTAACAAAATTAATGTCATTTGAAGATGGTAAGTCATGTAGAAAGAAGAATGCGGTAGGTCCTCATTGATCTGAAATCACCTGCAATCAGCATCAGGAAAATAAGCGTTTCAGCATGGTTGAGAAAATTGTTGTTTTACGCTTCGTGAAAAGCGTTTCCAACATTCTCCATGCTAAAAATCAGTTGGCCCGCTGGGAAAGGTAACTGACAAGGAACTCTGGCCACGGGAAAAGCACCCAGAATCTGTCGCCCAATAAATATGCACTAGAAAAAGGAGTTGGATTGTACATACGTTGAGGATTTCAGTGACATCATGTGCCAAGACCAGAATAGTGAACGACAGGTCAGGAGTGTTTCTGTAGGTGACATAGAGTATATATGTGTGAGAATGAAACGAAAGCTATTCAGCAATCGTGCAAATAGCTGACAAAGAACTTCGCAGGACAGAGGGAAATACCAGTGTCCTCCTGAAGCTGTATACCCCATCCGGAACTTGAGAGGATAATTATCAATAGAAAAAATGAATATTTACAACATACATTACAACAGCTCATAGCACAAACTAGAAGGGATTTTAGCGCGATATCTCTAAATATCAATCTTAGGATATTTTCATTAATTCTGCACTGCCGACATCAGTTTGTTCTGACGAAAGAATATTTCGCCTGACTTCTTACATTAAGCAGTTTAGACACATTCAGGCATAACTCGACCAATCCTCCTCTTACAGTTTGTCAATTCGTGCATTTTATCTATTCTTCTTTACTCTTCACCCTTGCTTATTCTTTCCCGTGGGTTGCTTAAAAAAGACTATATCATACTTCATAGAACTCTGAAGACTGTCAGTCAGTAGAGTAAGTGGTATCCCATTAGGCCATATCTTTGATATGGTCATCGATAGGCACCTGATTTCGTGCGAAACGTTTGCTAAAGGGATTTGTCAGACTGTCAGTATACACTACACCACAGCACCCGCAGCTCCAACCTTGTGTCACCTCAGGTAAAACAAAAAGTCTCTTCAGAAGAACTTATGCACGTACGTCAAAGTGTAAAAATTCCACTATACCATATTTGGTGGCACGTACTTTATGTGATGAAAATAGTGTTAGGCATGAACTAACTAACCTTCTTTGCACTACTACATAAACCATTTCCTCCACCCTTACAGTAGCAAACTTTATTGATATTGTTCCTCTTTTATTTATAATCCTCTCAATTGTTTGTTGTCTTATTATCTTTCCATAAATGTGAACATCATTTAAGCTGTGTTAGATTTTGATGTGGTTTTGTTCTCTGAGCTGGATGGTTAGTTTGCGAAGCTTTCATCACCCTACTGGGTGACATCTTCAGCGCATACTCCATCCAGCTCAGAGAACAAAACCACATCAAAATACTTGCAAATTTTACATGTTGTCAGTTGACAGAAAATTCTACAATTAGTAGACAGTGCTCAGAAAATTGCGCTTATATAGTCTTTACACAAGCAGTTCAAGTTCAAATAAAAAAATAAATAAATGTATGCATATAATGGTAAAGGAGTTACGTAATAAATACGAAATATGCGTTAGACATAGAGTGACTAATAAGTTAGGTAACGATGTACTGAGTTGAACTCAAATCATAGAAACAGGAGACAAGCAAATTACAGATTATAAAAGGAGGGTGAGGTTAAAGACAAAGATTACGCTGTCTACTAATTGTAGAATTTTCTGTCAACTGACAACATGTAAAATTTGCAAGTATTTTGATGTGGTTTTGTTCTCTGAGCTGGATGGAGTATGCGCTGAAGATGTCACCCAGTAGGGTGATGAAAGCTTCGCAAACTAACCATCCAGCTCAGAGAACAAAACCACATCAAAATCATCCACCTGAGCTACAAATCTCTATTATATCTAAGCTGTGTTAGAACTGTTAATTTTGTATTTCCCCTCACCATGCTGCTATATCAACCGAACATTAGATTCAATACTCTATAGTAACATGCTAAAATTTTCAAACTGAATCGACAATACTGTTTGAAACAAACTCACTGTTATTATTATTATATTTAATATTCTCATTTCGTAGTTCGAATATTTTCAACTTTATATCGTGAATGTGGACAAATTTCTCTGGTTAATTTTGTTTTAATTTTTAATTTTATTTATACTTTGCGTAAATCATATGCCATATTGTGACAAATGCTGAGAATTCCATTCTGTATCATAAGTAGTGCTGTTTTTGGAATAAAGTAGATTACTGTTATTATCATTCATTTATTATTTATTATTATTATATCCTTTAATTCCTAGAGGAACATAGGGCTTCAGCTGCACGTCTCCATTGCGTTCGGTTTTCTGCCAACTTTTTCACCCCGCTCCAACATGCTTTCATCTCCTCTTCACATGACCTCTTCCAAGTCACCCTTGAACGACCAACTCACCACTTCCCTTTTGGCTTCCACTCGAGCGATGGCTTGTCTAGTGGTGTCACTTGATGGTTGGTTTTCTCAGAGTATAGTCAATCCATCTCCATTTCTTCTTGCCTATTTGTTGCAAAACCGGTTCCCATTTGGTTCGCTCCCAGAGATCCCTATTGCTGATCGCTTCTGGCACGCCATCTGATCTTGAGTATTGAGCGAAGACACAGCTGTTGATGAAGGCGTGTAGTTTGTTTGAGATGCTCTTCACGACGCGCCAAGCCTCTGATTCATACATTAAGTAGCACTGACTTCACATTGGAGGTGAAAATCCGGATCTTATTTTTGATGCTGAGTAGTGCTGCTGACCTCCACACAGACTTAAGGGTAATGAAAGCTTGTCTTGCTTTTCCGATTCTGGCTATGATATCCTCGTCAGTTTCGCCTGCAGTTGAAACGAGTATCATTCATTTATATGATATTTTCTTTTTGACATTACATTGGATATGTGCGCAAAATATCGCTTACAGATACTTTTGAACTCTAATCTTAGATGATTGGAGACAATAGGTCACAGGAAGCCTTGTTTGATCTAGGTTTCGTGCTAGTTGGCACTCATCAGTCAGTCAGCAAGGAGTATCTGGAGCCTTTATGTAACTCAGTTCCTTTCTGGCCACACTGTAAACTTGACTGATGATAGAATTTAGTCTGCGCCAAACAAAGGGGACTAGACACACCACACCAATCATTGAATAGTGTCCAATTAAAAGTATCGAGTGCAGACAGTCTTACAGGAGGTCGATCGCGAGCTGGCCCGAATAGCTAGCCAGTAGTAACGTCTCTTACTGAAGCACTCACTGGTTGACGCGGGTTCGAATCCCAGAAGGGACATGAGTTTCTTCAAGGAGATTGCAGATACGCCTTTCTGGTGGACTGGTGAGTGCCAACTAGCACGAAACCTAAGTTCCGGCAGGGGATTTCGCTGATTCACTCCAACCATCTAATATCAACAATTCAAAATGCAGTGTGCCGTGATGGCGTGTCACCTAGTGTCATGGTGGCCATACTGCACCAAACAAAGGGGACTAGACAAACTTTACTAGCCACTGAATAGTGTTCAATCACAGAACTCTAATCTACCGACATTATTCGTTCTACGTAGTTTAAAACTTATGTCATTAATAATAACCATTCTTCAAATGTTATGTTAAATGTAAAATGACAGAAGTAACCTCCTTTGCCTACCTACCTGGTAAGCATCGTTTCACAACTACAGGCAGACGGAACTGATGAGGATATCAAAGCACCGAGGGTCAGGAAAACATGACAAGCTTTCACCACTCTCAAGTCTGTGTGGAGATCAACTGTACTCAGCATGAAAATGAAAATAAGATCCAGATTTTCAACTCCAATGTGAAATCAGTGCTACTTACTATGCGGATCAGAGACTTGACGCGTCACGAAGAGAAACCTCAAACAAACTAAAGACCTTCATCAACAGCTGTTTTCGCTCAGTACTACTCAAGGTCAGATGACCTGCCAGAAAAGATCAGCAACAGAGATCTCTAACGATGAACGAATCAACCCAGCAGAAATCAACTGTGCAACAAATATGCAGGAAGAAATGGAGGTGGATTGGATTGGCCATACTCTGAGAAAACAAATCATCAAGTGAGCGATATCAAAACACCAGGCCATTGCTTGAGTGGAACCCGAACGGGAATCGGTGAGTTGGTCGTCTGTACGAGGGTGAAATGGAGGAGGAGGTCATGTGAACAGGAGATGATAAAAACGTGTGAGCAGACGTGGAGCCAGGTGTAAACGTTGGCAGAGAACTGAACGCAATGGAGATGTGCGGTTGAAGCCCTATGTTCGTTCGTCTAGGAACTTCAGCAATAATAATAATACGATAATGATTAAAAAAAATGTTATGGATGTATATAACTGTAGAAGATGTTATGAAGAAGAAATATTATCGGAAAGAATATTCCTTTATTCAGTAATGTTAGTCTTTTGAAACTAATATGAAGCATCTTTAATCAACTTTTAGCCTTATTTGATGTAAAAGAAATAATAAGAACAGTTATAATTAGTGGAACTTACAATTGTGGTTTATAACTTCGTGTGTCGACTGAAACCAAACAAAATTTATTCAAAATACTCAATAAAAATTTGTGGTAGAATTATGTTACAAATCAAATTAGTTTTTAAAAACAAAAATAGAATGAAAAGAAGAGATATGACCTGTCTATTCCACAATATTTTGAAATTCGTCAGTCGTGTTCCACCCAGTAAGGAGACTTGACGAATAGATTCATGATAAGATAGACAGTGGATTCCACTCGGTCAGAAGTATGGACAAATACTCGCCAGAGATAACACTGGCTGGTGTCAATTGCGATAAAATCACCAACTGGTAAAATGTGGAATTCATAGGCTGGCGATTAAGCCAGGTCTCAGTAACTTGTAACTGGAAGATCCTGAGTATGAACTCCTATGGTGGGGTACGTACTTCCAATGAGTCGCAAACTAATCCGAAGCAGCTGTCTAGTACGCCCTGGTTTTTAGTGGGGTTTTTTAAGTGATATTGTGGTGAGAGCAGGCCGTGAGAAAATATGAACAAGGCTGATTCAACAACCAATCACAGCAAAGTTAACGCGGCAAAATATGATTCGCAGATAGAGAACTCTATTTGTCGAGGAATCCCGAAACAACCAATCAGAAGCTTGCGTTTGTCTGCCTAACTTCTGATAAACAACCAATCAGATAACTGCGCTTGTCTACTTGCATAAGCTATAATAATGTATGTGAAATATGTATAAATACGTGTTGATTTTCATAATAAAACGATCTGTTGCCTGGCCCTTGTCTTCTGTTGTTACAATATCAATCCACGATCAAACTTGAAACCAGACGGATATTCAAAGAATACATCAGAGTTAATGTTCTGTCAGCTAATTACGAAGCTTTGAAGTCACTGGTCGTTAAATTTCAACAAAGTGAAATTCATAAAATCCTATAATAGCAGAGCAGGTGACGAAATCATTAATATTTGAACAAAGCAAAAATACAGTTTTAGCAGAGCAGAATAAAGTGATATCATCACTTATTTCATCCGTTGGCTTCTCATCATCTGCTTACAGGTCAAAGTCATCATTAAGTATGTCTAGAGAAACAATTTTAACATACTTGCACACAGTTCATTTTGAAACAAAAATCATTCAATACCGATATAAACATACAACAATAATATATATTTTACGAGATGATCACGGATTGATATCAATTAGAGAACCATTGAAAACCAGGGAGTACTGGACAGCTGCTGTTTCATCCTAGTTTGGGAATCATCGGCAGTACGCACCCACTGGGTTTCGAACCCAGGACCTTCCGGTTACAAGGCAAACTCGTATACCATTCAGCCACTGGGACCCGATTCAATGGCTCGTGAATTCTAACTTCTACCAATTCAGGTTGGAGTTTCCTGAGTTCTAGTGAGAAGTCGTGACCAGTGAGGTCCAATTAGATGTCACGTGTGTGGATGGATGTCCCACCAACGACAATGGTTGGGGTCGCGCTAAATCACGAATTGGTAGAAGTTAGAATTCACGAGCCATTGAATCGGGTCCCAGTGGCTGAATGGTATACGAGCTTGCCTTGTAACCGGTAGGTCCCGGGTTCGAATCCCAGTAGGTGCGTACTGCCGATGATTCCCAAACTAGGATGAAACAGCAGCTGTCCAGTACTCCCTGGTTTTCAATGGTTCTCTAACTGATATCAATCCGTGATCAACTCGTAAAACATAACTAATCCTTATAAACCAAACTATAGAAAAATAATATATATATATAATATTAAACACTCTTCCGAACAATAATGAGCATACATAATGTGAGCTTTTGGCGTTACGTAATCAAGTGAAAGAGAGGGTGGAAATATCCAGTTACCAGGGCAAGAAATTAGAAGAATTTATGTTTTTCGAAAAGATGTTGAAGAGCAATGGGTACCCTCAAAGATTCATTAACAAGTACGGAAGATCTGAATTCTCAAATGTTAAGCAAATCACAGTGGACAAAAAGCTCATCTAAATTCAACTTGATTATAAAGGTGGAACTATTACAGCATTTGTCAACAAAAGATTGAGGACGTTACTTGGCAGAGCCCATCCTGCAGGTAAGCTCGTTCCCGACTATCGAACAACTTGCTGTTTCGTACAATCAAAAGTCGACAGATATCCTTCTCATGTTAACAACTCCAACTGAATATACAAATTTACACGTATATGAAGGAGCAGTTACATTGGGAGAACAGAAAGAAGAAGGGCATATCTACGATTTTCTGAACATGCACCAAAAAGCTAATGTCTGAAAGGAATAAATGCTTTAAACAGTGCCATCGCCAGGCATCTCCTTGATAGGGGTCATGAAATGGACGTTGAAAAGTTGTTCAAAATTATCACTAGGCTGAAGAGCTCAATTCTCCTCAAGTTTGCTGAAGCCATTTCTATCAAGCGCCTGAAACCTGATTTACGCGTTCAGAAAGAAACAGTTATCAGTTTTTCTTTGCCCTGCCTGGTAACTGGATATTTTTCATCTCTCTTTCATCTAAATGCGTAGCGCTGAAAAGTTATGACAATTATGGTTCGGAATATATATATATATAATTACTGTATGCATATATTGATTGGCTGATTTTTTGTTTAAATGAACTGTGTGCAAGTATGTTAAAATTGTTTTTGTATATATATTTAATAATGACTTTGGTCTGCAAGCAGCTGATGAGAATCCAACGAAATAAATGATGGTAACACTTTATTCTACAAAAACTCTAGTTTTTGCTTTGTTCAAATTTATTAAGGGAAATAAATGTATGAAGTCATCAGTAACTGGATCTTTGCTTATTGTATCAGCAGACAGTACATGCGAAGTAAATTATTTAACATCTTTTCTGAACACCTAGAAAATTCTACTATCCTTCTGATTCGTCGGAAAGGAATGGAATGTAAGATTCCAAGTTACGAAGTTATATTTGACATTATTATGAACAACAAACCTTGTTCAAAAACTCAACGTATTATCCCAGCATGGCTAGCTAAAGGAGAACCCAAGTGTGTGTGTGTGTGTGTGTGTGTGTGTGTGTGTATAATTAATTAACAGTACATCTTGCGAACTCAGAACATCCAGCTCCACTTGAAAAGTCATTCAACGTCGTATACAAAATCCGACCAAACCTCTCAAAGCGAGTAAAATCAATGTATCTGGACATAATTGAAGCACTAATGATCCAGACTTCAAGCCTGATCGATGTATTCAAAAGAAATATGTTTAACTGTTCTCTCCAACATGACAATCACACATAGTCAATATTGATTATCCTATTACCTATTTTATCCAGTCTTCCTATTGATTTTTGTTATTTTTACGGTTTTTAAACCTCATTTGGACTTACTGTCTATTTTTTTATTACTGCGTTTTTAACCTCTGACTGCACAAAACGTCCATTTCCTCAGTAATTATGATCCTATTATGTTTCTCTCTGATCTCTGTGTTTATTACACTTTGTAATTAAATGAATTTGACCCTTGATCGGAAACTGAGTTCTGGAACTTTCTCACTCATTTCACCACAGATACTCGAGTGTGTAGCCCAGTTGATGACTTCGTTCAAAAAAAAATTTTCCTCGCTGCAACCATCTTTCTAATATTTCCTATGATGTAATTTGTATATTCCTTTGCTCTGACAATGGGATATATGGCTTCGAGCAGTTTGACGTTTCAGCAGTTGTGGTGTTGTTTTCTATGTAGTAGGGTTGCTAGTGCCACTGTTGCCGTTAGATTTAGCACGTTTCCTCGATATTCTTTAATAAAGATACTACTTAAATTTACTGAAATGCATTATCGATAGTTTTCAGTCAACATATTCAGAACTAAACATGTGTGAATTAACTGTTATCTGACATTCAAGTATTGGCTTTTGTAGGGATTTGATTAATTGGTTACAAGATTTTATCATGAGCTGACATTGGTTAGAGGACTATTGGAAAACCAACTGGGGGTAATGAACATCTGTTTCGCCCTATTTTGATACTCTTTATCAGCACAAACCCACCCCTAGGGTTCGAATCCAGGACCTCCTGGTTACAAGGCGAGCTAGCTCGTAGACCATTAATTCACTTGAACCCGATTCAATGGCCAACGCATGAATTCTAACTTCTGCTAATTCACGACATAGCGTGACCGCTAGCCAACGTCTTCAGCGAGTGTTTGTCCTCATACCCAACCTGTTACACCCTACTGATCACGACTTACCACTAGAACCTAGGTAACTATCTACCTGAATAGGGCCAGTCTCTAGTGAGAAGAGCTGTGGGTGCGTACTGATGAAGAGTCCCAAACTAGGACGAAATCGCTGTCCAGTACCCCTTGGGTGGTTTTCCAATAGTTCTCTAACCAATGTCAGCTCATGATGAAATCCTGTAACCTATTATCTGACAGTGTGCATATGTTCACTGAATTAGCGAAGAAATCGAGAATGGTGTAGAACTAGGTGGAATCCTCAGAAGCACTAAAAAAAAACACACCTACAGACTCCAGTAAACACGCTCACACCACTATTTTAGAAGATGTAGAAGTAAAGGAATCCTCCCGAAGATTGGAAGAAACCGTATCTTGTCAAACTGCCAAAGATGGTTGACTTTTTTCCATAAAAAAGCTAGTGCGGTAACCATCTTGGAAAGACTGGAAGATTTCTTACACGGAAGGCTTTATCCGAAACGAGCCGGATTCAGGGAAACAATAATAATAATAATAATAATAATATCCGGAATTTGTATTGAATGAAACATATATCAACAATGAAGTAAAACCCACTTTTATTCAAACCGACTTACAGTCTGTTAACTGTGGCAAAGCAAAAATATACTGTAGTGTACACAGTATCACTCGAGGTATTTGTAACATTTTTAAAGTTGTTTGTATGAGAAATGTGCAAACAGTGATTACATATATATATATATATATATATATATATATATATATATATATATAGTTATTGAAATTTATAGATCGACGACTTGATACTACTTTTATTGGAGATGTTGTTTTCTTCATTCGTATTGGTCCTTGAGCAACCAGCGATGTAAAGAGTAAGTCATTGATGTGAAGTACTTGAAATGGATCGCTTTTATCTTTGAATTTGTATGTAAATAAATGAATGTAAATAGATGTCTATGATTAGTAATAATACTACTGTTTATTGCGTAACATGAGAGGTTGAACAAAAATAGTCCAGTGATGAAGAGACTCTTTTCGATGAATCCACTCATTCAGATGCATAATCGCAAACATATATATATATATATGATTACTTTTGTATGCGGGGGTACATTTGGTCTCTCAAGTACAGCACATCAATAAATATAGATTACTACGACAGAGAAAGAAAGATCAGATTTGCAGTATAAAATGCGATATCATCGTCATTCTATTTCACAGAGCATGATCTCCTAGCTCTAAAGTATAGATTCTTGACTTGTCTAAAGGGAACAAATGCTTTAAATAATGCCATCGCCAGTCATCTCCTTGACACAGGTCATGCATGAGGTAGACACCGCAAGATCGTTCAAAATTGCCAGAAGAGTTCCATTCTCTTCAAGTTAGCGTAATGATCTACAAACTCGCCTTGTAACCAGAAGGTCCTGGTTTAGAACCCAGTGGTTATGCATTGATGAAGAGTCCCCAACCAGGACTAAACAGTTGGCTGCCAAATACTCCCAGATATTGCATTGGTTCTCAAACTGATCCAAGAAGAACACAGGGATTCAATAGAACATTTCCACTTTGTCCTATTCTCTTTAGGTCTATTTACCTGGCACGGTGATTGCCTATAAACTTTCATCACCTCCTTACACGATCTCTTTCATGTTGTTTCCCTCTCCGGTTCGACTCGAGGGTCTGGCGTGTGATGTCTCCCGTCGGTGTCTTCATCGTTTGTTGGATCCATCTCCATTTTCTTTGGAATACTTATTGAGCATTGCATTCTTGTTTGGTTCGTTCGTTCTCAGAGTTTCCATTTGTTGGTGAAGTTCAACAATAGCGTCCCAGGAGAGCGAACGCCCCAATGACCTTGAAGGCATGCTAGTCGTTGGCTAGCGGCACCTGTCATTATCATAACCAAAGTATCAACGCTATTCACCAACTAGGATGCTAACTTCACCCAGATCACATATTTTAAGTACTATTTGGACAATATGTTAATAGCTCGTGAGGGTGAAGGCCAGTATTGGGTTAAGGTTACGATCAAGGTCAAAATTAGGATTAGGGTTAGGTTTTCAGTTAGGATAAGGGTTCAATCTAGGGCTAAGATCAGGATTAAGGTTAAGTTTACGACTCGAGATAGATGTATAGTTGATGTCATCTATTTTAATTCGTTTTATTATCCACATTTTCCAGGTTAGAGGTCGTCGACCCTCTTACTGCAAACCATAGTAATTCAACCGAGTGCTTGTGGGGATGACTGCACGACAGCATAAGAGAGATGAACCATCTACAAAAAGAGCTCATCTTTGGTCACCTCGGTGAATAAACATGTAGAGAAACTAGTCTAACTAAGCAACAGATACTCCTCATTATAACCGGGAAGTACTTTTAAGTATGTCAGAGAAAGATAAACTCTACAATGTGTTTTCATGCATTTTCTTGAAAATATATATCATATTTCTTGCAAAAATTCCTCATTTTTATGATTGGTCAGCCGAAGGTCACTCGTGCGTTCACATCCTTGGGACACTATTGTAGAACTTTTTCCTTTCGCTAATTCTTTCTGACCATTTGATCTCCATTTGATCTCTGGCTCCAATATGGAGCCAGCGAAGATAGATATTAGATAATAGTCTTCTGTGGCCTGTTGGAAAAGCTTCTGACGACGCACTGGCGAAGTTTCTGACCCATATAGAAGAAATGATCTACTCAACATTCGTGTTGAGAATCCGAAATTTATTGCTCATTTTGAGTGAAGAGTATTTGCAAATTGATTTCCGATCAATAATGTTCTATCTTGCCATTTCGATTCTGGTTTTCTCATTCTGATTCGTACTGTCGCCTGTAATTCAGAAAATGCTTCCTAGATAGGTGAAGAGAGTGACCTCTTTCAAATTTCTTCCAGTGACAGTGATTGGTGTCTGTTATTGTCAGTTGGCTGGTTTCCCACATCACCTGCGTCTTCTCTGTGTTCGCTTGAAGACGCTTCTTTGCTGCCGGCTTCTTCTGTCAACTTGTTGATTTTCGCCTGTAAGTCTTCGAATTTTTGTGACACATAATCTAGTGTCTTCCTATTGCTCCAACGTATTCAAACCTTCTCACTCCCCACAATTAAGAATATCATCGGTGATAATTCGCTGTCTCGTCTTATTTCATTCTGACCTTAATTCAAAGGCTTCGCTGAGTTATCTATCCATTTTGGATCATTTGACACGTGGTATTGTCATATAGCTAATCTATACTTCATACATTTGCTTCTCTTGATAAATTTCGATGGAGAAAGCAAGACCAGATTTTGCAGTATAAAATGCGATATCATCGTCATTCTATTTCACAGGTTCTCCTCATCAACTGACTGCAAACCACTACCTGAAATTACAATGATTATAAATAATAATGACATTTCATACTTCAATGTTTCAAAGGTAATAGTGAAGACATTATAATTCCCACCGTGTAGCATTAAGAATGTAATACACAGCGAAGAGACTCTTTTCTACAACGAATTTATTATCAAGCTGTACAATCGTATATGCACATATGGTTTTTTAAGAAACTATATCCGGTGAGGGAATTGAATCACACGTGTGAATACATAAAATAATAATAATAATAGTCTGAAATGAAATGAAAATATTTGTGATTACAATCACAGTTAAATGTCAAGTAGCATAACAATTAATGTCATATATAGAATAATACATAAGGTGTATAGATGTCAGCAAAGGGTGCATAACTATAGGGTTAATAGGCTAATACAAAATGTTACATAACATGTTGTGAAATTCGCTAAGATATAATTCAATATTGTAAAAGATAATAATTCTGGGTTTAGAATGACAAGTGGGTCAAGTGTAAAAGATTCAGAGTGAGAATAGTAACAATAATAATAATCACAGTCACTAGGGAAATGTGCATAGAATAACTAAATAAACAAAATAAATAAATATCTATCCCTCTACGGCCAAGGCAGAAGTAGGGATTGTACATACTTCTTTTGTACTCGAAGGTGTGTCTGGCTTAAAATTGTAAGTGTTGGGGCTAGACTTAAAATAGACCTCGATATCCCCACACTTGCTAAAAACTTCACCGTCCTATAACTTTACCAGTGCTCTACCTAACGTGTAAGTACTGATTAACGCAATCAAAGTTTAAAGGCTAAAAATGGAAAGAATTCGTAGTATGAGTTGTATTTAATGTAACTGAATAACAGATTTAATAAATAAATTGACTGTACAACTTATCTGCTGACTCGACCGGAGGTAGGCGCAAAGAGTGCGCTGTATGAAAGCACAACGAGGGAGCGAACCAAGTGCGTCAGAAAAATCACGGACCAAAAAAATCCAGAAGCGCCAAAAGTGGGGTGAGTGAGTTTAAACAAAAGTTCAGAGGTTAAATGTCCACTACAAAATCATGAATTGCCAAAGCCTCCGCCGTCTTTACAAGTCTGTAGCGAAGAAAACGCGGCCAGCAAGTTAGCATGGATTCTGTATATGATCTTAAAATCATTTTCAGGGTTGACAGAGTGACAGAAGTCGATCAGGTATTCCAAAATATAGCTTCGCACATAACTGCTTTCTCCTGTAGAGGGATAGACATTTATTTATTTATTTATTTATTTATTTATTTATTTATTTTGTTTATCTGGTTATTTTATGTACCTTTCCCTTATTACTACGATCATTATTATTATTATTATTATTACTATTCTCACCCTAAATTGTTTCCGCTTGTCCCACTTGTCATTCTGAATCCAAAATTTTTTTTTGGTTTTTTTAATATTGGATTCTATCTCATCAAATTTCACACCATGTTATGTAACATTTTATATTCGTCTACTAATCCTATAATTATACACCCCTTTCCAAAATCTATACACCTTATGCGTTATTCTATCTATATATGACATTAATTGTTTTGCCACTCGAAACAGAAAAGCCAGATCTCTGTGTACAGAAAAAGTTCTTTCAACTCCTCCCCGCCGACTTTCATGGTCTTAATCCCTCTATGCTAAAGTATGGTAATCCCCAAACATATTTTGGCTCTACCAATTTTTCATTTTGTCTATTCAATTCGTATACTCTTCCTTTATTACGTCAATTGTTACTATTACTACTCTCACTTTGAACTATACCCGGTATTATTTCACCGGTATTGTTCCACTTGTCATTCTAAATCAATTCTATTTTTTACAAAGTAAAATTCTATGCTATCAAATTTCACACACAGTGTTACGTAAATTTTTTTTATTTTATTCGATTTGTCTACTAATCCTATAATTACACACCCTTTCTCAAGTTCTATCCATCCTACGAATGATTCTATATATGACATTAATTTGCTTTGCCACTTGACATTTAACTATGAGTATAATCACAAACATTTTAGTTTTTTAATTGCATTTCATACTACTATTATTATTACTATTTTATGCATTCACACCTATGATTTAATTCCTTCACCGGATTTAGTTTCTTAAAAAGCTATGTGTACGTACGACTGTGCAACTTGATAATAAATTCGTTGTTGAAAAGAGTCTCTTCGCTGAATATTGTGTTCTTAAAACATTAATTAAAACATGAATCCATCCGAAATATAAGTATTATAATTATGGAGGATTTAATCATGAGCTGACATCAGTTAGAGAACCACTGGAAAACCTGGGAGTACTGGACAGCCGTTTCGTCCTAGTTTGGGACTCTTCATCAGTACGCACCCACCGTGATTCGAACCCAGGAC